ATAGATTTTATATATTAAAAAACAAAACTATATCACCAACATATTCTGCAACGCTTTACAATTACAGAAAGGAATATCTGAAGGTGAATGAAATGCGGTTAGGATAGGGAGTAATAAAATTATTTTTGAGTTCACAATAAAATATTTAACCATTTACCAGACGGACAGGTTGGACTACAGTTAAAAGGCGCTGCGGACATCCTGAGGGCTTCAGCTTAAATTCCAATCTGAAGCACGCCCAGGGAGGTAGCATTTTTCCAGCCATATCAAAGCCTCGCACTGCATCTGATAGACACCAGCGAGCTGTCTGAACCAGCAGGCTGAGAAGGGAGGACAATGGTGATGTGACATTCTTGCCTGGGGTGTGTCTCAAACATCGTTCGATGGTAGTTCTCCTCAGAAAAACTAGAGGGCATTGAAAGCCCCGTGTGTGAACGAGATACCAGGAAAGAAAAGGGGGTCCACTTAACCTTATAGAGAATGTATCACGTTACAGAATTCGGTTTTGATTTATTTTTTTAATTTTAAATTCAGTGTGTGCCATATTTATATTATACTGTATCATATACACACACACACACACAAATATATACATTTGTTGCCAAAAGATTCACAAAGACAGAAAAAAAAAAAGGTTTGCAAATGTAGACAATATTTTGTGGTATTCCAACTCGCCCCCCCCCCACCGACACACAAACATTCCCGGTTCCAAGTAACCTTCTTTAGGAAGGACACAGCTGCAATTTGGAGCCAAATTTCTCCCATCATACGTTCCTATCGGAACCTTCCTCGCAGAACGTTTCACAGAGCTCCACAACAATAAAATGAAATTCACAGTAACAGAGCTCTTCAGTAATGTGCAGTGAGTACGATTATATCACAGAGCTCCACATCAGTAAAACTAAAAGCTGAGTGTGTTTAGGAGTCTTCCACAGAGCTCCACAGTAATTTGTTAAATATAACGCAGAGATTCACGGCTTATTCGCCCACAAAACTGTGAGCCAATTCTTGGTGGCCAAGCTAAAAATTTACTTTTGAATTAGGGAAGCCTGGCTTATTGACGGTACAGGATTTGATTTTGTCAAACTGCTCGACACAAACTGGGGAGCTGGCACCCCACAAACTCTTTTTACCAGTAAGCTGTAGTAGTTATAATGTTTAGTTAATAAGGCACTCTATGGAAAAATAATGTACCATTAGTGGGTCACGAAGTCACCTTAAAACATCCTAAAATGATTACATCCCGTTGTGGCAGGGGTCCCCAATAGGTAGATCCCCAGATTTAAAACTACAGCTTCCATAAAGCTTTGTCATTCTAAAAGAATGCAAAGCATCATGGGAGCTGTAGTTCTACGACACCTGGAAATCTACCTTTTGGGTACCCCCGCGCTGAAAAAAAGAAAATCTTTAGCACAACCAGCCAGGGGTTTCTGCGGAGTTAAAAGGCTAAAGACTAATTATATGAAGAAGAAAAAAAAATGAAATAGAAAATAAAAATCCTGTTATCTTACAGAATGCATTTTAACAGGCATTCAAATTCTTGATTCTCACGTATCATATTAGAGCAGTAATGACTGCTAATCTTGGCACTACAGCAATTTGTGAATTCAGTTCAGCTTCCTAATGGTTTGCTAAGCATTATGGGAAATGGAGTTCAGAAGATTCTGTAGAGACATGTTAGCCATCGCAGTAGGAGAGGGCGGCAGTGGTGGGGTTATATCAGTAACAATCTTACGCTCTGACAAGTGACCCTTTCACCTACAAACAATGTGTCTAAGGACCCACAGTATAAAACTAGTTACGAGAGCCAAGATTCCTTGATTTACAGAATTCGAAAGGAAGCAGAAAAAAAAAAGAAAATTATCCATATTTAGTCAGACTGTGTAAAATCCTGTCCTCGCAGCAACAAGTAGAGGATTTGCATTCTTGTGGTTAAATTCTAATTACCACAGATATGTGCCAAAAAGAAGGAAAAGCATACCAAAAGGACTGGCTTCAGTGTATTTATACAAGATAGGTTCTGCGTAATTAGATTATTGAGAAAACATCCAAAGAATCCCAGGTCACTGGATAGAAACTTTGAAGATAAAAATGTAAATATCTGGTTAAGGCTTAAAATGAAGAAGTGTAAAGGGACAGCAAGAACCACTACATCTTCTTGTAGTTGTTTTGGTGCACAAATGCTGTCCCTTTTCTCTAGCAAAGTGAAACACTGCTTTTAGTGACAAACAGCAAAGTTTACATTTGTACAAGTACACGCCTCTAGTGGTTGTCAGACAGAACGACCCTAGAGTCACTTCCTGCTTAAGATCTTTGATTTCTTAAGGTATTCACGTTCATGGTCATCACACACAGCAGGACGATGCCAGAGGCCACTAATGCTTTTCACAGAGGAGCACTGAAGTTATTTGATTGGTGAAGTGCAGCGATTGCTACACATTGTACTGTAAGTCCTCTCAGTACTCATCTATGAGAAGCATCTGACTGGACCATTAATTTTCATAAATGGTGATCTTATAGATAGATGGTAGATCGGGCTGCAACGAAGGAACTGTCTGGCACTGGATTACAGGAACGTTTAATGGCTTTTCAACTTTTGGATTTTTTTATTATTTTTTTTAACCTCAAGACCATAAAGGTGGCCATAAATAAACACAAGAACAGGCCTCCCAAAAGTCTTGATTTAAGCAGGACAGTCCCAATTTCATAGTCATCCCAATTTTTTTCCTAGGTGTTCCGCATCTGTTGACATCAGGAAACGGTCCTCGGGCACCACGACGCAAGTACATTATCTAATGCTACATCAATAAATATATCTACTTGATCTTCCACCTCTGTGAAGGATCAGGTTGAATGTGAAACAATGTCCACCATGGAGACCAAGACTGAAAGCTAAGATAAAGACAACACTTAAGGAAGTTTGTAAGCTGGATCAACTTCAGACAGGTGGAAAGATCAAAGATCAGTCCTGGCTACTGAGGAAATACAAGGGTATGCCCATGCTAGAGGCACTGGAAACAGTTAAGCAAAGCCTGACCGCACTGGCAACCAGACTGAGCAGACACACCAGAAAAGCAGAGGCCAAGAGAAGAAATGAATAGTTTACCAAAGAACCATACAAGGTGTAAGCACAGCTGCAGAACAAACAACATATCTACCCAAGACACATCCAAAACAGAGAATGAACAGGACTGGAAGAACATTTGGTAGAAAGAAGCATTACATAATTACAAGGCCCAGTGGCTACTAGACCTAATAGCGGACTACAAACTAGTCACGATCACAGTGGAAGATATCCAATGACGAGTAGCACACAAAGAGTTTTTCAGCCCCAGAACAAGACATAATCTACAACTACTGGATAAGAAAATTAAAGGACCACTATAGGCACCCACACCACTTCAGCTTAATGAAGTGGTCTGGGTGCCAGGTCCATCTAGGATTTTTTTGCAGTAAAGAGAAACTGCTATGTTTACCTATGGGTTAATCCAGCCTCTAGCGGCTGTCTCATTGACAGCCGATAGAGGCGCTTCCACGCTTCTCACTGATTTTTACAGTGAGAAGACGCCAGCGTCCATAGGAAAGCATTAATAATGCTTTCCAATGAGACTGGCTAAATGCACGCGCGGCTCTTGCCGCGCATGCGCATTCAGCCGATGACGACCGAGGGAGGAGGAGAGACCCCAGCGCCGAGGGAGCCCAGCGCTGGGAAAAAGGTAAGGGATTAACCCATTCCTCCCCCTTCAGCGCCACGGTAGTGGAACCCTGAGGGTGGGGGCACCCTCAGTGCACTATATTGCCAGGAAAACGAGTATGTTTTCCTGGCACTATAGTGGTCCTTTAACTACACTGTATTAACGTCTAGCAGCACAAATGAACCAGCTACTAGCAACAGGCTTGCACCCTGACTGGCTAACACAAGACAGAACAATACTGGTAATGAAGGACCCTCATAACAGAGCACCACCATCCAACTACCAACCAATCACCTGCCTCCCGACAACATGAAAGGTCCTGTTAGGCATCATAGCCTCCAAGATCGATGGGCAAATTAGTCAATCGATATATGGGCAATACTCAGAAGGGGATTAGAAACACCACCAGCAGATCAAAACACAAACTGATGTTAGATCACGGGATTGTAAGACTAGACAGACCAATCTGTGCACAACCTGGATTGACTACAAAAAAGCCTATGACACAATGCAACACACATGGATACTTGAATGCTTGTCCCTAGACCAAGAACTCAATCGGCAAGTGGAAAACCATTCTAGAAGCCAATTCCAGAACAATAACACAAGTGAACATCAAATGTGGCATATATCAATGTTATGGTTAAGTGCTATCTCCTCCCTTCCCAATTTTATTTTTCAGTGACATCAAAGCTTGCTGGTTATTTTGCTGGCAACGCAAAGCTCTTTAAAGATCCTGGCATATGCGATCCCTGCTTGGTGCAAACATTACAGAGAATTAAACTCTGAAATAGGTGGATCTGCCTGTCAAACTGAAGACTGACAGACGGCATCTAATGCTTAACAATGACTTATTAGAGAGAGTCTGGATTCATTTAAAATGGTGATCCAATAAACCTATGACAGAGTACTACTCCACCAGTTTAGGGTCTAGGTTTACTTATTCGGGACAGGTAGGCTTAGCCTGCGTTTCTTCTCCCTTCTGCTTGAGCGTGTGTGCAGTCAAGTAAACCAAGCACAAACAGGGGGGAGGGGATCCACTACAGAAACGAGAGAGGTCATAGTGAGAGGGCAGGAGGTGCTGAGTCATAGGTTAATCGAAAATGTCAAAAATGACGCCACTAGCTCAGATGTCCTTTTACAGCTCCTTGCCTCAGGTACGCATTGTCAACATAACAACACACACCTAACCTCCGTTTATAACACATCACGACAGTCGGCTTCACATGATCTACACAACGAGAAGATTTTACCTAGAAGTTTGCATTTCTATTAAATATTCACATATATTGAGAACTTACCAGTTCAAAGAGCAATTCCTGCCTCAGCAGCCCTGTAAGAAAGAAGAGAAACAAATTAGCAACCAATACTTGAAATACATTTTAAATCTTTCACACAGACACAGACCATTTAATATGATGTTTGGGCGACCCATATCGAACCATTCCACCCAATAAGTCCCACATCAGCGAGAAAAGAAATTAAAATGGGACACACCTGGCACCAATACAACTTTAATGCATTTGATGCCTAAATCTTTTTAGTTTTGCATAAAAAAAGTTTTGCAGAATGCTGCACCGTAAGCCTGCCCCTTTAGCCACGCCCCCTCACTCCAGAAAAATACTTCCTTATCAAAAGGTACACATACAGCTCAGCCACAGACCGTACTGAATAGTCGGAACAAAATAACCTGCATTAGGACAACACTCCCAGACAGACATTTATTAAGGATATTGCCAAACGTTTGTAGTTTCTCTCTCATAAACAACTTCCTCTAACTTAAGTAGCCATATAAGGGGTTAAACCGAACATCCAAACCACAACTTGTTGCCAGCTGCTCAAATAAATATTGTGAATAATGCTGTGGTGGGTAGGCTGGCGACCATAGAATATCACTACTATACACGCGTCTTCCATTTTGTTCGGAAACTGTTACAGACAAAGGAGGGGACTGTACCTAATTTAGTATTACGGATTACTAATTTCCACACAATCATGCCACTAATAAGAAAAGGTTGTGTGGAACGCACCGAACAACGGTCTTAAAATATCCATAACTAATATGAAGTCAGGGAACCCGAAGGTTTGTGTGTTCAGAAGGCTGGGGAAGCGGTATTCTCTTAAAAACTTCCTGCGGTAAGGGTACGTCAGAAAATTACTTCCCCAGCGCCAGGCTTTGAAGTAAGATGTCTGCAATCATATCTGTGACTGTTACAAAATGTTCTAATATAGAAAAAGTAAAGTGCTGTTTTTTTCGCTCTCTTTAAACAGAGGACAAGTCTGAGTTCATTAGGTTCAGATTCACTTGATGTCCTAGTATATGAAACTCATTAAACGTAGAGGCTCCATGTTAATGAGGATATAGGAATTCTCGAATGATGTGTTCAAAGCGCGCAGACATATGCTGCACATGTGTGAATATACAAAGCTGCTTAAATTTGTGAAAAAAGGGACTAAAAATGCTGTTATCGTTGATGGATGTCAGCTGTCATGCAACGCAGCCAAATAGACAGCATTTTTTTTTATATTATAAACCACAGCTGAGGCAAGAAAGGGAAAGAAAAGGAAAAAAAAATCTTAATTCCGACAGCCGTATGTAATGCATTATATATGGTAAAATGTTTCAGGGGTCACAAGTTTAGAGAGTCCCCCCCCCTCCCCAAAATAATTCTTAAAGAGGAAAAGGGGCCCAAGCTTCAATAGCAAAAGTAAGAAATCCATACACAACTGTGTGCAGAGATTTATATGTATAAACACTGCTCAAAAGGTACACTAATCACCATAAGCACTATGGTGTATTGTAGTAGTTATGGTGCAAAGAGTCTATGTTAGTTACACTGTTGTGTAGGTTGAATAAAAGACTAAAATACAAAGATGGTTCAGGCACTCCAAGATTCAGAAATGGCAAATTTATTGACAACCAAAGTAACAACGTTTCGACCTTGCGGTCTTTGTCAAGGCTGCAAGGTCAAAACGTTGTGTTACTTTGGGCTTCAATAAATTTGCCATTTCTGAATCTTGGAGGGCCTGAACCATCTTTGTACTTTATGCTATTGCAGTTGGAGCCTGATGCTCGGTCCTGGTTTTGTTACACCCTGGCTCAGATTGATGGGATTGAGTGCAGTTCCTTATGTTTGTTAGAAAGAATAAAAAAAGACTAAAGTCCATCAAGTTCAATCCTAAACCTCATACTTTTATGCTCTTGACCCAAAAGAAGGAGGAAAAAAAATAAAAAATAAAAAAAAAATCCTTCTTTACTCCATAATGGCAGATTCATTTCTTTTTGGATCAACCACCTGTTTACATACATATCAAACTGAACTTAAGCTCTTTTAAATTTGTGTAGTGGTTATGGTTTTAAGAGTCTTTAAGAAGAAAAGAAAAATTCAGTGCATCTCACCAACTTGGAGAAACTTTGTTACTTGGACTTTATACTGCCCTCCTAAAAAAAGCCAAATATTATGTCATTCTAATATGCAAAATAACTTCAAAACATGCAGTGATATCACTCTTTGGGTACAGCGCCAAGCCACAAATTTCTGCCACACAAGCATGAGTAATGAATACAAAACTATGCCTACTAGGAGGAGGACATGGCTGCCATGGGGTTACGGTCTCCCCTCTGCACAGCTTAGAATCCTTTGGAGTATACGCTTTACCCTCACAACGCATTCTGAAAACCGCATCCAGTGTGTGCATCTAACGATACTCTGCAAATTGGCCAACCACGGTTACTGGTCATCAAAGTATTGGGGGGGGGAATGATTTTTTTTTTTTTTTTAAAGATGGGGTGCAGAGGCCCAATCTCGCTGCTGCCCCCCTCACCACCACATAACAATAATTTGCAGTGAGGAATCTAAAAGTCTCAAAGTTTAGGGTGTTCAACTGTCCAAATTAGATTTAGCATGATATTTTCTTAGTATCTCAAGCATTGCTCAATAGGTTAGTGCAATATAAAAAAATAAATGCCAGTTTTAATATTTGGTTGCCTGGCTTGCGAACATGGCTGTCAAACCAAAAGATTGTTTTATCTATTTAAAAAAAAAAAAAAAAGAAGAAAAAAATGTAATAGAATTTTGTTTTTGCTACAGGAAGGGGGAACACGTAACATTTCCTCTGTCAGATATGCAAGTGTCATTCTTTAGCTAAATTTCTTTTTCCGTTATGTACAAGTCAGCTGGCTTTTTGAGTCGGAGAACAGCAGATAGTCCACACTTTTGCATTACATTTGCCCCAGTAAGCAATATAAGATAGGCCCCAGGAAACAATATGGTATAGGTCTATTTTACTGTGGAGCTAAAATGTTACCATTCCCTTCAAAATAATTTGGTGTGAAACAGATTCCTTTCTTTAGAGGTACATGCTGTGTTACACAACTTCTAGAATACCAAATCTCTAGCCGAGGCCTAAAGAGCAGCGACGTTTACTTTTAGTAGATTAACAGAAGATTCTAAGCACCAAAACAACTTTCGTTTAATGGAGTGGTTACATCGAGAAACTGCAAAGTGTCCCTGTAACACTATATGAAGACAATGACTTGATGCAGTAGTAGTCCAAGAAAGATCTCCAGATACTGAACTACATCTCCCATGATTCTTTGCTATCCCGAAGCACAGCAAAGCATCATAGGGAGTTAAAGTTTTACAATAGCGGAGTATCTTCGTTCAGTCACTCGGAAGTAAATAAAACGTAAAAACAAAAGGTTATAAGGTCTTTGAATCGGTGCCTTTTTTTGGTCATCTTAACAATAAGGCTTTACTGAAAATGTCATTGTATTAAAGACACATGGAAAAATGTAATTAGCATAAAATGCCTGGCCTGTGCCTTTTTCAGAATAGGGTTTTATCATCATATATTTATTAAGTAAGAATGGGCATTATATGTAGGAAAGTAGAAAAGGCCTAGGTACAGAGAAGAAATTACTGAAGACTTGGGTAACTTGAAAATGATGTTTTTGAATGTCAGAACAGCTTAATAGTAATTCGTTTTCAATTCCACATCAGTATAAAGACATGACTTTTTCTAACTGGTTCATTTAAAAACACTTTTAAACAGCATTGTCATCAATACGTTTTTTTTTGTTTGTTTCTTCAAAATCATCAATATCCTGTTACAGAAATTAGAGCATTTTATTTTAAATTCGTTGATTTGCTACAGGACGGACATCTCTCCGTACACATTTAAGATGCTTTCTAGTCTTTCCATCCCCTAGTCTTTCCATCCCCTGAGACTTTCCATCCCCTGAGACTTGATACACAATATTTTTAAAAATAAAGGTTTTTAAAAACCCAAAATGGAATATGCTCCTTATGGTAACAGAAATACAAGCAAGGCAGAGAGAGAGTGCCATTATGGTGGGCTCTTTATTCTGGAGGTTCAGAGGGGAGGGGGCCTCCAAACACAAAAGAGGGGGCAACAAAATCTGCTATTAATCATATTATATGTCATTGTTCATTTAAGGCAGTTTGCAGAGGTCTAGGCAGAGCACAGCTCAGTTCCTATCTAAAGATTAAAGGGGCAGGAGCTGCACGGGGGGGACTGTGACCAGCAAACAATAAAAGGGTAAGGGGGGCTTATTCACAAGTCAAGATCAAACAAGAGACAAAAATGATACAGATGACCAAGGGAACAAGCAAAAATAAAAAAATTTTAAAAATGAAGTAATACCACGTAGCCATGTTTTATTACATACAGATTATCTCAGAGTAGAGAAATGTTGGCACAGACAAGCTGAATAAAGTAATCCAGGACTGAAAGTGGTTGGGAATTATCTAGGTACCCGAACCATGAAAATGAAGGCAACACCATCAATATAAACACTCTATACAATATATATGTATATATATATATATATACACACACAGGCAAATATATACAGCTATATTTGCATACATGTATATACACAGCGTTAAAAAAATTCCATTCACCCTGTGTACCTTGTGTGGCCACTTGGTAGGAGGTTAATCAGATGGGCTTGCCGGATTTCATGCCACGAGACCCTGGCAGAGTTTGAAGCACAGTGTAACACAAAACGTGCTTGATATATTACAGAATAATCACAGTTACATGGTGACTCACACGGATTACTACATCACGTTCTAGTATGAGCTGTGCTGCTCTGTAGTAGAAGAGACGTAGATCACACTCTAATGTACTAATGCAATGTGCTCAGCTGTGTAACGGTGCCAGGTAGCTCTCCTTACACCTCTCACTGCTTGCAATAGATGCCAGGTTTTGAGCAAGGGGGACAAATATGCAGTCACCAGTCACTACCCTCCTCCATGTCACTTTCAAGCGGTATTGGGGGACTAGTGCTTATTGGCACAGAAAAGTAAAGAGGTACAAATACTACTTTTTGTTCATACTTCATGGCATTCCACACACACACACACATATATATACATATATACATATACATATATAGAAACTTATTAGTCCTTGCACTCACACTCCAAAATTAATATTACCCGGTGCCCAAAAATATATAAGATATATAGAAACTGGCTTGCACAAGAGAGGGGTGGGATCCTTTCTTCACATATGGTGGGAATGCCCACTTATAGTACCATTCTGGGAGCAAATAGCTGCCATGGTGGCCATGTTCACGGACAATGTCCCACCCTTCCGGCCCGCCCCGTACCTCCTACACCACACGACAACCCCCACATCACGCTACAAACGCTCCCTGACCATCCGAATCCTTAACGTCGCAAAACACCTAATACCTTTGTACTGGAAAAAAGACACGACCCCAACACTCTCCCTGTGGTTTACTAGAATGGAGGAGTTACGAGTCACAGAGGAGATCTGGTATTCAGCCCAAGACCGAACGCAGACATACTTAGACACATGGACACCTTGGTTGGCACGGGTGGGTACAGAGGCATTTCGGACTATGCAATTGACCAGGGGGGAGGGAACCGACAATCCCCAGGAGGAGACGCTGGGAGACTAGCGGGACGATCCACACCTGGCCCAAAACGCGATACCTCACCCCCGCCCCCTATCGGAGCGGGGTGGAGCGCGGGTTCGGGGGACCCGGGGGGGCGTGCGGGGAGGGCCACGACACCCGCTAGAGTGCAACCACTTGCGGGGCTCGGGGCGGACTGCGGCCTCGAGAGTAAAGGGGGTGGAAGAGCGCCTGTTTTGTGAGCTATAAAGCTCATTAGTTTGGAGGGAGTCGCAGGATGCCCCTTAGGTTATTCCCACCAACACCACCTATGCCGCTGGGCAGAACCACATTATACTACGGCAGGGGGCCAACACCCCACAATATGGCCAGGTTGGACCCTGGACACAAGGTCACTGGGGGGCTGCACGTCCCGAAGGGACCCTACACACCAGATGGCCACATGTCTCACTACTGCCTAGAGGCTACAGGGTAGGCATGGGGAATAGACAAACAAAACACAACCACGTTGGGGCATGCAGAACCACCCAACGTAGAAATGGTACATATCAAATATAACAGAGTACTAAGCACCACCATGTAACACCGGACCTGCGAGTCCACAATACACATGCTATTTACTCAAGAAAGCGACCTGCGAGTCGCCCAGACACGTATGTCATCACATGCCTTCCGATGTATAAGCTTCTGTGAATGACCAGAGGGACCTGCGAGTCCACGTTTCTCTTTGACATGTTGCAAAATCGACAAAAACAAAAAGGTTTAATAAAAAGATATTTACCAAAAAAAAGGAAACTGGCTTGCACGCACTTTTTTTATTTATTTTTTTAAAGTTAAAACTATATCTTTATTGCAAATTCATAAAAACTCCGATCAACGTTTCAGCCCCCCTCTGTGGCTTTCCTCAGGATCATACAATACGTACGGGGCTGAAACGTTGATCAGAGTTTTTATGAATTTGCAATAAAGATATTGTTTTAACTTAAAAAAAAAAAAAAACATGAGTGTAAGCCAGTTTTTATTTATATACATACATACATACATATATACACACACACACACACACACCCTGCCATCAACCACACATAAACATGCATTTATATACAAGAGAACCAACGAGCTGGTAGACCAAACTGTTGACATCCTAATGGAATATACAAAACACACACAGAGCCATACGCACAGTATGATATTATAATCACCCCTTCTGTATATGCCAGATGCCTGATATTCCCAAAGGGCTGAAGCAAAGGTTTTTTTTTTGGTTTTTTTGGTTTTTTTAGAATAATAATAGGGGTCACAATAATTGTCATTTTGATCCTAACACTGGAAGGGGAGCAATTAAGCCACCCACCTTTCTAAGAGAACCTTTGAAGTCACAAGCACCCAAACAGAATAAAAACTATAAAATATATAGGGTGATGAAGGGGGTTTGTTATGGAAAAATGCACTCTACAGGGCTGCGTTAAGGTCAGTGCTACTTAGAAAGGCATTTTATTTTGTTGTGAGCGCCAGTCAAAGAGAATGATCACTCACCTAGTATTACGTTATTTAGAAAGGAATGGTGAAATGTGCGGTGTCTGCATACAAATCCAAACCATTTTAGGAGGTAATAAAATTTGCCTTCAATACGGCAAATTATAAAGAAAGGGTGGCATGACCTTTAAACACACCCATGTGTGAGCAACAGTTGGGGCACATTCTGGGCCCAGGTGGCAAATAATGCATCTGAGCACTACCCATGAACAAATTTTAACAGCACGTGGGCTTAAAGGGCAGTTGGAAAAAAGCAGGATTTGTGTCGGTAATCTGCTTTCTCCCCCGCCCCCCCCCCCGGTACTTTGCAGCGGATTCTATTTTTAACTTAGGAGCTGTAATGCCGTGGAACGGACCCACGTTGCCTGATTAAGGATGATTGAGGCCACAGCAGGAGCAGGCCGATCCAATGACGGAGTTGTGTTTAATAATTTAAACTTGCCAATCTATGTATAATAAATTGGGTAATGGGTATACATTACATTTTTTTTTATGTAGCTACCTCCAGCACAGGAAAAATTAACAAAAAAAATAAATAAAAAATCCTGTACTCAACCGGTTTCTTTAAAAAAAAAAAAATACATTAAAAAAAAAAAATGTATATATACTTTTTAATATTTATTTTTGTTTAGGTCATGTATAAAGCAATACAGAGAACATAATAGGTTATAAGGTGTAAAACTTAAAACAACAGGTACAAAACTGATTGCACATGTAGACGGACACGTGAGCTGAATTTTTTGCAGCATAGATTAAGGAGCATAGACATAGAAGTCCTCAATGCAACAGCATTAATTGTATCCAAACAACATATGGAGGACCCATGCTGTGATCCTAGTGTGCCATGGGCTGGACATCCAGGATAGTGTAAAAAAAAAACACAGAAAGACCAGCACAGAGTAGAAAATGTGTGGGGGTAAGCCAGCAGAAATATACACACACACACACACACACACACACACACAAGTCAAGCTATAAGACTTGCTTTTCCTACAGAAATCTCACACGCGCGCGCAGTAAGTCCATAGGAAAGCATTTCTCAATGCTGGCGACTTCTCACTGTGATTTTCACAGTAAGAATCGCGGAAGCTCCTCTAGCGTTTGTCAATGAGAGCAACTAGAGGCTGGATTAACCCTCAGTGAAACATAGCAGTTTCACTGAAACTGCTGTGTTTACAGCTGCGGGGTTAATCCTAGATGGACCTGCAATCCAGACCACTTCATTGAGCTAAAGTGGTCTGGGTGCCTATAGTGGTCCTTTAAGTAACGGTTAAAGGGATACCAAGCACCATAACCACTGCACCTTAAAAAAAAAAAAAAGCAACAATTTTTGCGTCTGTGCAGTTTGTATCCATTTTGGAGTTGACCCAGCATCTTCATCCCAGCCCATCTCCTGCCAAGGAGCTAACCAACCCCACAACCCCAATTGCCCATACCATCCCTATAATTCACTAGTAAATATCGGTTGTAATAATCCGTAACTCTTCTAAACTGCCACAGAAAGTTGGTTGAGGTATAAGGTAGTTTGTAGTTACCATCAAGGGACCTTTAAATATTCCACACGCAATAATATTTCAGCTGTTGTAGGTAGAACATTTTGACGAGTTTGTAGACAGTATCCTTGTTTTACAAAGAACAGAGATACATGATCAGACCTAGGTCTACACAGAATGTTTGCAGAGAACGGTGTGGCAGACTCAACTTCATCACCAACAAAACGCCACTGAGACGTTAAGAAATCAAATCTAGCCATAACATATCACCAGTGTGAAATGGATGGAATAGAATCAAATCCTGAAGCATTACATCAAAAGGTAGCACCAAGTCTTCCCAAAATAGCAAAGGGAGGACCACTCCTACACTAGTCCCCGGGATTTTATAGTGAGATGTTCAACAGCCGGGAGATCACGTACATTTGGCCATGTAGTGTATATTCACTTTATCTACCATGTTGAGTGTGCTGCGTGGGTTTATATATTACAGAAATCGAGATATTGTTTTATTTATAAAAAGTAGCCACCAAGTAGAACATGGCTAGGTGGTAAGCGTAAATGGGTGAAAATATGATATTTAATAAAAAAAGACAGGTGGCTAGACAATGAAGCGGACACAGGAGTGACACAGGTTAAGGAGCCTATGATGTACACATTGGATTTGAATCAGGGTCAACGCTTAATATTCTGTTTATGTAATTAGTTTATACAATCCTGATTTTCTAGAACAGCTCTAGTGTTTGCTCCAACCAATCCTGAATCAGGGCTCGCAGGGCACACAGGCTGCCCCAGTTTTAAAGTACAATAAGACACAGAATGTAACTTCTGCGATGGCAACAAGAAAGAATGCACCTGCGGTGACGCACACAAAACTCGCAGAGTGTTAAAGTCAGCAGCACTGCGCCTCCGTTTACGCTGGAGAGATTACATATGGTCAGACGGCAAGAAAGCAAAAAAGGGAGGAAAAAAACAAAAAAGACACAAACACGCAGAACAGAGAGGAAGGAAAAAAAAAAAAATTCTAAAAACTAGGCTCCACCAGCAATAGGCGTCTACCAAGAAAATGCTACAGGGTCAAAAGTTTACTGTGGTTTCAATTTCACCCCTCTGCAGCCAATCAGACGCAGCACAGAAGCTGCAGAGCGAACACCCGCTGCCAATAGCAGGTTAACTCATCGTGTGCTGGGCCACAAGCCTGGAGATCTGCCACCCTGCTTGCTAGAGGAAGTGGCTGAGCGACTCGGCTGCTACAGCTAAAAAGTATCACAGCGCAGGGCTGGTAACAAGGACAGATTACCGAGAAATAAAAAACTGGTTTAATAAATCAATAATGTAAATAAAATGTTTCTCTTGTCAAATACAAGGCAAGATTATTATTTTATAGCTATTTAATGGTCACATGGTTAATCAGCTAAATACACCGTTTTATTTCCCCTCATTCTCAAAGTTGAACTGCACCCCAACTCCTAACTTTACAGAAACCCAACATCTCGACCAACGCCTCCACTAGGTGCTCAGTTGTAAGCGGCAACACTGACAAACACGGCGTAACAATACATTTATCATTTGTTTTCAAAACCAAACCACAAGATTAACCGGATTTTTTAAATTTGTTTTTGACCACCCCTAAATGATCTTTAAGGATATATTTTAATTCAGTTCTAGGACACGGCCTTTGTCGCACACGTTTAAAATTTTGTATATACATTCATTAAGTGGAAACATATTCACAGCTAACCTCTGTGTGGCTTGCTTTGCACTCTGGGAACGCTACTAGGTAACGAATGGAACATTTATGTAAAACACTAGGACAAATATCGAAGTATAAGAGCTACAAGAATAGACATTACTAAGTATTTATTGTATTTAAATAAGGAAAAGCCAACTTTTAAATGGACTATGTATTTAGCCCCCAGCACACAACACCAAAATATCTCAGTAAGTGCAGTGTTTCAAAACAGAAACAATGCGCATACATACTCTTACCACCATGGCCACTTCAAAACACTTAAGTGGTCATCGTGGTTGGAGTAACCATTTAACATTATAGAATTGGTTACCTAAAGCTTACAGATACTACATATAAAACACTATATTTTGGCAGCAAAACATCATGAAGATTTAAAAAAAAAAAGAAATTCAAAAAAGACTCAATACATGGCACATATGTAAATAGGAAGAGGAGCCTACAATTTCAATGTTTTCATTATTTCTGTATTTCAGTTTATTTTTAATAATCCTCATTTGCCCCAGACTGCATCAGTGCCACTTACAAGGCACAGGAGTCATAGATTAAACAAACAATCACTAAAGGAACCTGGTTAATGGCTTTAGTGGTTATGGTGCCAGCAGGGCACTTGCGCCCCTGTCGGCTACAATTCCTTCTCCTAACTTTGTCCCTATACCAATAATATTGAATTTGATAATTCAGGGTCTAAAGAAGGTGAATAGCATTTAGCTTTGCTGGGCTTTTTCTTTTTTCTAATTTATTTTTAAGGAACACTCGGCCAGTAACTGGATCAGAGTTTGTCTTCTGGGAGAGACAGAACAGCCATTTAAGCCACTCTGCTTTATAGACATATTTCCTGCGGTTCGCATACAATAGCTAAGGAGGAAAGGGGAGGTACGCTTTTGGCATATCTTTATTAACGAGGATGGGGTTTAGCAGCTCAGAGAGTGATAATTGCGATTTGATTTTCAGCTACATCCCGAAGGTTGCCATGGCGACAGGTTTCTAACTATTCTAAACCCCTGAGGATTCTACTCTCACAAGGGACCCAAAAAAATATATATATCAGTTATTCCTTGCTGAAAGCTGCAGACTGTTCGAGCCAAAAAAACACCGAGAACATATCGGCCATCAAGAACAGCAGCATGATCGGAAGAGTACACGCCATCACAATGCATTTTCTAGCAAAAAATTTTTATTTGCATTAATAGTTCTTTCGAAAACACAGCGTTCATGCAGACTGGTCTATCTGTGGCATATTAAACACGTTTGTACTGAGTGCATTATATACACTTTGTCCCAACGCAGTTCACACTTATGTAGGACAGCATTTTTACAATTCTGTCTTTTTTCTGGAACCACAAATCTGCCATCAGACTGCAATCTTATAAAAGGATTAGGTGAAAAATACATAACGGTTTTATTTTATTTTTTACGCTCTATGTTTTGATTAAAAATTTAAAAACTGAACTTTTTGTTCATAGAGGCACAACACAAGAAAACATTAAAATGTAGCCATTATTTTGGTTAAAAAAAAAAATAAATAAAACAAAGCGTAAAAATGTTGGAAGGGTAGTTCTGCAGAATTTCAGGATTCCAGAGATAGAAAAAAAATAAATAAAAATTTATCAAAAGCAGAAATATAAGAACTGAAGACATAAATTCCTAAAATTCCAGTTGTGAGTGCAGGTACTATAATGTTGGTAAACTAACTAAATTTAACATGCTTCTTCATACTTTAGATCTTTAGTTTTAAAAAGGATGCAATGTAAAAGCACTGCAGATTCCACTGGTGCTTTTTAAATACGATACATCAATGATCAAAAAGAAAACTGAATAATGCATTAGTAAAAGTTAAAGGAATTAAATGAAAGGGGTTATGAATCACTCGTTAAGTTATTAGCCTGCCTCTCAAGTATTCTAGACCCAGCAGGACTGCCCTCATTCAAGACTGTTCTGCAATAAAGAGAACGTCCATGATGATGGGCTCACTTTAAGAGGACATCGTCTATGGAACTGGTAGAAGTCCAATGTAACCTGTTCTAGAACAATGACGTCCGCTTCATTCTTTACCCCCTGGAGACAACCAAAGCCTTCGGGATTAAAAAAAATTTCAATCTCTTTAGTTTGAGGGGGAAAAAAAACGGCACCTCAGAGGAGATATGATATTATACAAATATATTCGGGGACAGTACAAACCATTATCTGGAAATCTATTCATAAACAGGGCTATAGGACACGAGGTCACGCATTTAGGCTGGAAGAAAGGAGATTTCATCTAATGCAAAGAAAAGGTTTTTTTTACAGCAAGAGCAATAAGGATATGGAATTCTCTGCCTGAAGAGGTGGTTTTATCAGAGTCCATCGATATGTTTAAACTGCAATTGGATAAATACTTGCAAAAAAACATAACATACAGGGACATAATGTCTAATTAGTGGGGTAGTAGCTGTTTGATCCAAGGAGACATCTGACTGCTATTTTGGTGTCAAGAAGGATTTTTTTCCTGGTTTGTTGCAAAGTTGGAAGCGCTTAAGACTAGGTTTTTTTTTTGCCTTCTTTTGGATCAACAGCAAAAACATATGTGAGGAAGGCTGAACTTGATGGACGCAAGTCTCTTTTCAGCCTATGTAACTATATGCAACTATGATTCTTTTGTGGGGAAAAATAAATAAATCATCAGTAGCTTGGATTACATATTAACTGGGTTATATACCTCCCAAATGTGTTCCTAATTAGGAAAGACAGTCCCTATTTTTGGCTAAAATCCCTCTGTCCCTCTTTTCAATCCCAATGCCTCTTTTCTAGGAGCTCCATATTGCTGGAGTGTATAACAGAGTTCTGTTACAAAAGTCTGGAAATAACTATGTTACTGTTTGCTAATCAATGGATACTGTTTGTCCCGGTATAAGTTTAAAACGAAAGACGCACGAATGGATTACCCGAACCATTATAAAGACTCCATTCGTGGTACGAACAGGGGACCCCCCAGAACTTGGCGTGTGCCGCCACTTAACCCCGTCACCCCGCAAACTACCGAACGCTCGACCACCCAGCCAGCGGCGTGTGGCAGCCATTAACCACCCAGGCGGCTGCGGTTTGCGGTTAACCACAACTTAATTGATAGACCTGGGGCATCGACGTTCGCATCGAAAATACCGAACGTGATATACCGAACTACCAACCGAATGACGACCCCCTACAGCGGGCCGCGTGGCGATCATTAACTTGTGGTTTCTGCGGTTAACCGCAGGTCAAGTACCCTGCTACCAGGTGGTCCTCGTTCACGTACCGAACGAGTTCCACTACCAGACAGACAGCGGGACTTCGCATGAACTGATACCGAGTTTAGTTCCACATGTTAGAAGCGAGGTCCCGCTGCACCGTCTAAAAACATGGCAGCCAACAGAGACTTACAATCCCAAAATGCCGAACGGACATTATACGGCAGCAATGGCTCATTCTGTTCGTGGGATTGAAGCGCCATTCGCATGTTTAATGTATAAGAACGCGAGCCTTTAGATGAATGGTAGAATGAGCTGTTTCCTGTTATTAATGTGAAAGTTATGTATTTTTATACAGTTTTTGGGGACAGAATAAAACGTGGTCGTTTGTGCACTTGGAGATTATTAGATTGTATAACTGTTGGCCTCATTATCTCCAAGCTGGGTGGGTACTAATTCAAAGGATACACTGTACTGTACCTGTATTCCATCAGGTCCACAGGGGGCTGTCCTTGGACCTGAGGAATCACATAAATTGCGATGCTATGTGCCAGTAAAGCCAGTTCGTTTTGACCCTCAACTTGCAGCCTCGACTCATGTTGTAGGGATCCGGGATATTGATGCTTATATCGTGCTTGGGGATATTCTACATTTGCAGCTTACCACCGAAAGACCTCCGTTTGACTCTCTGCAGCGGGATCCAGGACATCCAAGCGATCAACCCTCCTGCTAGACCGGGGGCAATCGTAACAATTGGTGGCAGCGGCGGGATCATCCTGGAATTCCTGAGAGAGACATATAAGACGGATGGAGAGCAACTACGATAAGCTGAAGTGTACCACCTTAAAGGATTTACTCGAGAGCCGTGGGGGGAACGCAAGTAACCGGCCAAGGAGAGAATTAATTGCCGACCTGAACGAGTTGGATCAAAGTTTCACGATGGCAGAACCGACGGCAACATTCAGCGATGAGAAGACAAGGATTGTCCAAGAACGGCTGCCTCTATACGGGCCGAACCCATCCGTGGAGTTGGTACAGCAACTAATGGCAGAAGCTGAGGCGGACATACAGCGGGCAAGAACTCATGAGCTGAACATGGTAGCCGCACAACAGGGAGCCGCCGCTAATAGCCACAACGGCTCCCCAGAAACTGCCGAACAGCCAAAGATTCCGTTCGCGGCATTCAAGCCGTTTGCGGAGAATGAGATGGGGATAGATAAATTTTTGGCCGATTTTGAAAGACAATGTGCCTTGCATCAGATTCCCGTTTCAGCGTGGCCACGTATTTTGGCAGGAAAGTTAACTGGGCGGGCCATGGAAGCTTTCAGGACACTCAGCGCCGAAGAGGTAGCCCAATACCCCACAGTGAAGGAGACTCTGCTGAAACGGTACGCTGTGACCCCAGACACCTACCGAAGGCAGTTCTGTGGCACTAAGAAAAAGGCGAACGATACGCATGCCGAATGGGCACACCGTATGTGAAGAGCTGCTAACCATTGGATTACCGGGTGTCGGGCCGTTACCGCAGCGGAGGTGTTGGAACTATTTTTACTAGAACATTTTTACGAGGGTCTGGAACAAAAAGACCCGGAGTGGCTGAAAGACAGGCGTCCCGCTAATTTACATGAAGCAGCCAGGTTGGCAGATGAACACCGGGAGGCACAAGTACAGGAGTTCGGCAATACCCGAACGATAACGCGCCCCGAAACCCTAGAGATATACCGACCAACCCCACGAACGGAGTTTCGCACACCGGTACCGGCAGGACCTACACGGTATCCGGGACCACCCAGCAATTACCCTCAGGAGCGCTCCCGCCCTACGTGCTACAAATGCAAGCAGCCGGGGCACCTGATGGCCAGCTGTCCCCTCAACAATAACTACCCCGAACGGAATTATAATGCTCCCTCAACGGGTAACAATCGACCAGCTCGAGCCTTTTGCCTGGAACAAGACAGTCCGCTGGAAGAGTACCTGGGATCCCTGCACGAAGCTAACCCTGTGTATGCCGCCAGCGACAATAGACAACACCACCGGCAAGAGGTACTGCTGGAGGGTCGTCCCACACAGGGGTTAAGAGACACCGGAGCCACGATCACCTTGGTACAAAGCCGATTAGTTCCAGAGAACAAGCGCTCTCCTGACACAGTAGCTGTCCGGGTAGCTGGAGGGGACATTTACAAACTTAGGTTTGTACAAAGGTACATTTGGATTGGGGTGCGGGGAAAGGACTTGTGAGGGTGGGGATTATGGATAATTTGCCAGCCGAAGTTTTGCTGGGAAACGACCTGGGACCTATGACCTCGGCTTATGCCCCTTCTTACAACGCTGAGGCACATCCCGTGACGACCCGGTCACAAGCAGGACAAGTGCGGGACCCTTCACCAGTGCGGGAGGCTCAGATAAGACTTAACCCGACTGTGACCACCCCTCCTGCCCCTTTGCCCTGGGACACCCCTGCAGCCTTTGAGGCTGAGACCAAAACTGATCCGACGCTCCAAAAATATAGGGAAAGGGCTGATACAGGGACTGGGGGATCAGACCAGGAGACTTTTGCCTGGGAACAGGGCCGACTGTACCGACACACAGAGAAGAGGGGCCACCGGAGGAGACAGTTAGTGATACCCCACAAGTATAGGCGGGATATCCTCCGGGTGGGTCATGATATTCCCTTAGCCGGGCACTTGGCAGTAACCCGTACCCTGCACCGTATTACCCATACCTTGTTCTGGCCAGGGGTACATGCCGATGTGAGGTCCTATTGTAATACGTGCGAGGTCTGCCAACGGGTAGGCAAGCGAGGAGACCACCCCAAGGCACACCTCGTTAACATGCCCATCATCGACGAACCATTTAGCCGGGTAGCCATCGACTTAGTTGGGCCACTAGCCACCCCTAGCCCCTCTGGTAAGAGGTACATTCTTACCATAGTGGACTATGCTACCCGCTACCCAGAAGCTGTGGCTTTATCTAATATTCAGGCAGACACGGTGGCTAATGCATTAGTGCAGGTATTTTCTCGGGTAGGATTCCCTAGGGAGATCCTATCCGACAGGGGATCGCAGTTCACGGCCGAACTGACCCAGCAGCTATGGCACGTTTGCAAAATAAAATCTCTTCTCAGCTCCCCGTACCACCCCCAGACCAATGGGTTATGTGAGCGGTTCAACGGAACCCTCAAGCAGATGTTAAAAACCTTCACCCAGGAGTATAGGAACTGGGAACGTTTTCTGCCGCACCTCCTGTTTGCTTACCGGGAGGTGCCCCAGGAAACCACCGGGTTCTCTCCCTTTGAGCTGCTATACGGCCGCAAGGTACGGGGCCCCCTGAACCTGATCCGTGAGCACTGGGAGGGAGAGACCGAGAACGCCGGGGTCCCCATTGTGCCCTACGTACTGGAGCTCCGGGACCGAATGGAGCAATTGGCTAAGTCCGTCCAGGCCAACCTCCAGGCGGCCCAGGGGCGACAAAGTGTGGTACGACCGGGGGGCACGGCGGAGAAGCTTCTGTCTAGGGCAGAAAGTCATGGTATTAAAACCAATTAAGGCAGACAAGCTACAAGCAGCCTGGCAGGGTCCCTACCAGGTAGTGGAGAAGAGAGGAGACACCACTTATGTAATTGCCAGCTGTCACGATGAAAACTTAAGAAAGATATTTCATGTGAACATGTTGAAAGAATACTTACAGAGACCAGAGGAAGTGTCTGCCATATGTAGCCCTGCGCACGAGGACGCAGATAGCCTCCCCATACCCGACTTATTAACCCCTAACGGCCCGGTTGAAATAGTGAGCCAAGTACAGATCGGGGACAGACTTAGCCCAGTTGAGAGGGAGCAGCTACACAAACTGCTCCGAGAGAAACAAGCCATGTTCTCCCAAGAACCAGGGTACACGGAGTTGACCACCCACCAAGTAGATACCCCCGGTCAAAACCCTTTGAGACAGGCGCCCTACCGAATTCCGGAGGCAGTAAGGACAGGCATGAAAAAGGAACTAGATGAGATGCTACGACTAGGGGTCATTGAAGCTTCCGATAGTCCCTGGGCATCCCCGGTGGTTCTGGTCCCCAAAAAGGACGGCACCACCAGATTCTGTGTGGACTACCGGAAACTCAATGACAAAACTGTCACCGATGCCTACCCCATGCCCAGAGTGGATGAGTTGCTGGATCGCATAGCCAGGGGGAACTACCTCACTACCATTGACCTCTGTAAGGGTTACTGGCAAATCCCCCTGGCCAGGGAGGCTGTCCCCAAGTCGGCCTTCGTCACCCCGTTTGGTTTGTACCACTTTAAGGTCATGCCGTTCGGGATGAAGAATGCCCCCACTACATTCCAGCGCTTGGTGGACAGACTGCTTGATGGCTTCCAGGAGTTTGCCTGCGCATACCTGGACGACATAGCGATCCATAGTGAGTCCTGGGAGGAACACTTAGCTCATGTGGGAATAGTCCTGGATCAGATTCGGGCCGCCGGCCTGACTCTAAAGCCAGAAAAATGTCACTTTGGGATGGCTGAGGTTCAGTACCTGGGTTACCGGGTAGGCTGAGGGAAGCAGCGGCCGGAGCCGGCTAAAATAGAAGCGGTCGCCAACTGGCCCACTCCACACACTAAGAGCCAAGTGCTAGCCTTCCTGGGTACCGCTGGGTACTACAGGAGATTTGTACCTGAGTATAGCGCCATTGCCAAACCCCTGACTGACCTGACAAAGAAAAACCTTCCCCGACAGGTCCTCTGGTCTCCCCACTGTGAAACTGCTTTCCAAGCACTCAAAACTGCGTTGATTAATGCTGTCTTGGCTGCCCCAGCCCCTAATCGACGTTTTATTGTCCATACAGACGCTTCCATGTTCGGGCTGGGAGCTGTCCTCAGCCAAGTAAGAGATGATGGGAAGGAACACCCGATTGCCTACATCAGTCGAAAACTCCTACCACGCGAAGTCAGCTATGCCGCGGTAGAGAAGGAGTGTTTGGCTCTGGTGTGGGCATTAAAGAAGCTAACCCCCTATTTGTATGGACAAGAGTTCACTCTGGTTACAGACCATAACCCGCTGGTGTGGCTCAACCGGGTCGCTGGGGACAATGGCAGATTGTTACGCTGGAGTCTATCCCTGCAACCCTTTAATTTTACAATCACCTACCGACCCGGGAAGCAGAACGGCAACGCCGACGGATTATCCCGGCAAACAGATCTCAGCCCAGCATAACTCTACGAGTCTGGACAGCCTTAGTCTGCCCCGAAAAGGGGTCAGACAGTGTCTGCCAGAGTGTCCCACAAAGAGGGAGCATTGTTACAAAAGTCTGGAAATAACTATGTTACTGTTTGCTAATCAATGGATACTGTTTGTCCCGGTATAAGTTTAAAACGAAAGACGCACGAATGGATTACCCGAACCATTATAAAGACTCCATTCGTGGTACGAACAGGGGACCCCCCAGAACTTGGCGTGTGCCGCCACTTAACCCCGTCACCCCGCAAACTACCGAACGCTCGACCACCCAGCCAGCGGCGTGTGGCAGCCATTAACCACCCAGGTGGCTGCGGTTTGCGGTTAACCACAACTTAATTGATAGACCTGGGGCATCGACGTTCGCATCAAAAATACCGAACGGGATATACCGAACTACCAACCGAATGAAGACCCCCTACAGCGGGCCGCGTGGCGATCATTAACTTGTGGTTTCTGCGGTTAACCGCAGGTCAAGTACCCTGCTACCAGGTGGTCCTCGTTCACGTACCGAACGAGTTCCACTACCAGACAGACAGCGGGACTTCGCATGAACTGATACCGAGTTTAGTTCCACATGTTAGAAGCGAGGTCCCGCTGCCCGCTGAACCGTCTAAAAACATGGCAGCCAACAGAGACTTACAATCCCAAAATGCCGAACGGACATTATACGGCAGCAATGGCTCATTCTGTTCGTGGGATTGAAGCGCCATTCGCATGTTTAATGTATAAGAACGCGAGCCTTTAGATGAATGGTAGAATGAGCTGTTTCCTGTTATTAATGTGAAAGTTATGTATTTTTATACAGTTTTTGGGGACAGAATAAAACGTGGTCGTTTGTGCGCTTGGAGATAATTAGATTGTATAACCGTTGGCCTCATTATCTCCAAGCTGGGTGGGTACTAATTCAAAGGATACACTGTACTGTACCTGTATTCCATCAGGTCCACAGGGGGCTGTCCTTGGACCTGAGGAATCACATAAATTGCCATGCTATGTGCCAGTAAAGCCAGTTCGTTTTGACCCTCAACTTGCAGCCTCGACTCATGTTGTAGGGATCCGGGATATTGATGCTTATATCGTGCTTGGGGATATTCTACATTTGCAGCTTACCACCGAAAGACCTCCGTTTGACTCTCTGCAGCGGGATCTAGGATATCCAAGCGATCAACCCTCCTGCTAGACTGGGGGCAATCGTAACAAGTTCCACACCAGTAATGTGCCTTTAAAACTACAATAAACGTGTTGAATAAAATCTTTGATTCCATAAAATTAGTAAGTCACCTAGAATGTCTCAAAAACAGCCCGCTGCTGGCCACCCCCAAACAACCCCTAAAATAAAAAAAAAGTATCCCTCTTTGACACTATTTTAAATGTTGGGGATGTATGCAGGTAGGATTCCTGTACATGAAGCCAGCAATTAAAACCCATGTTCAGAAAGATTCATTTTCCATTGCCATGAGTGAGCTTAGCCAATATCTTATTTTTAATTTTCATGACCTGTAGCAGGTACGTACAAATTTTAGGGTTTTCTTTCGGTTCGGTTTTTACACTTGGCATTTGTTTTTACAGTCAAACATACCAGTCAGAACAAAACACAATAACATTTTAAATAAAGCCATAAAAGCTATACTTTCATATCAGAAGGCAACGAAGAACTTATTAACTTTTCATGCAAAGCAATTTTTGAAATACTGAAACATAGTGCTTAGCAGCATTTAGAACTGTGACGGCAAATGCACTACAGACTACAATTCCCATGAAGCCTGGCCAATGGTGGGTGGGGAGTGGGGGTGGGGGGATAGCAGGAATACCAAAAGGTTAGCCAGCCAGGATCTAGAAGTGTTAATCTCTATGCCTGGATTAACACTGCTCATGGCACACGGAATCTGGCTGGATGCCATCTCGTCAGCCTGTAACTGGTATAAAATGTGCTGAGGCATCAGAAATGGACAAATTCTGCAGACAAGAGACTAACTGGCAGTCTGGCTGCCTGACTTCCCTCCCCAGCTGTATAAAGTAGATCACTTAGAGACCCATCTTAACTTTTGTTGCAAGGACAGGGTTAAAACCTAGATGTGGTGAGATCAATAATCACCCAACACCGCAGCATCACTGGTTGGCAGCCGTCACAGCTGGTATTGGAATAAACATGCAGATGTGCTCAGACATCGCTCCAGACATTTTGATGAGTACAAAGGATGTTTAACCTTAACATCTTGCAGCAGCAGTCAGAACTTACATACATTTACTGGAAATTAGGTTTAGATCAGAAATGTAACCGTATTGTACTTAAAGTTATTGGGGGAGGAGGGGGACGGCTATTACATAAAAGGTATTGCAGCAATCTTCTACAGCTGATCCTTGACATGAGTGTCCAAAGGTTACAGTAACGTCTGTCCGTTTTTGTATAAAGACAATGTTTTGTTTTTGCCATGCCCACTATTTAACAGACAGCCATTTCTACCTGTTAGGGCTGAAGTCCACGCAAGATCTATTTCTAGAACCTAAATAAATTTGGCTTGTAATGTTTACTGAACGTTTGGGAACAGTCCTAAACTGCTCTCCTGTCTCTTTCATGCTCATTCAGATTGCAAGATCTTAGGTGCGGGGACTTGCCATCATAACATATATTAATATGTCTGTTTATACCTCTATCTCACCCACTTTCTGAAGAACAATTTGCTATATGCTTTCATTAATGGTAGAGAATTCTTTAAAGAGTTGTAAAAGGAACCATGCCCTTAGCGTTTTGGGAAGGAAAACTCAAAATTGCTGAACCAAGAAGACACATGTGTTTGAATAATAAAAGTTTTTTTTTTTTTTTTAAAGTCTGCCTGTGGCTGGGTGGGGAGCCGGGCTGCCCGGAGGCCGGCTGAGAAGTGGGAGGAAGTCGGGCTCTGGCGAGGCATGGCTGAGTTTAGGGAATCGGGCTACCCAGGAGCCCCGAACTCTGCGAGGGCCGGCTGAGAGAGGGGGAAGAAGGGCTCCCCAGGGGACGGCTGCGGGGGTGTGTCGGCTGAGTGGTCGAGGGGAGGAGCCGGGCTCCGCCGGGGCCGGCTGAGTGGTCGGGGAGGGAGGAGTCGGACTCCGGGCCGGCTGAGTGGTCGGGGAGGAGGAGTCGGACTCCGCCGGGCCGGGCTGAGTGGTCGGGGAGGGAGAGCTCGGGCCGGGCTGGAGGTCGGGGAGGAGGGAGCGACTGGGCCGCTGAGTGGTCGGGGGAGGGAGGGCCGGACCGGGCCGCTGGAGTGGTCGGGGAGGGAGGAGTCGGACTCCGCCGGGCCGCTGGAGTGGTCGGGGAGTCGGATCGGAGTGGTCGGGGACCGCCAGGGGGCCGCTGAGTCGTCGGGGAGGAGTCGACTCGCAGGGGCCGCTGAGCCGCCGGGGAGGAGTCGGACTCCGCAGGGGCCGGCTGAGTCGTCGGGGGGAGGAGTCGGACTCCGCAGGGGCCGGCTGAGTCGTCGGGGGGAGGAGTCGGACTCCGCAGGGGCCGGCTGAGTCGTCGGGGGAGTAGTTGACTCCGCAGGGGCCGGCTGAGTGGTCAGAGGGAGGAGTTGGACTCCGTAGGGGCCAGCTGAGTGACCGAGGGGGGAGCTGGTCTCCGCAGGGGCCGGCCGGGTCAGCTTAAAAAAAAAAAAGAGGTTCTGCAGGGACCGGCTGAGTGGGCGGGGGGAGCCAGGCTCAGAGGGGGCCGGCTGGGTGGGGAGCTTGGCTCCACAGGGGCCGGTCGTCATGGGAGCAGGGTCTGGCTAGGGCAGCTTAGTAAGGAGCAGAGTTCTTTAGATGTGCCAAGACCTGTGGTCATATCCCACTGATCCCAGTAGAGTACACTGACAAGTAGATGGTATGCCTTTGGTACACGGATCTCATGCTACCCCAATAGACATCAGCAATTTCTTCCAATCTCCTTACTGACCTCAACCTTTAAGGACTAACTGGAACAAATTAATCACATTCATAATTATTAAATCGTATTACACATAGTGAACTACAAGCCTCATAGACGAGTTGATCGGAACCCAACTAGTCATTCAGCTTCTGATTGGGATGCAATCCTGAAACACGCAGAACCCTTACAGTCCGTGCACTAGGCCTCCTTACACGTATTAACCAGGGAATGCAGGCGCGTGCCTGTTGCTACGTGAAACAGCTGTGTTTTCATTAGAAACCACCAAGGTTTCAGAAGGCTATTTAAAAAAAAAAAAAAAAAAAATTGATTCTGGGCTTTAAAAAGAAGAACTTGGGCCATATAGGCAGGTTTGTTTTTTTTGTTTTTTTTTTACCCCAGCACTGTTAATGCAACATAGTAGCAGGTGCGGGTCACTCGCCACAATAAAAATATAAAGTCGACGATAGCATGTATCAATACTTTAATGTAACCACAGTTTTTAAGCTCTCATTAAAATGGAAACCTTGAATCATAATTTACTTTATTTTTATTTATTTTTTCAAATACATTTGTTACAGCTGTTGAGAATCCGACACTGCTGTCCCCCATACAGCCGGTTATGTGGGGCGAGGATGGAGGATGGAGATTTTTTTTTTTTTTTTTAGTAATAAAACATTTAAAACACCCTACCATCCACGCTCCAAACCCTGTATGTGTGTACGTACACACACACACACGAAAGTGCCATCTGAGAAGGATCAGAGCTCTCACGAGAAGAGTTATCATTCAGTTTTCTTTAAAGGGGCACTATAGTCACAAGAACAACTACAGCTTAATGTAGTTGTTCTGGTGAGCATAATCATTGCCTTCAGGCATTTTTATACAAACACTGCCTTTTCAGAGAAAAGGCAGTGTTTACATTGCACTTAGGGACACCTCTAAGTGGCCACTGGAGGTGCTTCCTGGCTCAGTGCTGCACAGTAGGCAGCACTGCTGTTCAGCTCTGCATGGGGCTGCTAAATGTTCCTCACAGAGATGGGAAAGCATTTAATTAGCTAAAAATCGACAGTTCTGATGATGTCACCAAGTGGGCATGGCCAGCACAGCACTGGAAATAAGGCGAGTTTTAATTGCTTGCACTATAGGGTCAGGAATACATGGTTGTGATCCTGACCCTATAGTGTTCCTTTAAACTCCATGAAAGCACATGTCAGTTTACCAGGACAAATATCGCATCAACAGGCTGATAGGTGGTACATCAACATTGTTGCCGCATAGTGTAAAGAAGAAAACCAATTCTGTACTCAAAAAGGTATTCCATCACAAATAAACTACCTAGATTATTTCCTTGAACCCTAATTTGAGGCACAGATGCTACAAACTGCAAGGGATCCCATCTCAGGTACTGACCAACAGCAAGCAGAACTAAAAATGTATCCAGGGGAGTTATGGTGGAAATCGCACAAGATGCCAGGATATCCATGTGCAGTGTTGCAGAATTACACATGGATAAGATGAAGCCGAATTATTTATAATGTGTGTTTTTTTTTGTTTTTTAAACACCCAAATAAATCAAACATTTAAAATACAAATCTGAAAATTTGGCGTTGTAATTTCTGGAAAATTAGAATAAAACCGTGTAACTACAAAACAAGAAACAGACTTGCAAAGAGCAGAAGCAAACCATAAAAGTGATGCACTGTGTTTAAGGCACTTTTCGTGCCATGGGAGATGATTTTTGTACGTGTTTTCAATCTGAAGAGTACAAATCAAGGTCACTTCCTGAAAAGGTGCCACCCACTGCAGCTGCAAGTAAAGTAGGGTTTTATTCACATTAGGAGACAGACGCGCAGAGAGGGGAGAGTGTTATCCTTTGGAAGCACAGGGAGCGCACAGTGTGTATGAATGCAGGACTCACTGTCCCAAGTCATGGCCATAACAAAACCAAGCACAGACAGACAACAACAAAAAAAATTGTTTTTTTCAATTTATAAAACGTCAAACAGAGCTGGGGTCCACCTAGTTTGCCTAGACTCATATCACTTCATGATGGGCAGGACACAAAACATGCCACCCTGTAACATGCAAGAATTATAAGCTGCAGCAAGAGTCCTCCTTGAGTAAATTTCAAATATTGCCCATCAAGTCTTCTACACACAGGAAAATGTGGTTAATTTTGAATGCCTCAGTACCTGCAATGCCAATCAGCCCAGTAGAGATAGACTGCCTCTGTCACTGGCAGCAGCAGACTACCAGCTGGGCCTCAATGAAGTGACAGCCTCTGTAGTGCCTCCGCAGATTACAAGTCCTCAAATACAAAGCCTGGAAAAGGATACACCTTCACCAGAATCCAAAATTAAACTTTTTGTACAACTGAAAACTAAGCAAATGTCAAGATATCCAGAGGCTAAATAATTAAAATCAAATTTAAAGCGATAATGTTAAAATGATCTAATGGGTGTTTGTGGCCACAGACTGCAGATGGATGAAAAATTAAAGTATTTGCAAAAAGTAAAAATCCAGAAGATGGGAAAAGTACAGAAGTAGGACGATGCATGCTGGTGGCCAACAGAGGTAGATTCCTCTACCAAATCCCAAAGTATTTTGCCAACCACTAATGGTGTGTTTGCATCCATTCTATATCTTCCCAAGACATCACAGGTCCAGCTTCAGGAGAAAAAAAAAAAAAAAAAATATATATATATATATATATATATATATATATATATATATATATATATATATATTTATATATTTATTTATTTTTTTACGAGCACCTCCATGTACCAAGAGAACATCCTCCCAAAGACAACTCTATGACTACTGGGATTGAGCAATGAACCCAGAGCAACACAGCAGGTTACATGTATAATGGAGTAGGACTCCAACAGGAAATAGAGTTCCTCTTGACATAGTAGATCACTCTCTGCCTTACCAAATGGACAAACTTACCCTAGGAGTTGGCATGTTATGCCAAAATGTTCGGTCTGCAAATGCAACACTGTTTGCAAGGCATTGACTGGCCATTAACTCCTGTAGACCATTTTGGAACTGGTTCACTAATCACTTGTTCAATACCCAGTCAATATAGAAGGCATTCTAGATAGCCGTGCTAACATGGGATTACGAAGTTCAACCAACAATCTTGGCATTTAGAGAGAGTATTCATTAGGACAGTGGGAAAGAAGTGTTTGTTTTAGCTTTAGCAGAGGGAAATAACAGGGCTAATCTCAACCAATGGGAACAAGCGTCTGAAACAGAAGCAGCGTAGCTCCAAAGTTACAATCAAAAGCATAATTCTAAAACAAGCATTCCTTGTATCCCCACTGCAACAGCGTATTCCAATGTATACTTGGATCCAAATGTTTAGGTAGTAGAAACGGTCGCCAGTTTTCAAGAAAATGAGAACACTTTCATGCCCTTAAACGCAACATTTTCCAGCATTTCCTGGACAGCTGTAGATTGCAAAAATCTTCGAAGACATGCATGTACTAAAAGGGCAAGATCCAAACCATAGAGAAGCATCTTCACATGCAGTACATTACAATTACAGCAAATACTTCAAACAAAATATATGTTGACAGTTACAAGAGGTGCAGAAAGTACGAATTAAAAGACGTTTGCAAATCAGGAGGAAGACGTCTAAAAGAAAGGGAAAAAATGCATTAGAAAGGAGCAGCGTTTGATAGAACGATACATGCATCGAATTAAACGAACACTGGGCACCATAACGATTTGGCGGCACCTGAATGCCAACTTACCTCAAGGATACCACTGCTGATAGGCTAAGAGTATCAGCCTACCAGTAGCTACCCCTTCACAAAAGAACGATTGAGATAAACAACAACAAAAAAAAAAAAAAAAATTGTACTTAAAGTAATTTGTCCATTTCCAACATCTACTAATTAGAAACTTATTCACCTCCTGTATCTAACACTTTGGAACTCCCTGAGTATAAGGTTTCAAATTTGTCAAAATAAACAAATTTGAAAATAAAATCTCTAAATCAGCTACTTTGGCCTTAAAATTAAAATACACTTTGGATTCTCAATTTAGCAAAGAACCCTGTGTGAGAATATGTGCGACGAGGAAGGGGACATAGTTTGGTTTGGCCAGGGAGAGTGCGGAGCTGTAAGAACGAAGTATGAACTTGAAGTCTTGAGTTGCAGCAGACTTCCCATCGTTTGAGACCGCGAGTGAGCTTAGCGTGCCAGGGCCCAAATGCAGTGTCAAACGGACACTTCGAGCAGGTCGTGACTGGGGCTTCCACATGCAGAATGGCAGGAGGAGACAATTATAGAAGGAGATTGCTTGAGAGAGACAGGGAACAGGTTGAGTGTGATGAGAGTGAAACCTGGAGAAAAACTTTATGTAGATCCAGTCAGTAAGAGAACACTATAGGGAAGTGATGGCGAACCTTTTTGAGCCCGAGTGCCCAAACCGCAATACATGCCAACTTTTTTTCTCCTTAAAGTGCCAACACGGCAATTAAACACAAATACTGAGGTTTAAGTTTAGAAAAAACAACTCGTACTGTTGTCCGAACTAATAACTTTTGTTTTAAAAGAACACAGAGTTCAATGATACAAATTTTAAATAATGATATAAATAGATAAAATTAAGCTTATATTTATTAGTATCTCCAACAAATGCAATACACACACACACAGACTGCTGAATACATACACACAGTCTGTTGAATACACACACACAAGACTGCTGAATACAGAGACTGCTGAATACACACACACACACACACACAGACTGCTGAGTACACACACACACAGACTGCTGAGTACACGCAAACACACAGACTGCTGAATACACGCACACACACAGACTGCTGAATACACGCACACACACACACATACTGCATTGAGGTGGGGGGTGCTGTGTGTGTGGGTGTTGGGGTAGGGTACTGCGGGGTAAGGGCACTGCTGGGGGGGTAGCTGGGGGAGGGCACTGCTGGGGGGAGGGGTACTGCTGGGGGGGAAGGTACCGCTGGGGGAAGGGTACCGCTGGGGGGGGAAGGTACCGCTGTGGGGAAGGCAGGTGGGGAAGGCACCGCTGGGGGGGAAGTACCGCTGTGGGGGAAGGGGTACCGCCAGGGGGGGTAAGGTACCGCTGGGGGGGAAGGTACCGCTGGGGAACAGGAGTTTCTGTTTCCTGTACCCGGTCGGACTCCCAGGAAGGTGCACACTGAGCGTGCACCTTCCTATCACTCCGGCCGGCCACCGCGGACAGCAGAGCAGCTCGGCCACGCTACAGGAGAGGTGAGAACCAACTGCAGCCGCCTGAGCGCTCTTGACAGAGCGCTCAGGCGGCTGCAGTATTTAAAGGGCCGGCGTATAACACGCACCCATAATTTCCCCCCTATTTTCAGGGAGAAAAAGTACGTGTTATACGCCGATAAATACGGTAAATAAAATCAGAAATGCAAGCACCATATTACATTCAATCAAGCTACATCTCCTTACCAGAGGGCCTGCAAGTACAGCTCATTACAAAAGGCAATGAGAGTCTCGCAGCTAGTCGCACCTTTAAGTTGAATCAGACTGTGTCTTGCAAGCAAAAAGCGAACAGCTGTCACACAAGCATTTTAAGATGCGCCTGCTATCCAACTGCAGTCTGATTTCCAAGAAAACATGTTTTGAGCTGAGCTGTATGACCAGAAAGAAAGAAACAGAATAAAATTGGATGCTAGCAAGTGTGGTGGGAAGTTGATATAGTGGAAGACAATGGGTGATAGATATAGAATTTAGAACTGATCATTTATAGTCACAGTTAAAAGGACTCCTAATCCATTATTTCCTCCTAAGATACATAATGCAAAGTATGGACTACTTTGCCTTATGCATTTTTCCTCCACTTGACATAACTAGTCTTGCATGATCCACCAAAAACCTCACTTACTTGCGCGCATGCAAGGCTTTAGAACAGGGGTAGACAACCTTCAGCACTCCAGATAACATGGACTAAATCTCCCATAAAGCTAGCAACAATGTCGTCTACAACCCCTGAAGCACCAAAGGTGGTCTATCCCGGCTTTAGAATATCAAAGCATCACCAAAGTTGTAGTCCTGACATTACTCTTAATGAAGGGGTATATTGCTGCTTGGGACTGTTCACTCCACATTTTACTTAAATGTACACTATAGTCAGCAGAACAAATGCAGTGTTTACATTACAACCTAGGTATACCTCCACAGGCCACTTCTCAGATAGCTGTTAGAGGTGCTTCATGGGGCAGTGCTGCATACTGTGACTGACATTCAGTGTCTCCACCCTCTGCATACAGACACTGAACATTCCTCATAGAGATACATTGATTCAATGCATTTCTATGAGGAGATGCGGATTGGTCAGGGCTGTGTTTGGCTTGTGCTGGCTCGGACCCTGATCTGCCTCCTTGACAGTGTAAGCCAATCCTATGGTAAAGCATTGTGATTGGTTCACAGAATCACTTCTGATTATGTCAGGCATATCAGATGGAGGGACAGCAGCTGCAGACTTGAATACAAGTAAGATTTTACTATATTTAGGGAGGAAAGAAGGGGCTAGATGGTGGTATTTACAGTATAGGGTCAGGTATACAGGTTTGTGTTCCTGACCCTCTAGTTTTCCTTTGAGCTGACCATCAAGTAAAATATACAGATATTAAAAAGCGAATCCAACAACAAGCTCAAGCTATAATGTTTTTTTTTTGTTTTTTTTTTGCTACATAGCAAAACAGAGCACAGATGTTGCAAGTTCAACAGCAGCTGATCCATAATTCAATTTTGTGCAGATGGCATTACCCTGATATAGGTTTACTGTAAAATAAAACTGAATAAAAAGAGAAAGAAAATCACCATGTACTTTCGGTATTTGAGGAATATTTCCAATTGTTTAGCTCTAATAGGTTAACCAGGTTCCAACTGCATCCCCTAATGGGATGCACTTTTTCTTAGGATGAGCCATATTTGTGGCAGAGTTGTCATGGTAACAACTTCTCCAGCGCTGCATCAAGGTCAGGCCTTAACTACAGCCGTCTACGCTTAGATTTTGTGAAAAGAGAAAAGGAAGGAGACAAAAAAAAAAATAAAAAAAAAAAATAAAAAAATAAAAAATTATTTTTTACTTGCACATGATCTACCTAGATTTAGGTGATGAGGGCTGTTAGCATTCAAATATAAGATTAGAATCCAAAAATGAATTAAAATATAACTTGAAAACTTAAATACAGAATAAATAACTCGCAGGAGATTGGGTAAATCTTCTGATTTTAAGTTACTTCTGAAATACAATATCATAAAAGTAAAAAAAAATAAATAAAATAAAAACACACACACACACACCACACACACCACACACACACACGATTTCACTGAAGAAAATTAAAAAAAAAAAATCATATAAATTTTAATTCCGGTAAGATGAAAGGCACTGCTCCCAAAATTGATCACAGCTGCCATCAGCTTCGTAGTATGCCAAACCATCAGTTAGTACTTTAAAGGGACACTCAACACCATAACCACTGCAGCATGCCCTTGTGCCCCCCTGCTTCCATGTACGTACTCAAAATATTTGCTGGTCACCTCCTCCATGAGAGCTGGAAAGACTCTGCATTAAGGCGACGTCCAGCTATACTCAGGGGCTGAGAGAGCTTCTAGCTCCCCAGAGTGGAAGAGGAGAGACTGGGGGAGCAAAGCCAAGCAGATCCCTGGTAATGGGAGTGCAATCCGGTACTAAAAACTAATACAGCACACTGTATGGTACTTTGAGGGTTCCTTTCATTACTGCTGTGTGTTAATTGAGTTAATGAAGTCTGCATTGGTTTTCTCCAATAACATCTTTTGATACCCAACACTCTTCATGTCCTAGTGAATAAAAAATAAAAAATAAAAACTGAAATTTTTTGCCAGTGCACTCACCCACATACCTCTAGACCACATCAATACCCAAGAGTACATGAACAGATCTACCCATCTTTTGAGGGGTTAACAAAAAGATGCAACAAACAATCCGAGTCATCTTTCACACCCCCCAAATTAATTTTCTCCTCCTCGCTAGGCTTTAACCCTTCGAGGCGGAAGCCAATCACGAGGGTGGAAAGGGTGGAGGGAGGGAGCGTCTGTCATGAATAGGGCTTTCATTGAACGTAGTTGACCCGATTAGCAGCACATCCCACTGCTCTGTTCACAACATTTTCTCAGAGCACACAGTGGTAATAATAAAATAGAAAATGCCACACTCCATATGGAGCTAAAACAGACATTGTTACATTTACATGATTTAACACAGCATTCAGGAACAAGAATAATAATTCTAGATCACAAAGTATTCTGCCTGTTCAGCTCTCTTACCATCGCCCTACAAAATCTCCAACATATTCAGAAGCGCTGTACAATGTGAACACAACTAGATGCATGCATTTTTGACAAAGCAAGTAAGAAATGCATGAATCAACGGCAGTAAAGGCACTTAAATAGAGTAAATGTAGGTTGGGAGTGACGTGGCTGGAAAAAAGCAGAGGGGACAGCAAGCCAATGTTCCGGCCCTTTCTCCTTAATCTAATGAGGTCACCGCTGTGTACATTATTTGCAACAAGGCAGAGAGATGTCAGAAAGCGGAAGTATTCCCCTCCCTTGGAAATGCTAAAGAGTCTCAATATGACTGGTTAAAAAGGAACACTAGAAGAACCAGCAAGCTGCAGTGGTTATGGTAACAGGAGAGTCCTGGTGCTCATTTAAAAACGCAAGTAGTCAAACCGTTTGCCGTTTTTATAATACAAGGCAGCTGGAGTGCCATGACAATTAGTCAATCTAGGAGCTGATCCAGACCACGATCCGGAATATAGGCCAGGGGATGAAAACTCACCTGAAGCAACATTCTGGAAACGGCTAACGACTGATAGCATTTCTTTAATAACTTTAAATAGGCCTAAAAGTAGATCTCACTACTAGTTAAAAGCATATCCAGCTAAACTCAGGAGGAATGCACAGCAAGCATTTGTCACACAGATTCCCTCAAGTCCACCCACTGACTGGCTTTCCCCTTACAGATCCAAAAGTGAGACAGAAATTAAAGTTCATTTGAAGAAGTGAAGCAAATGACAATTTGATTCGCTTTCCAACGTCAATTGAAGTGAATATTATTAGATCCTTGAAAAAAGAAAAAAAAATCTCTCAACTATAAAGGTAAATTAAGAGGAAGCGGAATGCGGCAGGGATGAAGAATAAACTCAAAATCTAACAAAAAGGCAGGGATTTCAGGAATTTCATGGATCTGCAAAGGGATGGCTGGTAACTGCAGTTAAGAGGCAGATAGGTCTGTAGCAATAAGTCAACAGAAAATGAAAATTAAGAATTAAAGCTTTATCAAAACAAGGTCTATCTTTTAAAAAAAAAACTCTTGGACGGCCGAAACATATGACCGCGCTCACCCCTCTCATTTGGGACAACTACCGAAAGAGAAAATGGGAGTAATGACGCAAATCTCCCCAGCCCTTCCACTGGAAGCCCTACAGTTACTTATCCCCAATTTCAACTACAGGATCTGGAATAGGCACAGCGTGCTCAACATGTCACAATTATTGCAAGGCCCAAGCCTTAAAAAAAAAAAAAAAAAAAAGTTTAACACAAGTTTCAGTTTCAAAGAGGAACTTGGGTTGTAAGCTCTGACCTTCCATACAAATCAATTAACCCCTTTTAAAATTGAAAATGTACTTTTGAGGCATTTTACAATTGTATGCTTTTCTGTACCTGGGAGATGATGGGGTTTGTACAGTTCCGGACTCAATTATCTCCCAGGCACAGGGGGTTTCCATACAACTTGGCTGTACCATGTCCCACTAAAATATATTCCAGTTGTACTCCCAGAACTATGTCGTCTAGTTACTGGGAGTGGAAAGGGCTAATCCCTGCTCCAGTGTGCAGGATTCAGCGGGGAAAGTCCTGTAAGGACTAGAGCACCCAGGACTGTGTGTCGTCCAGTCCCTGGCAGTGGATAGATGTACACTCACGTGGGATGCTCACAAATGCATTGCTATCCAGAGATGCTCCATGAAGCGCTGAGGTTTTTCCCCTGTTCCAGCTAGGAAGCGGTCCTTGGCGGAGGTACCCAGTCGGGGTACAGGGAGCACCGTTACAATGGTGCATGGAGAACACTGTAACTTAGAAGTTATAGCGAATTTATATGTTTAAAAAGCATTCAGGAGCAATACCAATATGTATTCAACCAAAACATGATCTCTAGGGAATCAGCGAGTTGCTCAATGGCCATGGATAGGCTTGGCAAAGCTCTGACAGCCAGTCATTGCCAGCCAAGGTTGAACAGGTAACCCAGAATGTAATCTCCGCACGATCCAAGCAGGAGGCGAGAATCCAGGCTTTAGTTTTCAAGATGCCCAGTTTCTGACAAACTATATTTTAAAAGGAGGGTCAGTGTCCAAAGGCTCCTTTGCAGCATATCTGCTACTGAGCTGTGGGTATGGTGCTTCGCATGCCATTTTAAATCCAGAGCAGCAGGCTGCAAGTGACGTTGCTGCGCTGCCTTCAGTAAATGAACGGGCAGAAGAAAATATTTACTCAAAGCATTGCCCCATGAATGCCAAGCCCGTTAAAGTGTCAGCCTACAGAAACCGGACAGACCCAGGTAAATCACATTTTTCGTGGCCCTCTAAAGCATGCCAACATATCCCTCAAAGCATAAAATGGAATAATTTTTTGTTAAATTCCTCAAATCCTTAAAAAAAAAAATCATGACATTTAAAAAAAATCCTTAAAAAAAAAAAAAAATGGACAAAACTGTTGTAGTTTCAGATTTTACTGCAATGATGTGTGTGGTAGGGGGATGTTTATGAGAATCTTAGTCGTTAAAAGACTTGCCATGTGAAAGATGTGTAAAAATATATATTTTTTTTTTGGGGGTGGAAATTTCCATTCATCTTCTAATAAACTGGAGACTCTAAAAAAAGACAACCATGTATGAAGGTAACAGACAGACAATCTGGAAGGCAGCCTGTTAAATAGGCTATTTATCTTCATACAAGCATTCCTGCTCCCAGACAAGCTGCATCCTTCCCCACCCCCTGCCCATTTAGGGAAGATATAGAACTCAGAACACAATTACATCAAACTGCCAATCAAGGCTCCCTGCAAACAGGACACAAAGTTACAAAACACAAGGAGTATTACAATTCTCCAAATCCCACAAGGTCATAGGATATGTTTAGTTTATTTTTTAAATAAACTAATGTTGGAAAAAAATAAACTAAAAAAATCATCAAGTGTCCAAAAAACAACCAAAAAGACAAATTGCCCCTTCCCTTTTCCCTGTGTTGAGCAATCTAGCACCACCGACAAGAGCAGAGACGTCGTACAGCTCAGATACAGCTATTTGAGACATTGGGCCCCAATGTGAAATGTACGAAAAATAATATTTTTAATTTCCCAACAGTGTATTGCGCAATTAAACCATGTTTTTACAGTTCTAATAATTTTACTGGTACAAACCTATTGCACTACAGTGACTGGTTAATAAAATTAAAACACTGTCTTGGCACAGGGTCCAATACCTTCCCACAATGCCATGTACACTCACGTGGGATGCTCACAAATGCATTGCTATCCAGGCTGCACTTTGAGGGCCTTACAAGACGCGTTTAAAAAATAAATAAATAAAAAGCCCCACTGAAGAGAGCCTGGTGGAGAAAACGCTTAAAATAAAGACAAATCTTTAGTAAACTACCTTTCAGTAGCTTTTGAAATAAATAGCGAGGCAAGGGGATGGAACCACAGGACATGATAACTATCAAGGGGATGCATGGGTGCATCCCTTTAAAAGGGACACTGTAGACATTTTAATTGCTTCATCTCATTGAAGTGGTTCTAGTGCCTAAAATCCCCTGGTGCTCTCCTTTAATTCACGATGAACAGTTAAATGTTTTAAAGACAAACGAGAGTCTCCAGCAGTCAGACTCCTTGGTGCTGCTTGGACATATTAGGAAGCATCAGCCTGAACAGCAATGGGTGGCTGTGATTGGCTGAAAGTGTCATCTGATTGCTTTTGGCCTATCACAGCAATCATTGCTGGTATGAATTGGTATAGCAAATAGGAAGTGTGTAAACTCTGTCTTAGCCACACCTTCAGTGGGGCTGGGCTGAAGGTAAGCAAAAACCCTTATTTATTGATAAACTTCTTAAAAGTTTCTTACGTTTAGGTCAAATAGATGAACTGTAACATAGCAGATTAAAGAAATACATTCTATTACAATGTTTAGACAAGGAGTAGAAGGGAAAAAATAAATAAAAACCACTTTAGAATTCTAAAGACATAAGCTTATTTCTATCGAGAAGAATAAATAAATAAAATGTGTTATTTTTAAATTGTTAAACTTGTAGACATTTTCCACTCATTGGTTCAGTACATAGCTGATCGCTAACTGGATCTGGCACTGAGCGTAGATCTGCAACTTCAAACTTTGCAGAGGACGATAAGGCTTCTATTACTTTTGGACGGCTACACGCAGCTTCCTGTTGTGATATGTTCTTGGCAGGCAGACATAGAATTCGCAGGGTGAAGATTGCGGTAGATTTTTATTTTGTTTTTGTTTCTAAACACAGTTGCATAAGGTGGCCTGGAACGGTTGATGCTTGCTGCAAGTGGAAATTTTCACTTCTGACCAGCCAATATCCCTGCCCGTTGATACCATATTTGCAATTTTTATCACCAGCGTCACTACACTAACAGCATAGCAATAAAGAGTGAAAACTACAATAAAGGAACACCCCCAAGAACCATAACCACTACATCCAGCTGTAGTAGTTATGGTGCCAGAATTAGCCAGCATTGCCTTCCAAAGCTTAGCTCTGGGGTGCCAACGGAAGGTCCTTGCATAAGTCTCCAGCTACAGAGGAGGCTGCAAATGGCACCCAGCATGACCCATGTAAATTGGGGGGGGGGGAGGAAAAAAATATAAATAAATAAAATCGCTCTTACATGGTATTTGCACTAAGAAGGGCACTAGGAAAATACTGGCACCATAACTAGTATAGTGCTTAAAGTGTTCTTTTCATATAGTTTTCATTTTGCTTGTATATTTGATCATAGATTACAGAGTCACACGCTGTACTAACTGCATAATGTGGAGGGTTTGTTTGTTAAGACACATTATCTACCACCTACCCCCAAGTAGGAGGGGAGGGAGAGCCTTGTATATCCAATAGACTTTCACTATTCCGCCCATGGAGAGACAAAGCTTCTTTTTCCAGACTTTTTACTACTGCATTCCCACAGCGGCCAAGTGCAGTAGTTAACCCACGAAGTGCCATACTTATTCACGTTGGGGAAACCTGGTATGTAAGGCAGACTACACAGCAAGGAACTATTTAGGGTTACCAACAGGCATTAGCTGGACCCTATTCTTCAACTGTAAAAATAATTTCAGCAAGCCAACCGAACTAGATTTTTCCCAGCATCTGAGATATCCACTGCTCTACGAAAGCAGTCCTGCTACAGAACACATTTATTGTGGGCACTAGGCAGTTGCCTAGATCCTGATGAATGGGAGTGCCTTTTTCAACTATTGGGAACGCACTGAAATATAGGGATGTCATTTTGCCTCCAAAACTACATGTTAAAGGGACACAACTTTTATGTGGTTTCTAGCCCAACGGAAGTACAAGTGACAAAGACCGGTTTTGAGCATTATTGATCTTATGTAGAGTCAAGCCTCAACACAATAAAAAAGTTAAATGTGTTTTTCCTGAAATGGGCCATGATGAACATATCACAATATCTTATGTGACTTTTTCTTTTCATTTTTAAAAAATTGTATGGTACAACACACAATGCATTTTTTTTGTTTTGTTGGGCGCCCCCCCTCTCTTTTTAAACTAGACAACTCCAGGTAAGTGTTTTGATTGAGGCTGTATGCTTGATAGGCAGAGACTGTATTATGATACAAAAAAGTCATTAGCAGAATCATGTCTACAAAGCAGTAGGACTGTTGGAAATACAAAGGGTGTGGTAGGGACGGGAACAGTCAAAATATTTCCCCAACTTTTTTGGTTAGCACTCATTCTCTCCTAACCCCCCACCTCACTATATAACCCTTAGGTCACCCCCCACCCGCTGGGCTGAAGGGGTTAAATCCCCTTCAGCCACTTACCTTAATCCAGCGCCAGGCTCCCTCTGTGCTGGTGACCTCTCCTCCCCCTCAGACGTCCGCTCCCAAACCAGAGCCACGCGCGCATTAAAAAAATGCCCATAGGAAGCATTTCTCAATGCTTTCCTATGGACGTTCTGCGTGCTCAATGCGATTTTTGTATTCAGCGTCACAGAAGCGGCTGTCAGGAAGACAGAGGCTGGATTAACCCTGCAATGTAAACATAGTTTCTCTGAGACTACTATGTTTACAGCTGCAGGGTTAAAACTTGGGGGACCTGGCACCCCAGCATTGAGCTGAAGTGGTCTGGGTGACTATAGTGGTCCTTTAAAAACAAATTGCAACAAATTGCATCCCTAGGGTTCCTTGCAGTCTGGGATCCCTTAGGAGCATGGAATTTTTGGGCCCACTACAAAAATTGCAAAAATTAAAACAAAAAACAAGAACATAACAGCGAAGATATACGTCAAACTCTGCATATCCAGTTAATGTCTGCCCCCCGATACACACAAAGTGCTGAAAATTATAAAAAAAATAAAAAAAAAATAAAGATTTAACATGTATCACCTCAATGACCACTAGAACACTACACAAACAACGGTTTCATTGCCACTAGCACCATACTCTATGATAGATACAAAGTCGCAAAGGGCGTACCTGGAGCATTTGGCACCCGGGGCGGATCCTTTATTTGGCATCCCCTCCACTTAAAAATGTAAAAAAAAAAAAAAAACAACCACAATTTTTTTTTAGTGTATTTAGCACTGAGCAGTGTTTGTATTTTTTAATGTAAGCATGTTTTTGTATGGAGTATGTGTGAGTGAATGTACAGGTGTGTTTGCACGTATTGGCATTTGAATGCAGGCATGCATTTTTCTGTAGCGTGGTTTTTGAATATGGTGGTGTGTTTATATGTAGTGTTGACATTTGGATGCAGGGTCGTATTTGTGTGTAGATTAGGCGAAATGCTGAGATGTATGCACACACACACATACTGGCACACATACACAGAGGTACACACATGCAGTTACATAGAAAGTCATACACAGACAATTACTGACACACATACAGATACAAACACACACAGAGGCACACAGACACACCAAAAGAAACACCGACACACAAACAGATACACATGTATAAGTGTGTGTTGGCATAGTGAACGCAGCGTGTGTGCACACAGTGTGTGTATAGTGTGTGCAGTGTGGAATAAGTGCTGGGAAGGTGAGCAGTGCGTATGGTTTGCCCCTCCCCGCCCCCTACCTGACACTTACTTGTCCCTCCCGTCCTCCTCGATTGGTGGTCTGGTGGCACAGCTTTAGTTGGGCAGTGAAGAGGGGCCCAGTACTCGTCTCTCCACGCTCATTTCCTATCCAGCAGCAGCAGGGTCCTCTGTTCTCGCGAGCCGCGGGTTTCCATAGCAACCTGCGGATCACGAGAACAGAGGACCCTGCTGCTGCTGGATAAGAAATGAGCGTAAGTGGCTGGTCCCTTTACATAAGACACAGGGGCGGCGAAATCACCCACCTCAACCCCCTGGTGAGAGTGCCCCCCAGGCAACCCCTAGTGAGTGGCACCCGGGGCGGACCGCCCCCGCCTTAGTGCGCCACTGCAAAGTCGTATACCAGTAAACCATCTTGAGCTTGGGGACACTCGAAAAATCTTAAAGCCTTTCACACTAACAAGCTTAACTTGCTGGACTGGTTTGTGCGTTTTTCTCTCGTCTTCATTTTACAAGTGCTGATTTCAATAGAAATTGGTACTTTTATAAATGTTGCTTGTTACACCCCCCGGGGCTGTCAATCAGATTACCATCCCTATTACTTCCTGGTTAGTCAGCCACAGAAAGTACTTGCCTGGTAGGAAGGGAATAGCTTGCATACGCTTCAGACAAGAGATTGGCAGCTTTTGTAAGCAATTTGTAAGATAACCTCAATGGATTAAAAAAATATATAAAATAAAATTACAAAAATTAAAAGCAGGATTGTTTTAATTAGAGTAGATTAAAAAAAAAATAAAGTGGTTTTAATTACTTTAAATGTTTTTTGTTTTTTTCTCCAGGGGCAATGGAGTCTCCCTTCAAACAAGGCAGTCCGTACTTTTTACTACCAACTTCAGTCCAACAGAACCAGCCAAATAAATAAGGGTGTTGTGCAATTATTAGTTAATCACATGTTGCTTAAAATGGATTGAACATTAAAATACCAATCAAGAAGATCCAGAGATACCATGAGAAAGTACAGACTACTTCGGACAAGCCAGGGGTGACAAAAGTGGAGAACAGACAGAACTCTCAACTTTTGTCCTATTCCAGTACCTGTCACCTTGAGCACTCAGACACTGATCTATGAAGGTAACCAAAACTGACGCACCAGGAGCCGAAGAGGAACTGCAAAACAAAGATGGCAGCAGCAAGTAAAATCTTCCTTTGTCATCTGTGGCCACCAGACCTGAAAGCGTGAAGATGTATGGTACAACACACAATAAATTTTTTTTTTTTTGTTTGTTTCCTCCCCCCCCCTCTCTTTTTAAACTAAACCACTCCAGGTAAGTGTTTTGATTGAGGCTGTATGCTTTATAGGCAGAGACTGTATTATGAAACAAAAAAAGTCATTAGCAGAATGACGTCTACAAAGCAGTAGGACTGTTGGAAATGCAAAGGGTGTGGTAGGGACGGGAACAGTCAAAATATTTCCCCAGCATCATTTCACGGAGTCAAACTCCAGGAAGAGCCTCTAGTGGCTAATAGACAATAGACTGTATCTCAAAAAAAAAATATGCAATGTTTTACATTGCAGGGCTAACGGACAATGCACCCAGACCTATTCAAAGATATGAGGTGGTTTTTGTGCCTATACTGTCCCCCATATTAGTTTTAACTAAAATACTGTAGCATAAAAGGTTGTCAAGAACACACACTGGTTTACCAGCAAAGGATATGTGTTTTAATATATAACTGACCCAGACTAATCTGAACAATCACAGAGGAGATAGCCCCTTAGGGGTGACCAGTCATTACTTTAACATTAGTGAAATGTCACAGAAGTATGGGATGTCCAACAGTAAAACTACAGTTTCTACACTCCTTCCAGTCACCACAGTAACATATACCAAAGGAACAGTGTCCAGCGTAGATTTTAGCAATGTGACATGTCAGGCTGGATAAACAGGACTGAGATCAAGGGAGGTGAAAAACGCAAGTATCCCAGAATTTATGGATAGCCCCTGACAGAAGAAAAGACTTGTAAGGTTAATTTTGAGAAGTTTTACCAACTTCCAGGAACTTCATAAAGAGAATAGCTGAAAAATGTGTCCAAAAGGTAAAATTAAAAACCTCAACCTTGCATGGGTAAGCGTTCAAGATCCCAAAATGACAAGATCATGATAAAAAGGAAAATTAGGAGAAAAATAAAGTACCGGTAATATGGAGATTAGTCATGATGTCAACAGTTCAATAATCAAAATTAAGTTACATGGACGAGAAACAGGAAGTCGGTTCAAGAAAGATAACGTTAGGCAGAGCGTACTATAGGACTGGCAAGTAATCAATGTCGCACATACACTCCAGAACAGATGCACTGCGTGATTATATCATTACTGCGCACACACGGAATCAAAAATAATGCTCAAGTGCGTAACAATAACCCATATTTTTGAAAAAGTATTAGTCTTGGTCAAATGTGAAGTAGACTGGAGTTGCATAGAGCAAACATCATACCAGATGGTGTCACTGGTATATGTACAACATACTATCAACATAGGGATAACAAATGGTGGGGGTGAGCGACCAAGAAATCAGTGAGGCTTATTAACTAAATATTGCTGCTGTCAGCATAAGTGAAAGGCCAAGTCCGTTTCACTAAGCAGTTAACATGCATGGCTTTAAACACACATGTAGCACAGATTCAGTTCAAGCTAGAGACAAAAAATAAAAAATAAAAATAAATTTACATGCCACCATCTCTGTAACAAGTTTAAAAATAAACTTAAAAAAATAAACTTGTTAATATTTTTAATAATCCAATTTCTTTTTTTTTTCTTGGAAGTAGCAATTTAATTCCAAATCCTCACTCCATGTCATAAAATGCTGCACAGTGGAATGTTCTGCATCCGTTTCGCTGTACATACAAAGAATAATCACCAAACCACAGAACTGCCACGTTCCTTTCCAAAGTTTCATTTCTTTTACGGACTGTCAAAAGAGAACAGGAAGCAGAATTGTCCCTGGTCGCCATTGGTCATTAGAAGAAAAACAGTCAGGATTATTCACGACACTACAAAATGTAGCATATTGGGGAGAAACTAGTAGGTCTACAAAATAGCTATTCACCAATAATCACAGCTTGGTTACTTAACACTTTAGTCACACAGATCACTTCATCTCAATGATGGCATACCGTTAAGGCTGGGTTTGCAAACCATAGAAACAAGCACTTTTATAAACTAACCTTGCTACACCCAGTCAATTGATCCAATTATTTCCTGGTTGTTTAGTTCAGTAGAACTGAACTCAAGATGCAGCAACTGCCCAGAGCACCTGCCTTGCAAAGACTTCTCATTGAGCTTCATTGGGAAGTCTGTGATTGGACAGCAACAGAAAGTGTGGGCGGGGTTAAAAGGGGAGGGCTTGTAAAGGCTGCAGACAATAGATCTGCAAGGTTTGCCGGCTGTTTTTAGATGTAGCACAACAAAAAAAAAAAAAGTTGAATTAAAAGCATGCATGTTTTCATTGTGGATAAATATCTACAAAACAGTGGATTTGTATTTAAAGGAGTAGAGTGCTTAAATATTTCCCATACTCCAAGTGACAACAGCTCGAAGAGCAAAACTGTAAACCTGGTTAACATAACTGACGACCACATACAGATTAATTTCATGCGAGTGTCAGAGACGTACATGGGGTGTCACATCTATAGTACAAACTTTAGTCAATGGAGGCCAGTCAGCATGGCACACAAGCAATCTAAACAAAAATCTGAGATCAAACGCTAAAAAAGGATCTACAATGTTACCAATTCTAGCAAAGAGGAACAAGTTATGGTTTTTGTAAAATCACAGAAGTGGTATATGCTTCCTGCGTAGTGTGAATACACAAATCGGACATAATTCTGATGGTTAGCATTGTACACTCACATATAACACTCTATAGATTACGAGATCTAAGAATAGCCAGTACAGGGTGTATACAGTAAATAGTGAAGTGACAAAAAGAGAATAACCATTTTTAAAATAAATTCAAACACGACTATTTTTGCATGAGTCATTCGTTTATATTAGCATGAAAATTTCAAATTTGACTACAAAGTCACAGCCCACTTTGGAAAATACCCAGAAATTCAATTATGCAAAACATACCAGAAGCTCTACAACAAGAGGATCCACACACACACAAGAACACTTACCCACCCAATTCGGGACAGTTGGGAGTTCTATTGTAACGGGACATATGTGATAAATGCACCATAAGTAAGGCATATTTATCTTTGGATTTTAAATACACAAAACAGAGCAGACAATTTTTGTCATTCATAGTATTAAAGCAATGATCAAGAGATAAAAACTATAGAAGTGAGAATTATATTTGTGGTCAGGGACAATAAGCAGAGTAAGTGGTATAAGTCGGTTCTGGTGTGCCGAAACTGACTTCCGGGTAGGCCTGTAATCTAAGAGGGACATCTTAATAAATCGAGAGGTGGGTGGGCGGAACCAGGTGGTATCGACCCAGTGAGAGTGGTGGCCTGTGTGTTCATAGGCCAGGTAACACCTCCCACAATTCCAGGCTCCGCATTCCTATATATAAAAAACACACAAAGGAATGATGACCACAGTAATATGCAATTTTCACTGCATCAATTGACCTACTAATAACGAACATTATCTGTTTAAACCTCATGGCTACAAGTGTGCTCCCTGGCAGGGACCAATAAGCCACAAGAAAGCATGAAAAGGCTCTGCTTATATAAAACACTAAATTCTCAGTGGGCAATTTCAACTAACCAGTATCAAGGCAGCGGGAGTCCACCAACTCGAGACATACCAGAAGAATGATCATAGGCAAAAATAAATAAAATTTGAAAAATAAAATAAAAAATTTAATTATATTTGTAGCTTGTCGAGTGTGACGGATGTTAGTCAAAACATTAAGTGGGAGTGATTACAATTTTCCAAGTAGTATTCACACCCACACAAATAGCAATAATAAAACACACCCATTCAAATATACAGACAGTAAAAACCAAAATGAAATCTAAAAACAAAAACAAAACACACAAGCCTTTTAAACTACTGAGGTGCCTATTCACTAAACACTAAAGAATGAATTTAAAACCTTTTTGGAAATTTTAGCCACGAATATCCATGCTGTGAATATAGCCGAGAAGGGGGAGGTTTTCCAAACCAATGATTTTTGAAAATATGTTGCCATCCAATACAATGTCATTTAGAGAATAAACTCCGAACTCAGCATCAAAATGTTTAACTGCAGCTTTATACAAAAAAAAAAAAATCAAACATCAATTAAAAAAAAAAAAAGTTAAAATTGTTTCATGAAAATAAAATATACTACACATTGTAAGATGTAAGAAATAGAATTAATGAATTGAAAGCATTAATAAATTCTATAAAATACTAAATTTCAAACACTTAAATTGGCTTGGATGGCTATGAGCCAAACAGAATGAACAATAGGTAAACTAGTCGATGGACTCAGTAGACATTGGCAAACTTATGGATATGAGAAGAGCGTGACTGAAGACCAAGGGTCATGCAAATTATTTTAAAACCATGACAAGCGTGGCATGTCACTGGTCAACAAGGCCATCACAAACCTTGAGATGCAGCAACCTGCCACTTGGGCTGATTGAATTGGTTATGATACAGACCATGCAAAAATAAAATAAATTAAAAGCACTTGCTAAGAATGAAAATTATTTTAAAATCTCATTGCCCACACGGAGTCACCTGTACCCATGCAGGCATCTCAACAAGACAAACTAGCAAGATTAAACAGGCTCAAGTAACCCAGAGCAGTCGGGTTAACTCTGGGTGGCCCTAAACAACCCAAGACTGGAATAAAACCTTGCATTCCAGTATTTTGTTTTTTTCCCCCCATTCTTCAAAAAGTAACTATGGTGTTATTTAATTATTGGGAGTTGGAAGGTCTTAAATTGTACGGCAGGGAAGAGATTTTTTTGGATGGCTAAATAATAATTCAGCATAGGCCGTAATTTAATCTGTTTTTTTAAAGCTGATAAAGTCAAGGCTTCTGTAAGCATTACATATGTGTTAGCTTAGTCTCTTCAGCCTTGTTGACATTCCTTAAGATGCTATCTGTAACTCAAGACTGTAAGGCACTTGTTAGCTATTAACATGATACAGAGACTATACCCTCTCTTCCCAATTATTCGAGTCCATGGCAACCTGGATTACTGCTCATTTAAATGCAGGACCTGAGACACCCTCCACAGCCTTGAAGCTGCAAGGTCCAAGAACATTTAACGTGCTAAAAAGGTTCAACTTACTCAAACAATGGACACAATCCCAGTGTCCTCTCTCTCCACCAGTAAGACGACTAGAGGATATTGTTCATTTAATGAGAAAGCCAAATAAAACCCGTGCTTAGATCCCTTATTAGCAAAGCTCTCTTGTGAATCAAAGAGTGCTCTTGCCTTGCACAAGACCCAAGATCTTCATGAGGAGGAGAAATAAAAGGCAAGCATTAAGGAAGACAGATGCTTCTTTGCATTTCGCTTAAGGATTGCACGGGGAGAAAAGAATACAAAATTCTGGTAAACATGCAACTTGGGAATAGCAAGACATGAGAGGACGAGGGAAAAAAAAAAATATTTAAAAGTGAAAATACGTAAAAATAAAATAAATTGTACAGTCTTTTGAATTAAAAGAAAAAAGTTAAAGTGGGAGTTGTAGCAGAATCTTGAGGAAATGTGTTTACGTTGGAAGCACTTTAACACTTTATTCATATTTTTAACCTTAAAAAAAATATATATAAATAAATAAAATCAGACCTTTCTACATAAGAGCCACTTAACAGCGTATGACATTTCACGATTTTAAAAGCCAGTGGAAGCAGGGAGGTGTATGCAACGCACCCATCGGCAACGTAAGGGTTACCACTCCCAACACCCTGCTAATTGACAAAGCAAGGCAAATCATCAACTGCTGTTGGTTTAGGATCTACCACCAATGTCAAGCCACTGCAGTAAAAAGAAAAGAAAAAAAAAAAAAATGCTCCCCTCCCCATTAAAACCCCCTACTAGTTTCTAAACAATGCCTCCCAGAACCATTCGGCAACGAATGGGTCCCTGAAATATAGATCAATTTATCCGATTGCTCCTTAATACAGCAGAGTAGAATGTTAAACCAGACTTGTATTGTACATAGCGCTCATCTTATTATACACTGTGGATAATGACAGAGTCTATCTCCTATTGTTTGTGCCAAGTGTATTTGTCTGATGTGGAGAGGCAGTGTCTGATTACAGCAGAGATGGGGTTAATGCGAACAATTATCCCAGCACACAAGATAGGTTATCCACAGACTACAGGGGTGTCACATAGTAACCACTCTAGCAGAGAGATATGGTTAATTAGATTGTATCATTTACACTAACAGACTGCCTATGGAACACCTGATTTAACCCAGAATAATCAAGAGAAAATAAATAAATAAAAAGATAGATCAAATTGTAATAGTAAACAATGTAAAATAAATAAAAAGGGTACTTGTCAAATTATCAATAGGTTAACCAGACACTATAAATACATTTAATACAGCAAGAGGAAGGTGAATTATTATGAGTCAGGTCACTCAACATGATATACACTTAACATATAGCGAAATGTCAGCTGTGTTAAATACAACATGAAAGGGAGTTTACATAAGTTAAAAAATACAAAACCCAGCAGACCATAGTTTGATTAAAAATAAAAAATAAAAATCAGCTCACCCACACCATCAATGTGGTAAAATGAAAACTATAAATATATATATTTTTTTTTTTAATCAAGTCCACAACAAAAATGAGAAGTATACAAATATTTTGATTTATTTTCCCTTTTTTTAGTTAAATTAAAAATAAATAAAAATGGGAGAATAAAAAAAAATAAAAAAAAAGAATTATTTGAAGAAACTTTGTGTCTATAAAAACAGTGACAATCATACATGAAGGAGCTAGATACAAGTTGCCCATTGCCAACCAACTTCAAGAAATGTTCCAAAATATTTAATATTTCAGTAAAAAAAAAAAATAACAAAAAATAAAATATAAAAATAAATAGATATTTTACAGGGCTCCAGTCTACCCTTCCTGTATACAGTATCATGTGATTGCAGATTATAAGCAATGAGCTGGAAGTTGCAGGGCAGATTGTTAAAGCAGATATGGGTGACAGCTTCCACCCCCCCAAAAAAATAAATAAAATAAAAAATATATTAAAATGCCATAAAGTTTAGATTCCAGCTGGTGTGACCCTTAGAGGGTCTGTTAAAGGACCATGGGGAACTGCTGCCCAATATCACAGGCAGTATGAAGGAGAGCCCCTGGGAGGCCACACACAGCAGTACTCACCCCAGCTGCCTCCTCTCTGTGTCTCTCTCTGTTAAAGCTTCTTTATTCCCCACACACTGAACACTCCGCCATTTTCCTCGCTGTTTATTTAAATGGCAAACACTCCCCGGGCAGAGAGGAGGATAGAGGCGTCCTCCCCCTCCCCAACCCGCGAGGGCTCGCGGGACTTGTAGTCCGCCGCCCATAAGACGCCAGGCAGGTGAGGCGGCGGCAGGAACTGCAATTCCCGGCGTGCCCCGCGGCGCCGCCTGCACACAACAGGGGGACAATGAAGCCTCTAAGTGATTTGCACAGGGGGGTTATTTTTAGTAGCTTGCTAGCTATAGAGGAAGGAGGAGGGGGATCTGGGGGGGTGTAATACTGCATGGTGTTACCCTCAGGTGAACCTCTATGCTTTATGGAGCACAGGGAGGGCTGAGGCTGGTTTTTGCAAGGAGGGGGGCAGTGAGGGAAGACTGTGTGTGCCATGCTCATGGCTGCATGATTTGCAAAAGCAGCAGTCATGGTCTAGTAATGAGTAGGGGAGGGAGGGAGGTGGTGGGGGGGAGGGTTATTACCAGCTGACTGCAGGTCACAAGGGACACAGGGCTGGTATTAGATCTGGTAATGCTGTGCCTCTGTAGCTGGAGGGGAGGGGGGGCTAGAGGGTATTCATGGCTAGACTGGCAGATGCAGCGCTGACGGCGATACGTTTTGTCAGATCCACCCCTTTTTATTCCCAGACACGTACGTATCGTGCCGGTGAGCAGTGCATGAAAAGTTCTGCAACTCGGTACGCGGCATTCATGTGCTGTGGGAATTTAAACAAGTTCGTACGTCATGGAGGAACCCAGAAGGAACTGCGTAGCTTGCTGATGTAAGCAATCGTGTATGAAGGCATTATGCGGCAGGGGAGCACTTTTCATGCGCTGTCTCTCAGCGCAAAGACGTCGTGTGTGTCCAGAAAAACCTGCGGGCGTTAAACTTGTTAAGCTAAAGTATGCGATTTGCTAAAATTGGAGATTTAAGGGTTCCCCATTTAAGTTACTGTATTTTAGCCTAAATGTAAAGCGGATCTGTATTATTTTGGAAAGACCTCTGAAGGTGGAATCTCCAGTTAGGGTCTGGTGGATGTGGGGTGCAGTTAAAAGTAGGTTTTATTCCCTGAAGCTGTCTCTTGCGGCCACAACCATTTTCCTGGTGGACCCTTTTCAGCTCCTGGTTGCTTCATCTGCTAGGAACTGATCCAGTGCTGTACTCTCATGCAGCTTAAGAGTTCAACACTGAGGTCTATGAAGAATCCTGCAAGACCGTGGTTGCCTCCATAAATCACATCTCGATATAAGAGAGGATGCTTGGACAAAAGTTCACCCCAAAACTTTTTGTCAACCACTTGATTGTCCATGATACAAAGTAGTCCTTACTTTTTCTATTGGCATCTTTGGATTGCATTGGGATTTCAATGAAATTCTAACACGGTCAACATTCGTATTTCATAAGATTATATGTGACAGAGGCACATTAAAAATTAAAATTTCTTTGAATTAACTGCATTTATGTGTTTAGTTAAACGGACACCCCAAGCACAAAAAACACTACATCTCAATGCAGTGTTTTGGGCGCATTCTTCTGTCTGTTTTCTGTTTGACCCTGTCTAGTAGAAAGCCATTAGAGGTGTATCTACTAAACAGCAATGCTTTACATTGCAGGGTTATAACTAAAAGACCATTGCACCCAGACCACCTCATTGATATCACTTTGGCGTTCCTCTAAACTTTCAAATACTAGAGCTTACAGTTTGGGTCACATAAAAACTGTCTGAGTCTGTATGAAAAGGATAGAGTCAATAGTTGCCAGTTAATGCAGCACTTCCATTTTTAGATTTGCATAGAGATAGGGGGTGGTGGGGAGAAATGGACAGAAGAAGGGGCTGCCAGTGTTACTTTAGAGGGATGCTATAGGCCAGGCATAGGCAACCTTCAGCACTGCAGATGTTTTGGACTACACCTCCCATGATGCTTTGCCAGCATTATGTGTGTAAGAGCATTATGGGGGATGTAGTCCACAACATCTGGGGTGCCAAAGGTTGCCTATCCCTGCTATAGGCACTGTAATCACTTCACTGGTCTAGTGTCTGCAGTCAACTGCCACTGTGCCTCCATTCAGGTTTAAGCCATTTTTTAATAGTTTAACGCCAAATGAAAATTACTAGTAACCCGGCATCTCTGTGCTACTCAATCTAATGAGGAAGCGTTGGCCTGAGCAGCAATGGGCGACAGTGATTGATTGTGAGTGTCAGACGACCGTTCTCAGCCAATCACAGGCACCCATTGCTGGTATAAATTGGTATGGGTCTGGGGAACCTTAGCCATACCTCCAGTGGGGGCTCAGCTGTAAGCGACCAAGGACCATCATTCAATGTTTAACTTCTAGAAAATGGTTTAACTATGAACAGAGGGACAGCGCAAGAGGACTCCAAGAACTATATAACCAATTCAATGAGATGAAATGGCTATAGAAGAAGGATATTAGTCCATTTTTATTTATCTGTTTGTGTCACACTTTGAAGATCATTTACTAAATCATGTACTGTCAGGCATTCACTAGGGAAAAGGTGTATTTTAGGTCAAAACAGCTGAATTGCAATACTCCTCCAAGTCAACTATGCTTCCAGATCAGTTATGTCATCCCATAATTTGGAATTATCTTATTCCTAAAAATACATAGTTTTCCTGGACCTGTGTTAAAATTTCTGAAATATTGAGAGATAAGCATATAATTTTATGAGGAATGGGTTAAGGTAAGCTAAGCTAGGCAGAAACTCTTGTGAGGGTAGGTTTATAAATGTGCACACCTTAAAATATATATCTGCATTTAATACAGCCCTGCTGAATACATTAAACTGAAAGGGTTCATGAGCTCTAATAGCCTAATGTGTTTTATTTTCCTGTATCTTGGCAATGCATATAGGCTCACATTGTTATAGTATAATACACTGCTCAAAAAAATAAAGGGAACACTTAAACAACACAATGTAACTCCAAGTCCATCACACTTCTGTGAAATCAAACTGTCCACTTAGGAAGCAACACTGAGTGACAATCAATTTCACATGCTGTTGTGCAAATGGGATAGACAACAGGTGGAAATTATAGGCAATTAGCAAGACACCCCAATAAAGGAGTGGTTCTGCAGGTGGTGACCACAGACCACTTCTCAGTTCCTATGCTTCCTGGCTGATGTTTTGGTCACTTTTGAATGCTGGCGGTGCTTTCACTCTAGTGGTAGCATGAGACGGAGTCTACAACCCACACAAGTGGCATATGTAGTGAAGCTCATCTGGGATGGCACATCAATGCGAGCTGTGGAAAGAATGTTTGCTCTGTCTGTTAGCGTAGTGTCCAGAGCATGGAGGCGCTACCAGGAGACAAGCCAGTACATCAGGAGACTTGGAGGAGGCCGTAGGAGGGCAGCAACCCAGCAGCAGGACCGCTACCTCCACCTTTGTGCAAGGAGGAACAGGAAGAGCACTGCCAGAGCCCTGCAAAATGACCTCCAGCAGGCCACAAATGTGCATGTGTCTGCTCAAACGGTCAGAAGCAGACTTCATGAGGGTGGTATGAGGGCCCGACGTCCACAGGTGGGGGTTGTGCTTGCAGCCCAACACCGTGCAGGAAGTTTGGCATTTGCCATAGAACACCAAGATTGGCAAATTCGCCACTAACGCCCTGTGCTCTTCACAGATGAAAGCAGATTCACACTGAGCACATGTAACAGACGTGACGGAGTCTTGAGACGCCGTGGAGAACGTTCTGCTCCCTCCAGCATGACCGGTTTGGCAGTGGGTCAGTAATGGTGTGGGGTGGCATTTCTTTGGGTTGGCCGCACAGCCCTCCATGTGCTCGCCAGAGGTAGCCTGACTGCCATTAGGTACCGAGATGACATCCTCAGACCCCTTGTGAGACCATATGCTGGTGCGGTTGGCCCTGGGTTCCTCCTAATGCAAGACAATGCTAGACCTCATGTGGTTGGAGTGTGTCAGCAGTTCCTGCAAGACGAAGGCATTGATGCTATGGACTGGCCCGCCCGTTCCCCAGACCTGAATCCAACTGAGCACATCTGAGACATTATATCTCGCTCCATCCACCGTCACGTTGCACCACAGACTGTCTAGGAGTTGGAAAATGCTTTAGTCCAGGTCTGGGAGGAGATCCCTGAGGAGACCATCTACCACCTCATCAGGAACATACATGCACGTGGAGGCCACACACGCTACTGAGCCTCATTTTGACTTGTTTTAAGGACATTACATCAAAGTTGGATCAGTCTGTAGTGTGTTTTTCCACTTTAATTTTGAGTGTGACTCCAAATACAGACCTCCATTTCCATTATTTTTTTTTGTGTGTGATTTTGTTGTCAGCACATTTAACTATGTAAAGAACAAAGTATTTCAGAAGAATATTTAATTCATACAGATCTAGGATGTGTTATTTTTGTGTTCCCTTTATTATTTTGAGCAGTGTATATAAATATATATTTTCTAGATTTTGTTTCTGTTTATGTAGCCATAGCCACACCTGTCTGGCTGTGAATCACACAGCCTGTGTTAAAAAAGTTATTTTATTTTCAGTTATATCTGTGTTTAGCACACTGTGTTTATTTTAGAAGTTGTTATCTCCTGCATTGTTAATTGAACTTAAATCACACACAGGATGCTCCTGTAGGCTCTAGCACGCTAGTAACAGAACAAGAGTTAAGAAATTCTAAATTAAACATATTGTGCATTAATGGAAGTTTAAAGATTAGCTCTCTCTTTACAGGAAATGTGTAGGCCACACAGGAGAGCTGTGAGTAGGACAGCATTAATAACGTGAATTCACTCCTAAATGGCAGAGAATTAAACTGTAAGACTGCAGGGACATGATCTATACACCAAACCCATTCCATTAAGCTAAAGTTGTTTTGGTGCTTATAGTGTTCCTTTAACCCCTAAAGGACCAAACTTCTGGAATAAAAGGGAATCATGACATGTCACACATGTCATGTGTCATTAAGGGGTTAACAAGCTCACTACCAGCTAGAACCGATCCTGGATCCTTTGAATTGTGTCTCTGTAATCACAGCTATAAGTCTCCTTTTTCGATGGATCTCCTGTATAGCGAAGCAATGGATATTGATTTATCAGATTCTCCAAATCATTGTGCCAGTGTTTATCATCTGCCAGGCTTTTTAATGGGAGGTGTGCCACAGGCACGTCCACATCCATCAGTGTTCGTGATGGGGACACTGCTTCCTGTTGCATGAAGTTGGTCTCCTCTTCGCTACGGAGCTCCCATCAGTCAAGCAAAGAGTGGTGCCTCTGCTGTAAGAGTATTTGCGATGATCTCTCAGACCCACTCTTCAGTTCCACATCATTATGTAGAAGCAAAGCCAATCTGTTACCTATTCAGCTGCCTCTCTCCTCCACAAGTGATCCATTGACATCTGATGAGACATGAGTGGCTGTGTTTGTCTAGGCAGTTTGTGGAGTGAGATTCAGGGTAAATGAAGGGTTGAAGGTCAATTAGAAGGCTGCACATTGATTCTTTGCACTCAATATCAATTACGTTGGAAAGATGGTAGGAAAAACTGCAACTCCCAGTACGCTAGATAAGAGAAATAAATGTTGCATTTGTACAGCTGGTAAATTATAGAATAACTCTTTCATTTTTGTTCCGCTGTAAAAAAGTTTACATGATAGTGTAATTGTGTATCTGAACACACACTGGTTTCGCTTGACACCTATCTTCCACTGTAAAAATATATATTCCGGTTAGAATATTATTTAAACTATACCTTTGTTTAATTTTTTACTAGCTAGAAATTTAATATTGATAAATAGCTATTGAAGATAACTTGTCTGCCATACATTTCGTGTAACATAGGTTCTCTTTAATTATCTCTGTCAATGATTTATTTATAAAATATTTTACTAGTAAGGATCCATTGAGATTGCTCTAATTTTCCTGTATATCCTGGGGAGCACAGCACATAGAAATGCATTGTTACACTTATAATAGGAGACATATTCAGTGAAATTATACATACATTTTTACACACGCAATAGGCACACACACAATATCATTCATTTATAATTTAACATTGAGATGAGTTGCTTTGTGCTTGAAGTTAGATGAATGCTAAAGTTTTTAGGGCCATCATGCTGGTGGGAGATTTTATATTTTTTATGCAGATTATCCCATGGTTTTTGACTCAATAGAGACAATCTGCATGGCTGACCAACGTTTTGAATATTACTCTGCCATAGTCTATGATTAGTCGTACCAGTTGGGATGGGCCTATATGAGTCCATGGACCCTTATTCAGTATTACTCTGTTCAAAAATGAATAGATGGGCAGTGCCAGGGAAGTCCAGATAATATAACCAATTGTTGAAGCGGTTATGTTGCCTACAGTATCCCTTCAATGCTAACTACAGTGGCATCCACCCCCCATGTCTTCTATTCCACTCTTGTTTCATAGTTTTCATTCCTCATCTCAAAAAAAAAGAGGTCAGTAAAGAAGATTCTCCTACAGAGAGCGAGATACGTGGAATAAACTGCAGGACACTATTAAATCTGCCACCAGCCTTATGTGCCTCAAAACATCTGTATTAAACGTCCTTCAATCACAAAGTAACTCCTCTCAATTACTTAATTTCTCTTAATTTAAAAATGAACATTGTTTTATGTGTATACTGTATGTGCCTACAGTGCCCTGTTAACATTTGCTGCACTATCTATTTTGTTATGGGAAGATCTCAGCAGGCTTTATTTTTGTACCAATTTTGGAATATAGTTTTGTAATCCAAATGAGAGATTGGGATCTAACCACATGCCAAGGTAGTTACAGGAAGTGCATGTGGCCAAGTTACAGTTCAATTTTGTAATTTGTTATTAGTATTTCCTCCTGTCTCAGCCTAGGTTTTACCAGTAACACCATCGCAAACAAATTCAGTTGACCCTAAAACCTGAAGGGTTGGTGTCCCATTGACAGTCAGACTTAAAGCGCTACTCCAAGCATCATGACCACGTCAGTGATTTGAAGTGGTCATGGTGCCTGGAGTCTGAATGTGCAGCATTTCGCTGTGAAACGTCGCACATACCAAGTATAATCCCTTGGCTGCCGGTAGTGTACCTCCACCTCTGGCAGAATCATGGGGTGAAAACAGCCAGTCCGGATCTAGAGTTCTGGGCTGGCTACTGCCAATTCAGTGCAATTTATTATTATTTTTTTTAATTCTTTATTTTGATAGTGCAATGAGGTCAACAGTCGTGCCCACAGTGCCACAACAGCAACTGCTGGCTATTCATGGTATACAATGGCATGACATATTCGTAAGTTGCACAATTTTACAGGTTAACTGGTCGATATAAATCGTACTATGTTATCGGTAGCGATTAGTAGTAAGTAAGTAGCTAGTTATCATTAACATTTGTCTTTGGCAGAAAGTTTGTAACATTTTTCAAAAATGGTAAGTCCAGACGTTAATGTGATAGGTTAAACATATGAAATTATGAAAATATGAAATTAGTGATAATAGTGTCTTGGGTGCGAGTGTGATATGGTCGGTGTGGGGGTCGGCCTATGTCTGACTGAGAGCAGGAGACCTGTCCGGCTTCCCCCTAGGCATGTTTTGGCTGCCAGAAACTTGCAGTGTTTGGTATCTTGTATTTCGTCGTTGCTAGGGGTTGGTTAGAGATTTGTCACATAGATGATTATTGTTGGTGTGCGCCTGATAATCTATAAGTATATCGCGTCTGTCCATGTTATACGTCTTTCTTTGCTTCCCTTGGGTTACGTTCCACTTCAGCTATATATTCGTCTGGGGTGCACTTTTCCCTGCTTAGGTGTCGTGTGACCAGACTTGCTGTGTGGTGCACTGTGGTGGCATGATGTTTGCCCTCTCCTTCCACCCCCCGTGTGTGTATAGTGTCCGTCCCCTATCCCCTCTCTCTAAGTGCCTGTATTTCCCCATCGTCACTCATGTCTCTGTTGGGGGTTGTGTGGTTAAGGCGTTTTGAACCCAAGGTGCCAGGCACCATGGGGCCATCTATATAATATCAGTTGGTGCGTCTCTGAGTAAAGGATTTTAAACTAAGAGGGAAGAGTTCAACCATAGGGGAAACATGCTAAAAACAACAGTAAGTAAAACAACTTTAAATTAAATGCTAGATGCCTGAGGGGCTGTAAGGGGTTTAGTGCAACCAGCCAGGTAGGCAGGCAGGCCTGTGATCAGTCCTCTTGTAGTGTGGAAGTTCTATGGGGGTGTTCTGCAGGCCTGGTCTTCTTTGTGTCTCTGACCTCTCAGGGCCTTTCTCCCGGGTAGCGTTGTCGCCTGCGGCGCTAGGGGTCTTGCTTCTCCCCTGTTCCGGGGGTTCTGGCTGGGGGAGTTGGAGTTCCTGTAGGAAGTTTGTAGGGTCTTCCTCTGCTGATAATGAAAGTACTCTGTCTTTGTAGGGCACCACCAGCGTGCCAGATGCACCCCATCTGTATCTGATGCCATGTTCTCTCAGCTGTCGGGTGATTGGCATGAACCTTCTCCTCTCTAGCAGAGTCGCAAATGGTAAGTCGTCGAATACCTTGATGTGGAGGTTATCCACTATGGCGGTGGGTGTCTTTCTGGAGGCAGCCTTAATCGCCGCTTTTACCGTAATGTCTCGTGTGATTGCAATAATGTCCCTGGGTGCGTCCGCAGGGGCGGCCGCAGCCTTCCGAATCCTGAATGCCGCTGTGATGGGCCGCATTTCACCATTTTTCTTTGCTCCCATCATGGTCGCTAGTTTATTAGTAAACTCCAGTAAGGCTTCTGGGCCTATAGTTTCAGGTGCTCCGCGAATGCGGACATTTCTCTTGCGATGTCTGGCCTCTATCGCGGTCACTGTGTGGGTAAGTCTTAGGATTTGTTGGGTCAGGGAGGTCATTTGGGTTTGGGTCTCGGCAATGAGAATGTCTCTATCCCCTTCCCTATTCTCCACTGCACCCAGTCGTGCTGTGACTCCGGTTATGTCAGACCGTATCTCATCCAGATCCGACTTCCATACCTTCCGTAGGTCGAGTAACAGCTTTTTGATATCCCCCTTGGTAGAGGGCGAGTCGTCGGAGTCGGAGTCTCCTGTCCGATAACCTGCATTGGCTTTCTGTGTGGTCGGGGGGCCCCGTTCGTGGGCCGATGCCTCCGATTCACTAGAGCTTTGGTCGCTTTCCTGCGCCATCTTGGTCTGTGTTAGTCTTTGCGGCCTATTGAAGGACCGCCTGATGTCCGGCGTGTTTGAGCCCTCCAGGCAGGTTTGTTTCTTGTTTTTTCACCCCATCTCGAGGTTGGGGGGCCTCTAGAACACTATTAGACTGGATATCTGTTCTGTTTGTTAGGATTTTGTGGCAGTTCGTCTTATTAAACGTTGTGTTTAGCCGGAGCTCCACACTTGCACGTCTTGTTAGCTGCTCAGCTAGCCACGCCCCCTCCAGGGCAATTTTTTTTTTATTTTTTTTTGCACAGTTCGCCATTGATTGGTTGAGAGCTGACACTCTCAGACAATAAATGGCAAGTGGATCGGCTTCTGCAGCTCTGCAGAAGTCAGACGCACAACACCTGGCAATTCAAGGAACCTTGGAACCCGGTGGGGACCCAGGTAAGCCAGCAAACGATTTCTAAACAGTTTGCTCCATTGTCTGGGAACCGAACCAGGGTACTCTTGACATCATAACCACAGCGATCTGTAGTGGTTATGACGTTTGGAGTAACCCTTAAAACAATCACAAGTATATGTATATATATATACAAAAACACTTTATTACATTATCAATGTCAGTTTTGAACACAACAAGCTGAGACACTTGCCAACCGTTAACATCACCATGTGTTATTAACATGAGGTACAGACTCATTTTGCTGCTAACTTTAAGGAGATCTCAGGATATTGATCTCTTGATATTGTGATTAACGGTAACGACTAAGTTAAAGGACCACTCTAGGCACCCAGACCACTTCAGCTTAATGAAGTGGTCTGGGTGCCAGGTCCAGCTAGGGTTAACCCATTTTTTAATAAACATAGCAGTTTCAGAGAAACTGCTATGTTTATTAATGGGTTAAGCCTTCCTCCAAAGCCTCTAGTGGCTGTCTCATTGACAGCCGCTAAAGGCGCTTGCGTGATTCTCACTGTGAAAATCACAGTGAGAGCACGCCAGCGTCCATAGGAAAGCATTGTAAATGCTTTCCTATGCGACCGGCTGAATGCGCGTGCAGCTGACGGGGAGGAGAAGAGGAGGATCGGAGGAGGAGAGCTCCCCGCCCAGCGCTGGAAAAAGGTAAGTTTAAACCCCTTTCCAAAACCGGGCGGGAGGGGGACCCTGAGGGTGCGGGCACCCTCAGGGCACTATAGTGCCAGGAAAACGAGTATGTTTTCCTGGCACTATAGTGGTCCTTTAAGTCCAGTTTTAAGTTGATAACAATTTCTAACTTTGGTGCTGTTACAGGCAAACAAAATTAAACATGTTCAGATTGTAATCTTGTTAAAAATACTCATGTGATACAAGATGAAAGTGTGATAACATTATCTTTTTTTTTTTTTTTAGCAATTTGTGATGTCACTCTAATGGATTGAGGTAGTTACCTTACAACCCTGTTAGCACCAGAAACCATCCGTGAGCCAGTTGTATGGAATATGCACGGTTGACAACTGCCCTGACCTATGGCGCAGGACTCACTATGCTCTATGTCCTACCTCCTCCTGTAGCCATCGACACTTACCAATACCGTGATGATTTCTAATTGCTGTCCTAGACCTCACATTGTGTTTTCTTGTCCACAGTTGTGTTTTCCAACATGCTTTTACTTAGTCCCAAGCACTATGTCTCACTCAAGGACATTTCTAATCATGTTGTAAACAAGGATGTACACATCCGTACATTTGGGTTCCAGATCAACCAACAACAGGATTTTAATACGTATAGAAATTAAGATCAGTTCTTAAAATGTGATCAACAGCAAAAAACAAATGTGAGGTAGGCTGAACTTGATGGACGCAAGTCTCTTTTCAGCTATGTAACTATGTAACTATGTAACTATGTTTTAGGGGTGTGGCCTGCACGCTGAAGCGGATGGCCGCACGGCACTAGCGCTCCGCTCCAAGATTAGCCCACGAAGCGACTAAACAGAGCAACCCTCAAGATAAAACCCGCCATCACCCGCCCCACAAGCATGGCACAGGCTTCTTCACAGCGCAATCCGCACCAAACAGAGCCCAGGGCCAGCATGAAGCGGACCAAGATGGTGGCGGAGACGACACCCTCCCTCTCCAGTACTCACCAGACCCTGGAAATCTTCCCATCACACAAGAGATCCTGAGAGCATGCCTGGACGAAATGTCCGACAAACTGCTCAACAAGATCTAAGCATCAGTCACTGCACTTGGCAATGACATCCAAGAGTTGGGCGAAAGAACAGCACACGTGGAGAACTGTATGGGCGAATATGAAGAAGCCCACAATGACCTAGCAGACCACGTTCAAGCCCTGGAAAAGCAACTTACCTCAGCCCAGCTCAAGCTCTCTGATCTGGAAGACACGTCACGGAGGCAAACTGAGAATACGGGGAATACCGGAATTGGTAATGCAAGCTGACATACCCGAATTCCTGGTGGGGTTCTTCAAATGTCTCATACAAGACATGCCGACGGAAATGATCCTGCTGGACCGGGCTCACCGAGTAGCCAAACCAAAGTTTCTACCCGCAGAAGCAGCAAGAGACACGCTGACCCACCTACACTATTACCATGTCAAAGAGGCCATACTTAAAGCTGCCAGGAACCATACAAACCTTCCAGCAAAATATGGCCAGCTACAGATATATGCTGACTTATCAGCGGCTACCTTACTACGGCGAAGAGAGTTCAAGGAGACAACAGAAACTCTGCGGGAACACAAGATCCCATATAGATGGGGGCACCCGGTGCGCCTGATTATCCATCGCAATGGTACCTTCACCCATGTGACAACACCAGAGGAAGGATTGAAGATCCTGAAGCAATGGGACCTACCGGTCCGCAAACAACATGGACGTACAACTTCGCCGGAGCGACTAAGACAAGACTGGAAGAAGGCGAAAAATAACCCAAGTTCCACCAGCCTATGTACAGATACGGGTGTTACAGATTCAGGACTGAATGGCGATGCCTCCTGATTGAAGACTTACCTATCTGGTATAATTACACAACCCCCCACACCCTACAACACATCTCCTACACAACTCACACTCATAATTGCACCCACAGATAAAAAAAAAAAAAATCACATATAGTTACACTTAGACAAGCACAGCAAATGGACAGTTGCTCACAGGCACGACACCCACCAGACGCTCCCTTTCATGCCAGTCGAACTGTAATAAGGACAGTGTCACAGGAGGCCACCCATCCCCCAGTTAGCCAAGGGAGGATTAGGGATACACAGATTGAATGGTCTCTCAAATCCAACATCATTATGTGGCCGGGACACAAGCTTGTGGGACAAAATTTATGAAAAAAACAACAACAAAAAAAACAATATATATATATATCATATACAGAACTGTTTAGACATGTTTTAGGGCTAATCGTCTACGAATATTTGTTTATGTTTTTGATGTTGCCTACCTCCATGGTGCCCACTCAGGGTACCCAGCCCAATTTGGGCTCTGCGGTCCTAACCGCACTGTTTCTTCTTCTTTTTTCCTGTATTAACTTCCTACCCTCCCTCCCCTACCCAGACCAACCTAGACCCTCCGAGGAGATGACCCTGTGTAAACTTCAAGATCAGGCGCTGGCACAGAAGTCTCGAGGAACAACTCGACCAGCCACGGATACATGCCACGCGGAACCGTCACGGCAGCTACTCAACAATACAGCAAGTATATACTCCACTGCACCATTATTTACACACATCACACTAGACTCAAACTCCGAGACATACGAGGGCACTCAGGGGGAACACAAACCTAACGCTGATAGCGGCACAGGTAGCAATCCTTATAGACCTTCCCTTTATGAAAATATATAGTCACAACGTACGGGGACTGAACACCCCTGTTAAACGCCACCTTCTACTACAAGACCTTCAAAAATCCCAACCAGACATAGTATGTCTCCAGGAGACGCACTTCACCAAACCATACATCCTTAAACCCCTCGCATATCCATACCAACAACACGCCACAGCAAAATCCAAAACGAAAGGGGTCTCTGTGTTAGTCAACAACCGAGTAGCATTCAGAGAACATGACCTAGTCATAGACGAAGAAGGCCGATATATCATACTGATATGTACCATCAACGATATTACCTACACCATAGTAAATGTATACGCACCTAACTCAGAACAACGCAACTTATTACGTAGAACATTATCTAAAATAGCGCCTATTCAGAAGGGAATGCTGATAATCTGTGGAGATTTTAACCACACTCTAGACCCCAGTTTAGACTCATCCAAAGGTTCTAAAACACAGGGAAACAACCCAGCCAGGAGACAATGCACAAAATACCAGAGACTGCTAGACGAACACAACCTCTATGACGCCCCGAGGAGAGAGATTTCACGTTCTTCTCCTCGGTTCACAACTCCTACACGCGAATTGACAGGTTCCTCACTAAAGGGAAACACCTAACGCAGGTACTCAAATGCTCAATAGAAACTATCACGTGGTCAGACCACGCACCTATCACTATGGAACTAAAGGACAAATTTGAGAGCCACAACAGAAGCTCCTGGCGGCTGAATGAAACACTTCTACACGACAAAACGTTCACCGAACACATAGAAAACACACTTAAAAACTATTTTAAAGAAAACACCACACCAGGGATCTCTGCGGAGACTACCTTGCTAGCCCACAATCCCGTCATACGCGGGGAACTGATAAAAAGAGCCCACTACCTTAAACGGACGTCCCATACGCAAAGGGTCACCTGGTACAAACAACTGCACGATCTCAACAAATTAAACCAAACAAACCCATTCCCAGGGCTAAAAAGCAGAATCTCAGAAACACATGATAAAATACAGGCTTTAGCACTTACAAGAGTGGGCTACCCATTACGGAAATTAAAAGCTACTCACTATTCCCAGGGAAACAGAGCGGGCAAAATACTAGCCCAAAGACTTCGAGAAAGACAGGCCGCATCTAAAATAGCACACATACAGGCTCCAAATGGAAACAGGCTGGTTGCCCCAAAAGATATCAGCGACGAATTTGCCACGTACTACGAAACCTTATACAACCTTAAAAACGACCCACTAACACCCCTAACACCACCCAGACAAATAGATGAATACTTACAAGATGCCCAATTGCCAACCCTCTCACAACAACACAGAGAAGCCCTCTCAGCCCCTATCACCCAACAAAAAGTAAAGGATACAATAAAAACCCTCCCAGCGGGTAAGGCACCGGGCCCTGACGGATTCGCAAACACGTACTACCATAAATACGCAGACGTCTTAGCCCCCGCACTAACTACTCTCTTTAACAGCGCTATAGACAACCACTCGCTACCCACAGAACTCTTACGATCTCATATTAGCACCCTCCCCAAACCAGGGAAGTCCCCTACCACATGCCCAAATTTCCGACCGATCTCCCTACTCAATACGGATGCCAAGCTCTTCGCAAAACTACAAGCCAATAGACTAAAAACTATCCTACCGGACCTCATACATGACGACCAAGTAGGATTTGTGAGGGGTAGACAGGGCTCAGATAATACCTGCAAAGTACTAAATCTCATGCGTAGCTCTAGAAAACTAGGAATGGAGGGTCTCTTCGTGTCCCTTGACGCGGAGAAGGCCTTTGATAGACTCAACTGGACACACATCACACTAGACTCAAACTCCGAGACATACGAGGGCACTCAGGGGGAACACAAACCTAACGCTGATAGCGGCACAGGTAGCAATCCTTATAGACCTTCCCTTTATGAAAATATATAGTCACAACGTACGGGGACTGAACACCCCTGTTAAACGCCACCTTCTACTACAAGACCTTCAAAAATCCCAACCAGACATAGTATGTCTCCAGGAGACGCACTTCACCAAACCATACATCCTTAAACCCCTCGCATATCCATACCAACAACACGCCACAGCAAAATCCAAAACGAAAGGGGTCTCTGTGTTAGTCAACAACCGAGTAGCATTCAGAGAACATGACCTAGTCATAGACGAAGAAGGCCGATATATCATACTGATATGTACCATCAACGATATTACCTACACCATAGTAAATGTATACGCACCTAACTCAGAACAACGCAACTTATTACGTAGAACATTATCTAAAATAGCGCCTATTCAGAAGGGAATGCTGATAATCTGTGGAGATTTTAACCACACTCTAGACCCCAGTTTAGACTCATCCAAAGGTTCTAAAACACAGGGAAACAACCCAGCCAGGAGACAATGCACAAAATACCAGAGACTGCTAGACGAACACAACCTCTATGACGCCCCGAGGAGAGAGATTTCACGTTCTTCTCCTCGGTTCACAACTCCTACACGCGAATTGACAGGTTCCTCACTAAAGGGAAACACCTAACGCAGGTACTCAAATGCTCAATAGAAACTATCACGTGGTCAGACCACGCACCTATCACTATGGAACTAAAGGACAAATTTGAGAGCCACAACAGAAGCTCCTGGCGGCTGAATGAAACACTTCTACACGACAAAACGTTCACCGAACACATAGAAAACACACTTAAAAACTATTTTAAAGAAAACACCACACCAGGGATCTCTGCGGAGACTACCTTGCTAGCCCACAATCCCGTCATACGCGGGGAACTGATAAAAAGAGCCCACTACCTTAAACGGACGTCCCATACGCAAAGGGTCACCTGGTACAAACAACTGCACGATCTCAACAAATTAAACCAAACAAACCCATTCCCAGGGCTAAAAAGCAGAATCTCAGAAACACATGATAAAATACAGGCTTTAGCACTTACAAGAGTGGGCTACCCATTACGGAAATTAAAAGCTACTCACTATTCCCAGGGAAACAGAGCGGGCAAAATACTAGCCCAAAGACTTCGAGAAAGACAGGCCGCATCTAAAATAGCACACATACAGGCTCCAAATGGAAACAGGCTGGTTGCCCCAAAAGATATCAGCGACGAATTTGCCACGTACTACGAAACCTTATACAACCTTAAAAACGACCCACTAACACCCCTAACACCACCCAGACAAATAGATGAATACTTACAAGATGCCCAATTGCCAACCCTCTCACAACAACACAGAGAAGCCCTCTCAGCCCCTATCACCCAACAAAAAGTAAAGGATACAATAAAAACCCTCCCAGCGGGTAAGGCACCGGGCCCTGACGGATTCGCAAACACGTACTACCATAAATACGCAGACGTCTTAGCCCCCGCACTAACTACTCTCTTTAACAGCGCTATAGACAACCACTCGCTACCCACAGAACTCTTACGATCTCATATTAGCACCCTCCCCAAACCAGGGAAGTCCCCTACCACATGCCCAAATTTCCGACCGATCTCCCTACTCAATACGGATGCCAAGCTCTTCGCAAAACTACAAGCCAATAGACTAAAAACTATCCTACCGGACCTCATACATGACGACCAAGTAGGATTTGTGAGGGGTAGACAGGGCTCAGATAATACCTGCAAAGTACTAAATCTCATGCGTAGCTCTAGAAAACTAGGAATGGAGGGTCTCTTCGTGTCCCTTGACGCGGAGAAGGCCTTTGATAGACTCAACTTGACCTTTTTAAACAGAGTACTCCACAGATTCGGCTTCCCCACGCAATTCGTGGCAGCAGTAGACGCCCTTTATAACAAACCCTCTGCACAAGTCCTATACGCAGGATTCCCATCACGGACCATAAACATCTCTAACGGCTCCAGACAGGGATGCCCCCTCTCCCCTCTGCTCTACGTACTGGCCCTAGAACCATTAGCATCCAAAATTAGATCAGACCCGAACATCCATGGTATTCCCTTAGGTGACAAAGAATTCAAACTAAACATATTTGCAGATGACATTCTTACTCACCTTAACTCAGCCGCTCATAACCATGCCCAACTTAATGCAACAAATAGACCTCTTTGGCCATCACTCTTATTATAAATTAAATGTCTCCAAAACACAGGCATTAACGATAGGAGTGACTAAGGAGGCGAGAAACAGATTGAAGGAGGCATTCCCTTTAGACTGGAGGTCTGACTACCTAACATACCTAGGACTCAAACTCACAAAAAAGCCTGCGGAACTCTTCCACGCAAACTATGTAAAACTCCTAAAAGACTTCGACAACACCCTGAAATCATGGGAGGGGAAATTCCTCTCATGGTTGGGGCGTATAGCAGCATTCAAAATGTCGTTGCTCCCAAAACTATTATACCTCTTCTGGACACTACAAATACCTATACCAAACACCTACCTCAAGTTGGTCACCTCACTACTCATGAAATTTACATGGCAACACAAAAAAAGCTGGGTAGCCGCTAAGATCCTACCAAGGCAGGTAGCAGACGGAGGTCTAGGTATCCCAAACCTGTATCATTACCACAAGGCAGCAATATAAGCACTATGTTAGCAGCTCACGACTCCCATTACACCCCACAATGGGCAGGAATAGAAGCCTTTTGGCTCAACATAGACCACATCCGCCCTATCTTCTGGAAGGACAGTACTCGGAGACCAAAACCATTCCAAGGCCTCCCCACTACTCGGTTGCTGTTAGACACATGGGACGGGGTGAGGAAAACTTTAGTTACCCACCCAAAGATACCGATGGCAGTGCCACTGCAATCCATGAGCCTGATGATTCCCACCTTTAACCATAAACCGTGGACGGACAAAGGCGTCACCCACGTACTCCACCTATACAAAGGGGAACACCTCAAATCCTTTACTAGTCTACAGGAACAATTTGACCTACCCGCAAAATTACTATTCCCCTACCTCCAAGTCAAATCCCTACTAACAAACAACCCACCCACAAACCCTGAGACAGGGTCACAAGCACCAACATCTAAGTTCGAAACTATTTGCCTATCAAATAAGCCCAACGTCTAATCTCTCTCCACGTGCTACCACTTGATCCTACACAATCAACCACTGACACAGGAACGCCACCAAAAGGCATGGCACACAGATCTGGGCACGGAGTTAAGCCCAGAATAGTGGAAAAGAGCTTACACGGCTCACAAAAGCATGACATCATGCGCCCAACACCTAGAAATCCAACAGAAAATACTATACCCTTGGTATTTAGTGCCAGAAAAAATACACAAAATTTGGCCTACCTCCACAAACATATGTTGGCGTTGCGATAAAGAAGTGGGCATAATGATCCACATATGGTGGACATGTCCCGCACTGGCCGCTCTCTGGACACAAGCCCTCCGTATCATGTCGGACATGCTAGGCCACCAGGTGGAAAAAAAACCTGTACAATGCATGTTGTACATATTCCCTGAGAGGATGCCCAAAGCTCACCAGGCACTAATATACCATACACTTGCATCAGTACATATCCTAATAGTGAGACACTGGAAGTCCAAAGACACACCGTCACATACACATCTAATGACCCAAATTGCACTTAATTTGACATATGAGGCCATGCACAAACACCAATTTGGCCCAAGACCTATGCCAGCTAAGGCAAAACACATATGGGACACGTACCAAAACCACACTGACAACACCACAACACAATAGCTTCCAGTTGGCGAGGATGTTATCTGTGGTGTGGCACTGAGGAGACCCAGCCCTGGTTCACGAACAATCAAGATCTAAGAGACAGAAGATGCTTGCTGGTCATCCGTCCTCAAGTACGCAAGAATTATTGCCGAATCGCCTGGACAATCCAGGGTCATCCCTCTACAACCCCCCGGTACACTCCCCAACCCCCTCTCTTCCTCTCACTCTCTATCTATACCCCCCTTTTGATTCTATTCCCCCCACAAAATGTTTGAGACATGTAGTATGCATGATTTATGTACCTAACGTCAATAAGCAGCACTGAAATACCTAATCTAATTGTACCAGAAATTTTTTATCATATGTGCAATCGCGACTAAGGTATTCAAAATGCACGCGCAATTGTAATGCAACTACGTGTCTGAATAAAAACTGTCGAATTAAAAAAAAAAAAAATGTGTATGTTTTGAGTCATCGCTTGATATAGAATGGTCATTAAATTTTATTGGAGTATCAGTTTAAGGTAAGGTTTGTGTAACGTTTTCATAGTGCAATACCCTTGATGGACACAGATGGTGTAAGTCTCTGCATGTGACCACCTACCGTTAGTTTATTTGGAGATGAACTCACTTGCAGTGAAACGGCAACTGCATACAGACACGGCCTTTCCTGGTGACTGTGAAATGGGAACCTTGTGATCTATGTGAGCTTGGGTGACTTTATTTACAGAGGATGCAAGGATGCGATGATGCCATAAAGGAGCAGAGAATAAGCGGTGTCAGGTGGTCCGATGGTAAGGATGAAAATAATAGGAGAAAGGCTGCGCACACAAGTAGAAATAAAGTCCAATGTAAAGGAAAGTCCCAATGTTTTTATCCTTACAGATGGTCTTTGCTAATGACGTCTTCTCTTAATGTAGCGGTTCCACTTATATGAAAGAAAAAAGAGGAGAGAGAAGGGCGACCAATAGTGTAGTATATAAAATTCTGGTGTGAACATAAAATAATAATAATATAGAACTCACATTTACCAGAGCTATTGTCCTAGCTCTGGGTTATGGCGCATACAGCGGTTTAATCCCCGCTTGTAGGATTTAAATGGGTTCCTCTCTGTGGTAGGTGTCCAATTCTCGGAATAAAAGAAACAGCCGATAGTGCTCACTGTATAGCAATATGGATAAAATAATAAAAGAATGTACTTACAAAGCAGGAGCAGATTTACTGCTCCGTGATGACAGCTTGGGTGGATTGATCCCCACCTAGGATTTCTTTAAGTACAGGAAACTTCCAGGGATTCTTAAGGTTTTTTTAAAACCAGTAAAAAAGGATAAAATAATTAAAAAGGCCAGGATAATAAAAAAGAAAATTATGTGTCTATAAAAAAGATTATTGGTACAAACAGATAACCAAAAATACTTTAATATATAAAAGAACACAATAATTAAATTTCCATAACGCGTTTCGTCAAAGACTTTTTCAAATGGAATAACATGTAATACCTGGCTTGATAATGTTATATAGGAGCATAACTAATTTACATTTGGCGCCAAAATTGGTCCGTCCAATCAGAAATAGAAGCATATATAAAAACTTTGAAACATAATTATACCTTTATCAGTACATTGTCTGTTGTTTTGTAACACATTCCTGATATTTATAATTAAAAACGAGGGTGGGAAAGTGTAGTTTAATACGTTTTAAAATAGTCACATGGCGTGCGGCACTTCCGCTTTTCGGAAGTCTAGCCGCAATGCCATATGGGAAATGTAGTTTAAAATGGCCGCGGTCGGCGGGCGCATAGTAAAATGAAAATCTATAGTGCCAGATTGGCACAATGGTTCCCATGGAACCTAGGGAAACTTAAAACATAGAAAAAAGAAAAGGCACTAATTAAATACTAAATATAATGCCTAAATCTATGTACAAATTAATCGGCACTTCCGCAAACCGGAAGTTGAAGCCGAAGTGCCTGATGGGAAATGTAGTACAGGCTAATTATTAATACAAATTAGAATTTCTGGAAGATAATATAGTGGGGCATAAAGTAAAACAGAAGTGCCTTAATATGAAGTATAATTAGGACTAATAATAATAATTTACTATAAAAAATAAGATACTTTAAAGGTACAACAATAAAAAACCTTAAGTGCAAACATGATATTAAAGAATATTGGCATACTCAGAGAGGGTATTAAAAGCAACATTTGAAATATAAGAAATACAGACATCATTTTATTTTCTTAAGAAATTGTATAGATCAAAGTCTGCATTAAGACCATGGGGTATAAGGGTCTTGAGTTTATACACCCATTCCATCTCTGTTTTACCAAGCAGCTTTTTTATATCACCTCCACGCCAGGAGGTAGAACATTTCTTTATACCTATACATTTTAGTAGGCGTGGATCTTTGTTATGTATAATAAAATGTTTGGATACTGTATGGTTTAAGTACCCATTTTTGATATTTCTGCAGTGTTCACTTAGCCTTATCTTTAAGCACCTTGTGGTCATCCCCACATATTGGAGGCCACATGGACACTCAAGCAGATAGATAACATTTTTCGTATTGCAACAGATAAAATCATAAATATTGTACACTCTTTTTGTTTGGTTAGACATAAAATTTGTGACTTTAGATGGAGTAGAATGATCTGTGGTTTTACATACAATACATTGTTTACATTTGTAGAAACCTTTTGTCTGAGGAAAAAAGGATACATATTTTGGGGGAGATTGTTTAGTAAAATTAGTAGTTAAAATGGATTTAAAGTTTGGTGCTCCTCTAAAAACAATGTTCGGATGGATGGGTATGATGGGATTAAGTATCTCGTCGTGTTTAAGTATATGCCAGTGCTTTCTTATTATTTTTTTAACATCATTACTTTTATTGTTGAAATTAAAAATCACTGGGAGTACTATTGATTCGTCTTTTTCTTTATTTTTATACATCAGAAGTTCTTTTCTTTCTTTTTGTTTTACTGTATTAATTGTGGTAATTAAATCTGATTCTAAATATTTCTTTTCCATAAATTTGTCTTTTAAAAACTCTGCTTGCTCATTAAAATCTGAAAGTTCTGAACAATTTCTACGAAGACGTAAAAATTGGCTTTTTGGTGCGCTCTCAAGCCAGGGTTTATAGTGGCAACTAGATTTTTCTATGGCTGTATTTACACATACTTTTTTAAAAAAAGTTTTAGTTCGGAGTAGTCCTTTATTAATAAAAATACTAAGATCTAAAAAATTGATGGATTTTTTACTAAATTCATACGTAAGAATAATACCCCTATTATTGGTATTTCCCAGTCAATCAGAAGCCATTTGGGGCAACCATCGATGGCGGGCAAACCTAGTCACTTATTTTAGATACATAGACGACCTCTTTTTTATTTGGGACGGATCAGAAAATCATCTTACTGAATTTATCAACCATTTAAATACCAATAATAGGGGTATTATTCTTACGTATGAATTTAGTAAAAAATCCATCAATTTTTTAGATCTTAGTATTTTTATTAATAAAGGACTACTCCGAACTAAAACTTTTTTTAAAAAAGTATGTGTAAATACAGCCATAGAAAAATCTAGTTGCCACTATAAACCCTGGCTTGAGAGCGCACCAAAAAGCCAATTTTTACGTCTTCGTAGAAATTGTTCAGAACTTTCAGATTTTAATGAGCAAGCAGAGTTTTTAAAAGACAAATTTATGGAAAAGAAATATTTAGAATCAGATTTAATTACCACAATTAATACAGTAAAACAAAAAGAAAGAAAAGAACTTCTGATGTATAAAAATAAAGAAAAAGACGAATCAATAGTACTCCCAGTGATTTTTAATTTCAACAATAAAAGTAAAGATGTTAAAAAAATAATAAGAAAGCACTGGCATATACTTAAACACGACGAGATACTTAATCCCATCATACCCATCCATCCGAACATTGTTTTTAGAGGAGCACCAAATTTTAAATCCATTTTAACTACTAATTTTACTAAACAATCTCCCCCAAAATATGTATCCTTTTTTCCTCAGACAAAAGGTTTTTACAAATGTAAACAATGTATTGTATGTAAAACCACAGATCATTCTACTCCATCTAAAGTCACAAATTTTATGTCTAACCAAACAAAAAGAGTGTACAATATTTATGATTTTATCTGTTGCAATACGAAAAATGTTATCTATCTGCTTGAGTGTCCATGTGGCCTCCAATATGTGGGGATGACCACAAGGTGCTTAAAGATAAGGCTAAGTGAACACTGCAGAAATATCAAAAATGGGTACTTAAACCATACAGTATCCAAACATTTTATTATACACAACAAAGATCCACGCCTACTAAAATGTATAGGTATAAAGAAATGTTCTACCTCCTGGCGTGGAGGTGATATAAAAAAGCTGCTTGGTAAAACAGAGATGGAATGGGTGTATAAACTCAAGACCCTTATACCCCATGGTCTTAATGCAGACTTTGATCTATACAATTTCTTAAGAAAATAAAATGATGTCTGTATTTCTTATATTTCAAATGTTGCTTTTAATACCCTCTCTGAGTATGCCAATATTCTTTAATATCATGTTTGCACTTAAGGTTTTTTATTGTTGTACCTTTAAAGTATCTTATTTTTTATAGTAAATTATTATTATTAGTCCTAATTATACTTCATATTAAGGCACTTCTGTTTTACTTTATGCCCCACTATATTATCTTCCAGAAATTCTAATTTGTATTAATAATTAGCCTGTACTACATTTCCCATCAGGCACTTCGGCTTCAACTTCCGGTTTGCGGAAGTGCCGATTAATTTGTACATAGATTTAGGCATTATATTTAGTATTTAATTAGTGCCTTTTCTTTTTTCTATGTTTTAAGTTTCCCTAGGTTCCATGGGAACCATTGTGCCAATCTGGCACTATAGATTTTCATTTTACTATGCGCCCGCCGACCGCGGCCATTTTAAACTACATTTCCCATATGGCATTGCGGCTAGACTTCCGAAAAGCGGAAGTGCCGCACGCCATGTGACTATTTTAAAACGTATTAAACTACACTTTCCCACCCTCGTTTTTAATTATAAATATCAGGAATGTGTTACAAAACAACAGACAATGTACTGATAAAGGTATAATTATGTTTCAAAGTTTTTATATATGCTTCTATTTCTGATTGGACGGACCAATTTTGGCGCCAAATGTAAATTAGTTATGCTCCTATATAACATTATCAAGCCAGGTATTACATGTTATTCCATTTGAAAAAGTCTTTGACGAAACGCGTTATGGAAATTTAATTATTGTGTTCTTTTATATATTAAAGTATTTTTGGTTATCTGTTTGTACCAATAATCTTTTTTATAGACACGTAATTTTCTTTTTTATTATCCTGGCCTTTTTAATTATTTTATCCTTTTTTACTGGTTTTAAAAAAACCTTAAGAATCCCTGGAAGTTTCCTGTACTTAAAGAAATCCTAGGTGGGGATCAATCCACCCAAGCTGTCATCACGGAGCAGTAAATCTGCTCCTGCTTTGTAAGTACATTCTTTTATTATTTTATCCATATTGCTATACAGTGAGCACTATCGGCTGTTTCTTTTATTCCGAGAATTGGACACCTACCACAGAGAGGAACCCATTTAAATCCTACAAGCGGGGATTAAACCGCTGTATGCGCCATAACCCAGAGCTAGGACAATAGCTCTGGTAAATGTGAGTTCTATATTATTATTATTTTATGTTCACACCAGAATTTTATATACTACACTATTGGTCGCCCTTCTCTCTCCTCTTTTTTCTTTCATATAAGTGGAACCGCTACATTAAGAGAAGACGTCATTAGCAAAGACCATCTGTAAGGATAAAAACATTGGGACTTTCCTTTACATTGGACTTTATTTCTACTTGTGTGCGCAGCCTTTCTCCTATTATTTTCATCCATCCAGTTCTAAAGGGTCTGAGGGATCCCCTTTTAAGGTTGCTGCCTATAAGTTATCTAGCGCTATCTCATTTCCATTTTCTTGGTCCGATGGTAAGGTCTGCGAGCAAAGAAGCGAGGTCAAGAGTCAAATCGAAGGTCAGAAGTCAGGAAATCCATGAATAGGTAGTAGGATGCCAGCGACTAAATGTCGGAGACAAGAAGCGTTGTCAGGGTTAGACCAAAAGGCCAAAGGGCAGAAGCCAATAAATTTTACCAGGAATCAGGAATCAAGAACCAGGATCAGCAACAAGGAACTAGGATGCTACAAGACTCGGGAAAGCACCAGAACAACTAAACATGGACTAAGTGCAGTGCTTGGCTATTTATGGAGAGAGCTGATCACATGACTGCACTGCACGTGAAGCCACAGTGACCAAGCAGGAAAGGAGGAGACTGGGCGTCATCTTGGCTATTCTACAGTCACTCCCCTTGTCTCTCCAAGACTCCCTTCCACCGGCTCTCCAGACCCTCTCCACATGCTGAGCTGGCACACAGGGCTGGCGCCACCGCTAGACAAATTGGGCAGCTGCTTAGGGCACACCGGCCCGAGAGGGTGCAGTCTCCGGGTAACCGGTAGGAGGGGAGCACACAGCAAACCTCCTGCTGGTCACAGCATGTAGCATGGCCGAGTGGTAAACCCTGGTAGAGGAACCTCTGTTTCCCTCTACTCTGTCTGACAGGTAGTGCTCACTGAGAGCTGCTTCCTGACAGACCAGGTAGAAGATACATAAACTCCCCTACCGCGACCAATCTACAAGGAAAGAGGTGAGCTGCCATTGGGGAGTGGAGGCACACAGAGATCTTGGGGTGGGGAGGGGGCCGGAGAGAAAGACGCATGATGGCTGTCTGTGCTGATTTGGTGTGCAAACATGATTTCTCGAGTTTCTATGCCCAAGAAGGATTGTTTAGATTCCAACTAGCGATATCAGGGGACGCATAGCAGTAATATATAAATAAACAAACATATCCATGTGTGTGAGATCTGAGAGAATCATGGCAAGTGAAGATGATAGCACTAATGTGAGAAAGGCTTGCTTCCTCTGCCCCTTACATTACCAATCTTGCAGTAGGAAGCAAGAAGTTACTCATCCCCATGCAATGTTATAAATTCGAATCATTGTTTAAGGCAGGAAGTTTGTTTTTGCAGCCCCCCTATATATGTGAACATTCCATAACCCCTCTCTCTAGATCACATGTCTGGACTCCTGTGTTTCTCATCGCTTTAGTACTCAAGGGGTTAATGTGATATACGATGTAACATATGTAAAATGTTTTCCTCTGACTCACTCTCCCTCTTACTAATTTTTTTGCTTCCTGCCAAAAGGCATTATTGGAAGTGTATGTGTCATTTCTTCTCTCCTACGATTCCCCCGGTTTTTACGAGCGGCGATAAATTCATGTAGATGTAGAAAATACAAACAGGAATCCCTGAAGAGAAATTGAAATGCTAGCAATGTGGGTGTGCTAAATTTGGGTGTGAAGTAGTGGATAATATTTAGCTTGCTGTGGGATTTGCTTCTCCTCCAAGCTACGTTCTTTGACCATATAAAAGGTGTCACGTAGCCACGTATGTTGTGCTGCCTTCTGATTGCTGAATGGGTCAAATCTTTTGCATGCCTCCAAACCCCAAAACATTTTCTCCAAGGCTGGTGTCACTTTATTCCTAGAAGTTCAGAGAGCTTGACTTGTTTAGTGTATCACAGAGCTCGACAGCAATAAAATTCAAAAACATTTCAAAATTTCATATTTAAGGCCAGAGTAATGTAATAATGGAAACTACTAGTAATGGTTTGGTCCTAAAAGGGCAAACCTACTGTGACACCTACACGGACACTCCAGGGGTGTCCTGGGGCTTAACCCCTAAATGATCAACCAAAAAGAAAGCTTGGATCACTGGGAATCCAGTGATTTGAGCATGTACTGGAACTATAATGATAGATATAGTAAGTAATATAGTTGATTATAAAGATACAAAGATATATATATATATATATATATCAAAACCCTTGTCCAGACTATGAGGTCATCCCAATGTGAAGATAGTGTAAACAGCCAAATAGGCAGAACCTCCCTAATACTAGACCGTGACTACGATACACCTCAGACTACTGACTTTAATATGTCTTGATTGGTCTCTATTGATATTTATCTGTCACTATACACAGACTTTGACCAATTAAAGTCAGTAGTCTGAGGTGTATCGTAGTCACGGTCTAGTATTAGGGAGGTTCTGCCTATTTGGCTGGTTACACTATCTTCACATTGGGATGACCTTAAAGTCTGGACAAGGGTTTTGATATATATATATCTTTGTATCTTTATAATCAACTATATTACTTACTATATCTATCATTATAGTTCCAGTACATGCTCAAATGTACTGGTACATCACAAAATATGGTAAGCTGTAATGGTCCCAAGGTCTAAAATGTTTTGAGGAAGATGGGGCGAAAGGAAGTTACACCCTCGGCTGGACACTGACGGATCCCATAAGTGACAGAGCCACTCTAACAACATTTTTGGATTTTATCAAACCTATTCTGAACTTTTTTTTATAACTTTTATTATGAATAATTAAAGCAGCACAGCCACTTTACCGGTTTTCTTTTCATAAATAATCCTGTTTTGCCCCTCTGTTTCCCTTCACTATGACTATTTTAAAATGTTCTTTTTATTTTCATTTTTTTATACATAAAGTAGAGACTTATGCAGATTGTGATCTCTCCCTATTACCTTTGCGGTTGGCAATATAATTAATCTGCAGTGGTAATATGGAGCCAAGAAGTAGCTTACATGGTTAATAGAATTAACAGTCATTACAGATTGAAATAAAAATTGGATCAGTCCTGATAGCTGGGGGCTGGTCAGCTACCCGTCAGGTGGGGAGCCAGCCTCTTATTTGTGCTGATCCACACCCTTTTTGAGTGAGACCTCCTGGGCAGCCATTTCTCTGAAAAGGCATTGTTTACAGTGCTAAGGCTGCAGAGACCACAACTACTACATTAAGCCGTAGGGGTTCTGGCGACCATAGTGTGCCTTTAAAGACATGTGGAGAAATAGCCTGGCTAATCAAGTTCAAATAAATAGGTAAGATTTTGGGGAGGTAAACCATAATTATTGATTTAGCAATAAATTTACAGCATTATTCACTAACGTGAGGATTCAAAGTGAATTATAGGCTTTTCCTCTGTTTCAATTCACAGCATCTACAGTGCATCCTCTGTAGTTGGATTAAAATTATTTCTCTGAGCACGGTTCATGCTTTGTAAAAAGGTATATAAAAACTGAATGACAAATATGCACAGGTAATGAAACCAGCTGTGTCTTAGCAATTTATTATTTTTTGGGGTGGAGGGAAGACCTGGTCAGTAAGGGATACTCTGGCCATTAGCCGTGTTTAATTAAAAACTTACAACATATTACAATGTAGTCTATTATCTCTAGTTAAGTAATTTACTCACAATTTGTGATTCCCATTCATCTGTCAAATCGCGTATATACACTACAACGTGTCGATTTACTTCCTACTCCTAGCTACCCATTTACCTACTGTATGAGGGAGCCATTCACATCCTCCCAAACTCAGCACTAACACGGCTCCTAGTAAGTGAAGCACATTGAGCTGAAGAGGAAGAAGATGGCAGAGGCCATGAAGGATGCTTCAGGTAAGTAAAACCTACATTTCACTGCACCACACGGCCACCTGACCAACCGGAGATGTGCAGAGACACCCCAAAGTGACAGATCCACTTTAATAGGATCGCTGAATAGATGAATGAAACTCTTTTATGTATATTTCTCTTGAATTGACTACAAATTAAAGCTGCGAAGTTGCACATGTGCACGTCACCTAAACGGAACACTTGAGAAGTCATTTAAAGAGGTATGCATGCATCTGTCTGTAGTCAGTTTTTGATGTGAATGGCGCTTTAGAAGAAACTTAGCAAGTGGAGGCATGCCCCGAGATCACAGTCAAAAGAATTCGGTCTTGTCTCTGAAGAAACCTCTGCTGTGTGTGTCTCATGCTCACACACATGTAACATGTTCACAGTCATGTCAGATCACACGACTCATAGACCTTTCATTCACCATAGTGGCTCTTTCACGTGATATTGGGAGAACTGCGTCAAAAGGTGCGTGGCCGCGTGTTTAAAAGTGTTTGTGCTCCATTTAGGATACATTACAGATTATATTTCTACACAATACATGAGGGCACCACTGATTGGCTATATGCAGGGAAGACATGTCTCTTTACAGTTATTTAAAGGAACACTCCGTGCGCGTTAATAACCCCCTGAAGTCCTATGTAGTGGTTGTGGTGTCAGGAGTGCACTGGGCTCTCCCATGGTAAGAAGTCAAATTGTTTTATAACGATTTGAAAAATTATGTTGGTGCTTCAGGCACCCACTCCTCATCCTGTCTTCTCCTGTCCTACCCAGGATAAGTTGTAGGTCACTGCAGTGCTGAGCCAGCCCGATCCAGAATTGGGCTCATTGTCTGATACCGCTCTGTAGGGCTATCCAGATTTTCCAGAAAACTCGATGAATGGTATACTGCAGGTAAATTGTCAAACTGTACTAATATTATAAGACTACTTGCTTTGGGATAGAACCAAGGCACTCCTCCACAGTGGTTATGGTACTTATAGTGTTCATTTAATATCCACTTGTGCATCTGACTGACCGTTGAATGTACTTCACACAAACTTTAACATTTAAGAAAACGTCTCATACAAAGGAAGCTATTCAACAGGATGCACAAAAACACAAAATCCTGCCACACAAGCACAGTACTACGAAATTAATTACACAGCAGTATCTTTAGCTGGATCTAGTTAAACAAGTATTGTCACTTCGAGTACGATATGAAGCTTTATATACACTATTTGTTTTTCATTTTTTATTTTCCTTTACTATCTAATACTACATTTTCTTTTTCTCCCTCTCGAAAGGCTCTATCCTTTCTAATTTGTGGCTCACAACCACCCTCAGAGCTACATTCCCAAAATAATTCAACTTAAAAAGAGAGAAACTAAATCCAAACTACTTAAAATCACTCCATATTTGTTTACAAAGATGGGTGATATTAAGTAGCCTTGTAAAATGTAATACTGTATTTCTTTGTGTGCACACTGGTTCCTAAACTGTATTTTATATATATTTTGGTCTTTAGGGTAGCATCACTGTTGAGAAATGCATATTCCGGGTGTGCACCCCAATTCCTTTATTTTCTCTAAATATTTGGAATCCTGGCCAGATTCCTGTTTGGTTAAGCACACCACCCCTCCGCTATAGATGCCCCTTTTGGAGTTGAACACCGGAAAGCATAAATTGGGGAGAGTCTCCGGAAGCAGTAAGTATTGCAGTTAGCATGTCAATCTCCCATGTTAAAATTAGTGTTGGATCCACCAATATTTGGGTACTGTGACATAGTGGTGGGCTTAACACAATTTGGCATTATGGTGGAACTGAATCCCCATAATTGTTTGCTAAGATTGGTGATTTTAAGCCTTGATACATTTTAAAGAGAGTGTGTGTTGTGTGTTAATCTGTAGTCTCTAAAACATTTATACCCAGGATCCACCTCTATGCTGCTCTTCTGGTGAGACTGATGATGGGGTGAAGGAAAGATCAGTCTCCCCCCCAGATCGATGGAGTAAATGCAAAGCTCCCTGTATGGCATGCTCTCCAACTGATGTTCTCGTGAATGAAGTCAAGAAGCAGACTGATGATTGACACCTTTGCTTCTATAAACCTCAGCAGTTTCATTTACAGGGATTGGCGAGCTGACAGGTTGTCTTTCGATTCTTTCAGGTCTCACTAAATACATGGACGCAAGGCGAGGGTAAAAGATGCCAGTTGCTATAAGATAAAGGTTCTAATCCCCCAGCCCCCATCCATCCCATTATTGAAGATCTACGCTCTATGAGCTGGTACATATTTGTTTTTCTCCGGGTGATGAGGCCATCTTTCAGCTTGGATAGCAGTGAGAGAGTTTGTCAGTCTTTGGCAAACATATTGACAGTTTCTGTGTTAATGCAACCAGTAATGTCATTTCATCATCTTCATTGACGTTTTGATAATAAATCAAGAGATTTTATTTAAAAATAAAAATAAAATCTGATTTTTTTTAATCTTATATGTGAGCCTACTTGAATGGTCATCTTTATTAAACAGTTAATGTAAGTCAGATGTTCGAACGAAACAGATAACAATCAAGTGCAAGACTGATTTGACCCTTTAAAACTGTCACAGTACCAGTGTCACTGGCGTTGCCCCTTCACCTTGCTATCTGATGCATAAAACACAGGAGGGTGGTGATTCTTGCGCTGATGCTGTCCGCTCTAGCCCACCCCATTTTTAATCCATGTCAGTGATTGATGCTGGCTCAGATCATTACGCCATTGGAATGTTACCAAATACACAGATGTGCTTTCTGGACACAAGTGCCTGTTGGATTTACAAACATTTACAAGAAGATTAAACAGGAACAATTAGACAACCCATTGCTACTTATAGTATGTATTTTGACACGGTAAAACCACACCTAGAAAACAGCCCTGTTGTGCAGAAACAGAGCTAACCAGTTACACGGAGAAAGCAACATGTCCCGATTTAACCCCATTACAGGATGTAGTAAGACATGTTTATAAAATACATGACACCAATTTAGAGCCAACGTCAGAGGTTCATTTACAATTCAGTTGAACTTATGCATATATTCCAGAAGTGCTCATGCTACACTTAAATGTAAGGAATATTCTAGGCACCACAACCGCTATATGCCAATGTAGGGTCTAGGGTGCATTTAGACTGCTAACGCAGTACCATGGGCCTTGTGCTGCCATTTTCAACCTTTTGAACCTAAACCAAAGGAACCTTGGAGCCTGGTCCCTAATTTCCAGGATTGCTACTTCAAAAGTTCTACTATTCATTTGTATATAAATTTTATCCATATTTTTTTCTAAATTCTTTATTTAGAGCAAAAAATGGGTCGCAAGAGTATTCTGAGAACGGACAGCAGCTAAAATAGCCTGCCCTTCGGTGGGTCCCCGCTCAGAACTCAAGCTGGTTTTAGCTCATCTTGTGCCATTACAGAGAGAACATATCTGAAGCATATCAGACTGGTCCCACCCATACGGGCAGTCCAGATCCGAAATGCCAGCAAGTTCTCTCTGCACGAGAGATACAGCAACCCCAGACGATCGTTTCAGCCTTGTTAGGCATCGTCAGTGAGGCATAGCTGATATCTCTCTAGGCACCGTGAGCAAGGGGTCCACGTCTGGATTACCCTTTAAACTAATGGAGAGAAAAAAATGGGTCGCAAGAGCCTCACTGATGATGCCTAACAAGGTTGAAACGATCGTCTGGGGTTGCTGTATCTCTTGTGCAGAGAGAACTTGCTGGCATTTCGGATCTGGACTGCCCGTATGGGTGGGACCAGTCTGATATGCTTCAGATATGTTCTCTCTGTAATGGCACAAGATGAGCTAAAACCAGCTTGAGTTCTGAGCGGGGACCCACCGAAGGGCAGGCTATTTTAGCTGCTGTCCGTTCTCAGAATACTCTTGCGACCCATTTGTTGCTCTAAATTCTTTATTTTTTTATTTTTTTTTATCCATTACAACAAATAGAATAATATTAACTGTAACAGTAAAACAAATAGTTTTAATACAGTCAGAGATGTATGAAGTAAAAATAAGAGTATTGTGCACAGAGTAATATAGAAGTGAGAATGATGTTATACCAATGAACACATCTAAAATACTCGAATAAAATAATAACAAAAAGGGTGTGTAGGAGAAAGTCCACCTATGGGACCACAACCTACACCCTAAGAGGGAGGAGGATATTATATCTATAATGACCCTATGTTGTAGTATCGTTGCGTAGAGTCATGTTGCTGGGCTTTGAGCTGTTCCATGTCCTAAACCTCAGCCAGGATATACTGAGGTTCAATAAGGGATGGCCACATTGGGTCGTTCACCTGCTGAGCAAGGGCTCTTTTGACCGCCAAGGCCACTGTGGAGATAAGCTTATTGTTGGCCATCTTAAAGCCTTTGACAGGTCTGGAGAGATAAAAAGTCCATGGATCAAGGTGAATCAGTTTATCCAAGGCATGACAAAGTCACAATACCAACTGTATCCAATATAACCGCAGGCTGGAATTTGATCCATATTTCAACGCCATTAATTTCTGAATTGTTCAGGTGAAATTAACAAAATATATAATATAGGTCAGTTGACCCTTCCTATAACATTTTAAAAACACAAAAGTAAATGATAAGCCACTGGGGTTTCCTAGTGGTCCACCAAACTCTCAGGGCTTTCTTTAAAATAATAATTATGTTGCTTCTTGATGTCTTGGTCTGCTCACAGTTTGGCTACTTTCAGTGGTGTATTTTGGATTTGTGCTGCCCTAGGCACGACTAAATTCGGGCACTCCCAAAATCTAAATTTGCCCCCCCAATTCGTGTCAAGCCCATTTTTTTGACTGAAAGACACATGCCCTCAATTATACATGCACTGATATACACTTACTGACAGATACACAGTCATTGGCACGCACACACTGTTTAGCCAACACACACTTTCACTGACAGACACACACTGACACCCCCACTCACTGACAGGCACACACTCTCAGATACACATAAAATGACATACACACACTGACACACACTCACAGGCACACCCATTCTCACTCACAGACACACACTGACAGCTACACTCACTCACTCACAGTAAGGTGGACAGCCCCAGAACATGAGGCAAACAAGGCATTTGTCTGGGAGCTTGGGGTGGCATTTTTTGGCACCCCACCTCCTTTCACCCCCCACCCCCCGAAAGTGCCGCCCTAGGCAAATGCCTTGTTTGCCTTGTGGTAAATACATCTCTGGCTACTTTGACTTTAAATTGGAAATTTACTATGAATTCACTTTGAATTCCCAACCATTCTCTCTTCAGTAAATAGCCCTGTTTGAGTAATTCAGTGATGCTTTTGACTTTTCAATAGCCAATTTTTTTACACATGGCACATGGTGAAACAAGAATACGATTCATCAGACTTGAGATCACCTTGGCTCAAAATATGTTCTTCGTTTATAAATATGAGCTCATGGTGGTGGTCTAATACAGATGTATTGTAATGCCATTTTTACTAACTGTAAGAAAATGTGCTTAAACTAGGCTCAAAATAGTCACCTGGAGGCCAGATGTGTCTTTAGAATGACCTCGATATCCCATAAACACCTGTGGTTTTATTGCATAGCTCTGCTAGCACAAACAACCATATATTTTTTTTTGGGGGTGATGGTGGGAATGAAGAACTGAGAAGAAGGCTTGTAGATGTTGCACAATACATTGTAAAGGGCAGAAACAACACAGAAACAACACACAGAGAGTTCCAATTTAGAATACTGGGAGATTGAGGGACTTATTGGGTGTACTGACTATTAAATGTAGTCACCAGATAGCTGGCATCCTTGTACTGTCTAAATCAATTACAAAGTAGTAGGCTTGTTGGCGGCATTCATTTTCTAAGATTTTGGCACATAGAGGCTGTCCCTATTCTCAGGCAGTGTGAAACATTGCTATTTCTGAGAAACGTTAGTGTTTACATCTGTCCAAAAGCATGCTTCTAATGGATATCAGACAGAGAATCAAACCACTTTTAACTTACATCCTTCACTTTTCTAAGGAATTTGCCTTGGTCATAATCAGGCAGAGCATGCCAACTCGTGAAAAATGCTTCAAATGGAGAATACACGTTAATTGTCAAACGTGTACCAACTGTGCTCAATGCTTCTATGTTAGAAGTACCTGATTGGACAGAAGTTTGATGGGCAGCAGCAAGGATACTGTGCCAGTAATTGAAATTTTTATAATTAAAAAAAAAATTGAGGGTAGTAATCGAAACCTAAAAGGAACAGATAAAAGAGCTAATAAACAATGTATATAGTTTTTTTTTTTTAATTAGAGTGTTCCTTTAAAGGTCGCCAGAGGTGACCATGTACAAGCTGCCAGAACAAAGGCATCTCATTCAAGGTCTATTAAGTATGACGACTTCTAAAACTATTTCCTATTGTCTGTGCCAACACCAGGTTTCTAATATATTAATACGTATAATATACTTGTCACTTACAAATAATAGCAGTAAACATAATTAATACACACTTAAGAATCTTTATGATGAAACTGAATCTGTCATCTAATATATATATATATATAATATATATGTATATTGTTGTATATAGCAGTGTTGTAGTATATACCTAGGCATACCGAGCCCATATTTTGTGCAGCTATTTCAGTACACAATCCCAGCAACTTGGTTATGTCTTTCAGTGTATGCTGTCCCTGCTGACATCTTGCACTCGTGTTCGATTGTCTCGGAAGACTATTTGCATAGTCTGCACCTTCTGGGTCTGGGTTCTGTCTGGTGTGGTAGACCCCCGCTTCTATTGATCTGGTGCTGAGTGCCTGTCCCTGTGCATCTTTGTGAGCCAATTTCATGATCCTCTATGTTTCATCCAGGACTGTTGCCGTGACGCTCCTCAAGCCCCAACCGACTTCCTTCCAGTTTTCTAGTCTTGGGTGCTGGATTTCGGGTTTAATACTCCCTTCATCATGAGTAGTTTCTGAGTCCTGATAACCATGGAATCCAGCTCTTCTCCTGGCCAGGTTATTATCCAAGCTGGGTATCCAATGACTATAGGGTGTAATTATTGATGGCGTGAATCTCAGGACCTGACGAAAGTCCACTAGTGGACTGGAACATTGATCATCTTTACATATGAAAAAATATTAATGGTATTTGATCAAAAGAGGTCCACTGAGTGTGAGCAATCTGTTTATTTTATACTTTGACTGAGAGTTTGCGCACCGTGGCAAGACAACAAGTGCGCCACAACATGGAGATGTCAAGTGCACCACATCAGGAATATTGATATACAGTAGCTCACAAAAGTGAGTACACCCCTCACATATATTTTATTATATATTTTCGTGTGACAACTTAGGGGAGTACTCACTTTTATTGCCAACGATTTAGACATTAATGGCTGTGTGTTGTGTTATTTTGAGGGAATAGCAAATTTACACTATTATACAGGCTGTACACTTACTACTTTACATTGTAGCAGAGTGTCATTTCTTCAGTGCTGTCACATGAAAAGATATAATAAAATATTTAGAAAAATGTGAGGGGTGTACTCACTTTTGTGAGATACTGTATATACACACAGACACAGGTTTAGATCGAGAAAAAACAACAGCAATGTTGGGTTTTCTGCAGGGGGACTCTCCAAGATGAATATATTTCATTTTCTTAATTTAATTTGTTGTATTTTTAAAATACATTATCACCAAAATGCATTGAGGGAAGGCAGGTTAACTCCAGCCTGTTGTGTTCCTTTAATGGATAGACTTGGGACAATATCCGTATTTAAATGAGAAGGACCGTGACAGGTGTCTACTATCAAAACAGCCACCTGTCCCAGCCCCAAGGCTTCCTACAGTCTCTTAAATGGAGCACAATAGCCATATGTAACTAAATCTGAAAATATAGAAACAGACACAAGGAAGGTCCAAGGCGAGTGCGCAGTGTTAAAGGGACCTGGATCACTGGCTCATGGTAAAATTATTTATCTAAACTTAATATACAGTATCTGTTATGAGATAAGATCAGACCGCATGGACTAGATTAAAGATCTTCTGTTTCAGGCAAGAGTCTGCTTGTAGCCACCGACATCCTTGGTTAGCTATTCAAGTGTAATAAAATTTTTTTTACATTTATCTAATTTTTCCCTCAATTTATTAATTTTAGATAAGCTTACCAAGTGATTTAATAATTTTGGACGCACATTTAAAATTATTTAATATTCTGAAAAATTTTAAAATTTTGCAATATTTTCACATTTTTAAATATGTCGATATATTTTTATGTATTATATATTTTTAAATGGTGAAGAAAATAATTTCAAAAGTTTATCATAGAAATATTGAATAATTTAGAAAGCTTATCCAACAATATTGAATTAGAGCTACATTACAGCTACAATTCAGTATTACTTCATGATAATGTAATATTAATAGTTACACAACAGTATTACTGTAATGTCAACCATTCAGACAGACAAGCCTCTCTGCTAATGCCCATTTTGATCTGTCAGACAGTCCATAGAAAGTAATAGGGGTCAGCTCCATAGACAAGGGTTCATACAATTCTTCATGAAACTTTCCCAGCTTGTTGACTATATACTTCGCCACGGAGCTTCAGCCCCACTTTCACCACAGTAAATAGCTATTTAATCCACAAAACAAATTGACTTTTCATTCAGCCAAAAAATAATATTGGTAGCTTGTTGACTGTAATTGGACAAGCATGTCAATTTCCCAACTTGGGCATAAACAGTGAATACAGTCCAACAAATGGTGATATATACATAAATGCTTCTTACATATAAATCAAATCCAGCTGACATAATTATAACAAACATCATATAGAGATGATGAGAGATCAGCGCTGTATTTAGTGCATGGCTAACACGGCATTTGCCTTGGGTGGCACTTTCCAGGGGGCGGCAAAAAATGCCACCCCAAGTGCCCTGGCAAATCCCTTGTCAGCCTTGACTTATGGGGGCCCAAGAGCTGGCCGGCTGGCCACCCGGCCCAGACAGTTTCTATTATAGGCGGACGTCGAGGGAGCGCTGATCTGTGAGCTCTTCCTGCTCAGCTTGCACGACACGGATTGATGCTGGGAGCCATAATATGACGTCACTCCAGAACCCGGCATCATTAAGCGGCACGCGAGGGACCTGAGCAGGAATATTACAGCTCCCTCGCCGTCTATTTTGCGTACCCAACCGTCCCCTTGCCTGCCCGCCTTCCATCCTGCACGCCTGCCTACCCAGCGACCAGTCCAGCAGCCCCTCTGGACCCCAGGTAAAAATCCACTCTGCTCTCCCAAAGGTAGAGAGGCTGGGTGGATTTAAACTAAAATAAAAGTCAATAATTATTTGTAGATGTTGGAGGGAAATGTGTGTCAGACTGTCAATGTGTATGTCCGTGCATGTGTGTGTGTGTCAGTGTGTGTCAGACTGTCAATGTGTGTGTGTATTTGTCTGTCAGTGAATGTGTTGTTATATCTTTCAGTGTGTCTGAGTGAGTGTGTGTTATTCTGAGTAAGTGTGTCTGTCAGTGAGTTTGTTTGTCTGTCAATGCATGTGTGTGTGTGTCTGTCTGTCACTGAATGTGTGTTTATATATGTCATTGTGTCTGAGTAAGTGAGCGTGTCTGTCAGTGAATTTGTTTGTCAGTGAATGTGTGTTTCTGTCAGTGAGTTTGTGTGTGTCTGTCAGTGAATGTGCATGTACGTCTGTCAATGTGTGTGTCTGTTAGTGAATGTGTGTATATGTCTATCAGTGTGTGCCTGTGAGTGTGTATGTCTGTCACTGTGTGTCAGTGTGTGTGTATGTCTGTCAATGTGTGTTTGTCAGTGAATGTGTGTCTGTCAGTGTGTGTGTGTGTCAGTGCGTGTCTGAGTGATTGTGTGTGTCTGTCAGATTGTGTCAAATGAGTGATTGTGTGTGTCTGTCAGATTGTCAAATCAGTGAGCATGTGGGTATGTGTGTCTGCAGACAACTTCACACATTTACACATTCTTGCATACATACTCAAATTACAAATTAATTGTACTTCATGTTTTATTTTATTTTTTTATGCCCATCCAACCTTTGTACCTTTAGGAGAGCTGGTGTGGGTCCTTTTCCTGGGATCCAGTGGAAATTCTTTCCCTGGGGACCAGTGGGGATCTTCTACCTGGGGTCCAGTGAGAAATGGATATTCTCCCCGTGGACCAGTATGGAATGGATCTTTAATTTTCTTTTCTGCTCCCTCCCTCTGTAGTTATGCCGGGGCTGGAGGGACGTCATATTCCAGCTCCCGGCATAACTACAGGGGCCACATGAGGGAGCAGAGAGGAACTGGAAACATTACCTAAAATACATAAACGATTGATAAATCCCCCAGGTAGACCCATCATGGCAAGTACCTAATCAGTCATGCAACCTCTTTCTATTTTTTTAGATAAAGTTTTACAACCTTTTGGTGACAAATCTAAATCCTATACATTAGATAGTAGCGAAGTATTACAAAAACTAGCCACATTAACTATTGATGTACCATGTATTTTGTTTACATGTGACATTGAAAGTTTATATGCTTCCATTCCAAATGGAGGAGGTTTGCGTGCTATTCGGAACACTCTCAATCAGAGTGACTATACCCATAAGCAAATAGAATGTTTCATGAGCATTTTGGATATTTTATTGCATAACAACTATTTTTTATTTAAAGACAGTCATTATAGACAACTAAAAGGTACCACGATGGGATCTAATATGGCCCCATCATACGCCAGCCTGTCATGGATGGATTCGAAACCGCACACGTGTATGCGCACAATTTATTTGTTGGGCATGCGTGTGTGTGGTGGAGATTCATTGATGATGTGTTTGGCGTATGGTTTTTGGACCAAAGAGGAACTTTTCCATGGGAAAGCATTGGATTGTCTAAAAATTTGCAATTTTGATGATGTCACCAATGGGGCGGGACCAGCACCGGCAGACCCATGGAGAGCTGAAAATAAGGTTAGTTTTAACCCATTCTGAGGGGGCGAAGGGGGGGGGGGGCAAGCCACCTAAATGGTGGGTTTTCACTATAGGGTCAGGAATACATGTTTGTATTTTCACTATAGGGTCAGGGTCAGGAATACATGTTTGTGTTCCTCACCCTTTAGTGATCCTTTAAGTTTCTGTAATCAAAGTGGAAGTTAGCAACACCTTAACGGTGGGAGGGGAGGACAATAAAAAAAAACGAAAGAATTAAAAACCTCAAAAGACTGAAAATTTTTGTTAACAAATAACCAATTCCCCAAAATAATTTGAAATAGCAGCACAAGAGCAGATTGAAAACAACAACTACCCACGTTTACACCATTATTCAATTACTCTATATACAGGGCAAATAAATACTGTAACTAACATATAACTATAAAAATCTATAACATAACTTTTACACATGTTCAGAACACCTGAAATATCAGTTAGTGGTAACTCAAAGAAATGCACAGTGCAAAATCTACATAGAACATAATTGGAACATCCGAGTTCCGAGTGCAGCATGTATACTGAGGTCCATAACCTTTAACCTGTGAGGTAACTGAAATCCCTGCAAAGTCGCCAATTTTTTATGTCACTAACCTTGTGATATCAGTCTGTCAGCCTCAACATCACATGGTTAATGCAAGTTTTTTGACCTCTTACATAGTTACATAGTTGAAAAGAGACATGCATCCAGCAAGTTCAGCCTTCTCACATTTGTTTTTGCTGTACCAAAAAACCCCATCTGAAGCGTTTCCAATTTAGCAAAAAAATCTAGGAATAAAATCGTTCTTGACCCCAGATTGGCAGTCAGATCTCTCCTTGGATCTAGAAGATATTACCCCACTATTTAAAAATTATATCCCTGAATATTCTGCTTTGGCAAGTATTTATCCAATTGCAGTTCAAACATTTGTACAGACTCTAATAAAACCACCTCTTCAGGCAGAGAATTCCACATCCTTGTTGTTCTTACTGTAAAAAACCCTTTCATTTGCCTTAGACTAAATCTCCTTTCTTCCAGTCTAAATGTGTTACCTCATATCCTATGTATAGCCCTGTTTATGAATAGAATATACTTCTGTTACATTATAGATAGAAACAAGGTTTGCAAAATTTGTAATCTCTTTGATAACTATTTTGTGACTCCAGCCAAAATTCAGAAAACGCTATTAATTACTGATGCTGGATTGTAAAGTTTGACAATATATAGCAAAAATGTTTGATTTATCCGTTGATCTTCTAATACTAGGAAGTCTACCTACCTTGCCCGAACTGTAGTTGTATGACAACTCGATAATATTTTCTCCCCCGTAGTCTTGCAGAGAATTATAAGAATCGCAGTCCGCAAAATCCAAGAGAGCTCAGTTTGACAGATTTTCCTTTTTCTAATTTGTATCATCTGCAGAATCAGCAGTGAAAAGCAATGGCAAAGTGTCGTAATAGTGAACATATTTTTGGCTGAAATACAGAAAATAAATCACTTTATTTGCAGACACGCATCTAATATTGTGTGATTACAGCCTGCTTTATGCTTTTTCCTCCATCTTTGTAAATGGGTGTCATGTCTTGCTCTATTTTGGACTGTTCAATGCAATAACCATTTAAAGTTTAATAAAAATAAATAAATAAAACTGATTGGGATGGTTTTAGGACTATAATGGACTCCTGTGCAAATTAACACATTCCCAAATGCTTTCAAGGCAACATTATACTCATTGAAATTGGGTCTTTAGCCATTTAGGAAGGTAGTGTTCTCTTCCTGCATTTGATAGCTCCAAGGCAATTTTATGTAATAGGTATCAATTTAGTTCTAACCTGGGAGAATGACTATATTTGAATGACTCTTCATTTGAGGAAAAGATGATCTGTTTTGTAAGAATAAATTTAGCAGATTGTGTTCGAGGAAACCAAGGCATCTTTGCTTGCATTTATTGACTACAATTCTCATTATCCTCACTGAATGACTGTGCAAGAGTGATGGCAGTTGGAATTCAACATCTGTGTGACCGAGAGCCTAGCTATGGTCAAAAAATACCTGGGACTTAAGCCCAAGACAAACATATCTCATCAAAGTCCCACAACTGGTCCCTTGCAAATTCCACCTGTTTACACCTGCAATATTTGCATCTTGACACACTTGGATACTTACATAAACAATTGTGAGGGACTGATTATTGGGTTGCAAATTTTAGGCTCAAATGGCTAGATTTGAAAATGTTACCAATGCTGCAGAACTTGGTCAAATCTGCAGCGTTACAGGGCTCTCTTTCTAGGTGCCGCCATTTTTATGTTTCTATGTTTTTGGAGTCCAGAAATAGTATCCTCTGCCCATAGCTTGGCGTGCACCATAGCTTAAGCTGACCTCAGTTTACTCTCGCAATTATGCAAGAGTCAATGGAGAGGATCTCTGATGCAATGCTACAGGACTTGCCGCGGCACTGGAGGAAGGCACTGATCCGGGGCCAATGACAAAGTTGACAAAGGCTGTGGAACTTTACTAAACTTTTGTCAACCTGCTGATTAAAGGGATTACTTTTCCTTGTATATAACTTTGGAAAAAAAAAATGAGAAATTGGGCGTACAAGGGGGGTGGGGACATAATTCATATAAAAAGAGAAAAAGAGACAGGGTCGCTTTTAAGTAAGTTATGTAGGACAGAGGACAGTTAGTTCTTCTGGATGTATTCTTAATCTTCTTTAGTTAGTTTGGTTTTTATTACTAGGGAGTACTAATTAGTTAGTTTTACTGCATGAACCCACCATTTTTGCCTCTCCTACCCAACCTCCCGAGTTACATTTTATCTGCTTTTTTATTACTGCTATATATGAGGGCATGCTTTACGCCTCTTGGAGTTTAATTCAGCTTTAACTTTTCCGCAGAAAAAATCTAATAGAGAAACTGCAACTCTAAAAACCCCGTAGCCATACCCATAAAGAACTGCTATACAAAGTACAATAAGAATCAGTCATTTCTTGGTTTGACGAGAGCACTTAGCAAATAATGCAGTTTTCGCAGGAAATGCAAGACGTCAATGACAGGGTCTATTTTATTATGTTAAATGTACTTTTTAAATCTATATTTTTTTTTCAATGCACTATTTATATAATAGAGGGATACCATCTACACCACACTGGTGAGGCCCGAACAAAAACTATTTTGAGACCCGAGCAGGGACTATTCGAAGGGCAAGCTACTGCATTTCTGCAAGCATCTGAGTTCTCCAATTTAGTTTTGTTGCATTATTTATATAATGCATTACAAAATGGATAAAATCCAGCCTGTTGTGTCATTTCAAAGAGAACCTGTTGTGGATTTTAGAACTTATGCTAATTACCCCCCAAATATATTGAATACATCATATATCATAAAGATACATAATGCATTCAATGGAAAATATTGCGATATACTAATCTTGCAGCAATGTACACTTAAAAGAAGCGCAAAAGTTATACCTGGTGTGACAGGTACCTTTTAATATATCCTTCTTGGGTGTCATGTTTTTTTTTTTTTTTGAGTACATTAAAAATAAATTGTGATCACTCCATTAGTCTACAGGTGCCGGATTGTATCGATATGATAAGCATTCGATAAGCATAACCGTGACTTACACAGGATAGGGCGAAAACAATGATTAATTTATTTTTTACTTTCACGATGAACGAATACACCCAAGGACACAAAAGTCCCAGACAAGAGATCAGATAAAAAGGATGTCACAGTTATAAGTTCTCGTGTGAACAAAATGACAGCTCCTGATAACAACTGACTTTAAATATCTTTAAAAAAAGTTAGATATTTGAACCCCTCACTACATATTCAACAAATAAACATATATATATATAATCCAACCAATTTGTTATATAAGATAAAAGATATTCACTTTTAAAAACTGATCTTTTGACCAAATTCACACACATAACAACATCAGTCCGGAGCTCTATCCATATCGGGAAGTTGCCTCCCATTTAGAGTTTGAAATGTTGGACATATTTGGCCCAGTACCACAAGGGCTATAACGTCATTCCTAAATAGCAGGTTTCAAAACTTTATGACAAGGGTATTAATAAATGCATTTTAAAAAACTAAATCAGTTTAGTTAATTTAAAAAAAAAAGGGGGCAGTTTTTTGGGGTCAATTCTTCAGCATTTCTGGTTTAGTGGAAAAAAACAAAAAAACACATACTATGGTGAATCGAAAACCGAATTGCAAAATGTAGGCGAAGGTAGCGGTTTTGTAAATGTTCCAGATTGGCTGTTTTGGGCCAAGTTTTGCAACTCGCTTTTCAGTTTGCTGTAATTCAGGACTTAGTTTAAAGGGTCAGTCTAGACACCTAAAGCACTTTAGCTTGCCAAAAAGCTTTCTGTGTGAAGAGTTTGTCCTCTTTGTTTAATTTTGCAAAAAGTACAGATTTGAACAGAAATTGGCACTTTTATAAATTAACCTGGTCACACCCCCCTGGCTGTCAATCAGACAACTGGTCCTGTTACTTCCTGTTTGGTTTGCTCAGTGAAGCTAAACACAAGAGGTAGCAATTGCCCAGAGCACCTGACTTGCAAGGGGAGGGCTTGCACAGGCTGTAGACAAGAGATCTGCGGGTTTTGCAAGCTGTTTTTAGATACAACCCCAATGAAATTATGCATAATTAAATGCATGCATGTTTTCATTTAAACTGTGCTTTTTAAAAAAACATCTTTTAGTATTTTGGTTGTGGAGTGGAGTAAGCCCTGGTGACATCCAGATAATTCACTGTTGAGTGTAATTGAGCAGATATTCATTGCTCTTCCTCTGCACCGATACTTCAGCTCTCCTCCTTGTTGACAGACCAAGTCAATCTCATAAATAATTGCAGTCTAGACCGAGACATAAAATATACAAAATATTCCAACATCTCTTTTTTGGATTAAGTATAAGGAAAGGCAATTCTCTGTTGCTAACCAGCAGGGGAAATTGAGCTAAATTAAGTATTTTCTTGTCGGAATCTATAAAACAAAAATGGCCTTTGTTTGAAGCTGTAGATTGATAGCAAACAAATTAGTGGAAAAAAAGGGGAAATTATCAGATGTTAAAAAGATCAATTGCTTTGTGCTGCCACCTAGTGGTCATAATAGAATATAGCATCCAAAGATGTGATCTATAGCATTGTTTAAAACAACAGGAAAATAATTTAAAAAAATAATAATAATAAAAAAAACACAAAACCAATTCTTGCTAGCATTGCCATTATGAAAATAAAGAACTAAATAAGTAATTTGCACTTATTAAGACATAATAACTGGTAGTCTTCCCATTGCCAACAGTATTTCAAACCCATTTGAATTGCATGTAACATATTATAAGGTTATGTTGTACGTCCCCTACTATTGTCCCTATTCACGAATGTAGCTCCCACTGATATCAAGTTATGACCTGACCTCTTCTTCTTCCTCTTATCCTCATAACCCACGACTCATTAGGATGGTTTGATTGAGAGAATTCCATTCTAATGATCAATACTTGTTAACAACAATTTCATATTTATTCCTCCTGGTTTGTCTGTTATCATTTCAAAACTGTAACTTCTAAATGCTAAAATCGAAACACTTTGCAATCCTCCTGTTACATCAGTGACTTTAGCTCCTGATTTATAGGTTCTTTAACAGTACAGAATGTGCCACATTTTATATTAAGGAGTGTGGCCCCATCTCAAGGAATCCTAATGGAGGACTAGACAATAATTGCTAAGCCCATCAGGTCTTAATTCGAGGTGCACAGAGGGTGCCTACCCCCTCCAATTGTGTCTTAGCATTACTATCCTATTTCCCACCTGGTGGCTTTACTTTTCCTTCTTCCTGTCTCGTTTCCAGGTTCCCTGTACAATCAAACTTTGAATTGATGCCATTGTTATACGCTTCTCTTTTCTTCTTCATCCCCCTTTCCCCTGGGTTATTCCCAGTTTCAAATGCTTAAATATACCCTGTGTTCGCTATAATAAACTATGGTTCCCCAATAGAAGTTTCCCTCCATTGTGAGTTGTATTTGCTGAGAGTCTGTAAAAGGTTATCACCTTAATCAAAGCGTTAACGTCAACAGCAAAAACATATATGAGAAAGGCTGAACTTAATGCAAGCAAGTTTCTTTTCAGCTATGTAACTATGTAACAAGTGTTGCTTATTATTCATGGTATGTTTGCAACAATTTTCAAGAATTCAGCCATTATTGTTCCCACTTTAAAGAAAGGTCTTCCAAACTGGCTGGGCAGTGATCCCCTAAAAGGTGAAACAAGATTCCACCACAATCGATATCAGTGATAGTGCTAGCCCAACCCAACAGTATAATGGCCATCATGAGAGCCATAAGCATCTACCAATACTATCATGGACAGTACTTGCATCAAAGTCAGCCATACCAACCACTCAGGTAATCCCTTCTGATATGAGCCGAGCCCAATGTTGAAATATCAGGTGACACATTCAGAGAGACTTTTCTAAAGGGTTTGGAATGGATATCAGCCACAGAAGTTTGTCCTACACTCAAAGAGGCTTAAGACCAGGTCTCTCTACATTATAACCAGTCACCAAACTCTCCATGCCAGTAAAAAAAACAAGGACAGTATCACAGTAAGACTGCCTTCTATTATTATTAGCGCTTATAATGTGTCTGAGGAACATGAGAAGCTGAGAAGATGTGAAATACAACATTGTGGGGCCTGGGAAGAAAAGACGCATTGGAAGATACTTCGTTGTAGAGCAGGAGAAGACAAAGAACATGAGTTGGTGATAGGAGTAAAATATATTTGTTGTATAACCATAACAGCATCTGCGTGGGTTCCCTGTACTCTTTACCTAACGCCTATTGGTATACGAGTGTAGCTTTCACCCCAAGTGTCCTGGAAATAATGATCATGTGTCTTTTTCTTTTTTATGGAGGTCCAAGCTTCTGCTGGGTAGAGTTTGCAACAGAGCTTCATAGCAATTAATACATGTTCGTATTTAATAAAAGTGTTGCCTCAAAAGGAGAACACAGGTTAAGGAGTAATTGTGGTTAGGATTAAAGAGCATTTAGAATTAGAAGATTAGCCATGCTGTGTATTTACATTTCATGCTGCCCTAGGTCCAGCTGTGTCAACTAGCCACACCACTGCACTTTATATCATGCTTAGATATACAAGATCAGCCACCTACACACAAACAGAAACCCAAACAAGTCACAATTACAGTAACATATACATAATTAGCCGCTCCAAAAGCTACTTCGCATACATATTCAAATAGACAAACACTCAAAAGCGCCCCCACACACACACGCACTCACACACTCACACACCCACGCTCTCTCTCTCCCTCTCAGTTTGCTAAAAATAAAACACACTCTTCACACATAAAGCACTTTAGCAATACAAAGTGTGTTTGTTGTGTTCCTTTCATAGGCGTGTGCAGCCTATTGCATTAGGGTGTGCACCCTAAAGCACAAGCACACGCCGCGTATATATATATATATATATATATACAAACATATATACACACACACACACATACACTGCTGTGTGTGTGTGCGTGCTGTGTGAGGGTGCTGTTAGTGTGATGTGTGTGTGAGAGTGCTGGTAGTGTGCTATGTGGGTGAGGGTGTTTGTGTGTGCATGCTTGTGAGGGTGCTGTTAATGTACTGTGTGTGAGGGTGCTATTTGTGTGTGTGTGTGCGCTTGTGAGGGTGCTGTTAATGTACTGTGTGTGAGGGTGCTGTTTGTGTGTCAGGGTACTGGTAGTGTGCTGTGTGTGTGTTTGATAGGGTCCTGTTTGTGTTTGTGAGGGTACTGTTAGTGTGCTGTGTGTGTGTGAGGATGCTGTTTGTGTGCTGTGTGTGAGGGTGCTGTTTGTGTGTTTTTGAGGGCGCTGTGTGTGTGGGTGCTGGTTGTGTGTGTGGGTGCTGTACGTGTGTGGTTGCTGTATGTGTGTAGGTGCTGTTTATGTCTGTGGGTGCTGTATGTGTGTGGGTGCTGTGTATGTGTGTAGGTGCTGTGTATGTCTGTGGGTGCTGTATGTGTGTAGGTGCTGTGTATGTCTGTGGGTGCTGTAGGTGTGTGGGTGCTGTATGTGTGTGGGTGATTGTGGGGGGTTGGAGGTGGGGGTACCTAACTTTATGTAGGGAGGGGGGATTCTTGTTCCTTGCTGCCTTCCCTGGTGGTCCAGTGGAGGTGGGGGCAGATTACTTAATATCCCCCCTCCCTTCTCACCTTACGTAGGGATGGGGGATCCTTCCTTGCTGCCTTCCCTGGGGGTCCAGTGGTGAGTGAACTCTAGCCTGCGGGGCTAGAGTTCACTCCCGCGAGATCTGAGCGTTGTCGCGGCAATGCTCAGATCTTGCGAGAGGAACCCGGCGGAGCTGCTGGCAATAGCTCCCAGGGTCCTCTCCTGCCTCTCTCACTGCCTGTGGGTCGTGGGGAGGGAGGCTGAGAGCAGAGCTGGCGCTCGGATAGCGCCGGCTCTGCATGAGCCAACAGGGGGGATCCTGAGATCTCCACTGCCGGTCTCACTCCATAGGTGTGCCGCGGGGATTAGGGTGTGCCCAGGCACACCCGGCACACCCCGTGCGCACGCCTATGGTTCCTTTACCTTACTGGAGATTAAGCTCTGGTTCAAAAACCAAACACAAAGCCAACACAAAGCCAGTTCTGGAATATATGCTGTGACCAAGGGAACAGAAGGAGTAAAATCCATAATTGTGAGATTTAAAACATTGTGCGTCATTGTACATCGAGTGAAAATAAATTCCTGTTACATAAGTTACATTGAGTGGTTCACTTTCTCCTGTCAGCTATCTATATAACTGGATGTACAGGAAAATCAAGGGAAAAATGTAAGTTTCTATATAATAATAATAAAAAAGCTGTTTTAACCCCTTAATGACACAACTTCTGGAATAAAAGGCAATCATGACGGAATATTTCCATCATGTGTCCTTAAGGGGTTAAATCATCCATTTTAGCTAGTAGTTTGGCAAAAATTGTGAACAGCTCTCTTCCAATGAAAATACTCTATCAGAGTAAATTCCAAATTTAAGGTCAAAACAGGTCGAGCCAGAACAATTCTCTAATTCAGATATATATATCAATATATTCTAACGTTGTCTTTGTATCAGCTCCTTTTCCTTTTTTTATCCTAACGTTCCTCTTGGAACTGGATTAAGAAGAGCTTTTTTTTTTGTATTCTTTATTTTTGTTGTGCATTAACATATCACAGGCAGGTAAGAGGTGCCCCAAAAGCAGTCCTCCAACTTTTCCCACGCTCAACATGCGGGGCACAAGATGAACAAGCACATTTTATAATAATAACAACAAGTAGAAACAGTCGCTTGTGTAGGTAGCTATATGGTTAAATTAGGCTAGATCTACGCGTTGGCTATGCTTTTGATATCAAAACAGTGTTGGCTTACAATGTATATCGTGAAAATCTAAAGCATTATGATGAGGCAATAAGCATGCTTTGATTAGCAACCGGTTAAAGTTAGTTACATCGCTTTAGTGCTATTAGTGCGTTGGCTTTGCTTTAAATATCTGAGCAATTCTGGTACACAACGTATATCGTGAGAGTAATCTAACGCATTATGAGTAGGCAATAAGCATGCATTGATTAGCAGTAGGTTAAAGTTAGTTACATTGCTTTAGTGCTAGTAATGCGTCGGCTATGCTTTAAATTACTAAACAATGCTGGCACATAAGATATATCATGAAAATGATCCAAAGCCTTGTGAGTAGGCAATAAGCATGCGTTTGTTAGCAACAGGCTAAAGTCAGTTACATCGCTATATTGCTAATGTCACCCCGGCCGACCAGGATCGCCCATGCTGCCTCCGCGGGGAGCTGTCTTCTTGGTGGTCCTGAGACCACATATTCGGGGAGAGTCCCACTATCATTTGACACCTCTGCTCTGTCTGATCCGTGTAGCATGTATTGAGTGTCTAGTAGAGCAGGCTTCCCTCTGGGCTTCCCGCTGGATCCTCTGGGGCTGTAGCTGTGCTTCGTTATGATTGTCCCTCTTGTTTTTCGAGGGGCCGGAATTAGCCGTGGAGGGGAGCTTGGTGTCATCTGCATGTGGTTGTCTATGCCTGGGTGGTGTTGCAGGCTGGGTGTGGGGTGAGTGGGTGGTCTGTCTTTGTGTCGATGACAGGCTCAGTCCGTTCAGGCGGTAATAGTCGGTGCGTGGGTTACCTCTATCCCCCCTGCGCCGCCGTTGTCGTTGCTGGTTCAATTGGCTGCGGGGGTGAGTAATAATGATCCCGCTTCTTGGCTTAGCCGGTTCTGGAGGCAGGAGCCGCGTTGTTAGCCGTGGGCTCAGGTGTTGGGTGCTGGTCCTCCCTTCGTCTCTTGCGCACATGGCGCCGGCCATCTTGGGTCTAGCGGGGTGACCCCCCAGCTTCAGCTGCGGCTCCCTGGTCAAGGCTCCAGGGTGAGGACCGGGATCACCAGGGGGGGGGGAACAGGGCTGGGTCCGTCCAGATTCGTGTCTCAGGTTGGGTGCTGTGTTGCAGGACAGTGGGGCAGCGGCCGTCTGCCCCACTCACTGCCGGAGAAGGCCCCAGATAGATTTACTTAAGATTTCTCCTCCAGGGGACTATAGCTTGGTGAGCCAGCCTCGCCCTGGATCCTGCAGTCCCCCTGTTGTAGGTACCAGTGCTGTTTATCTGCTTTTCGTCTTAAAGACATGGTTTTTGGTCGTTTTTAATATGGAGTTGCAGGAGCTCTGCTTGCCTGCGACCGTCCAGCTCGGCGGTCCGGCCCCGCCCCACAAGAAGAGCTTTTTATTACATTTTTTTTTTTTATTCTTTATTTTTTGTGTCAGAATAAAAGCGACTGTACATGGGCTTATCTGGCCCCAGCATTATAAACATACATATTGACAATGACTTTTCAAGTGGGTATGCGAAACATAAGAGCATCAGTGCACATTTTTGTGTCCTGCCTAGATGTCTGTATGCAAACTGAATTAGAGGTGTTTGACAGAATACATTTAGCAAGTAAACCCTGTGCCTGAGTTGGTTAATGCCAAGTGGAGACTTCCCAGGTTCCCAGGTTAGGATGAAAGTATTGGGTTGGCATTTTGTAGATCCTGGGGTGAGTTCTCTGTTAAAAGCTATGGTATCTTACTCTAAAGTTCAACTCCTCCCAGTGAGATATATCAGTGTTTCATTTCATCTCATCTAGGTCAGTAACTTAAGATACACTCAGTTTGTGCTAATGTATATGTTAAATGGAGCCTCATAAGAGAGGGCCCAAAAGGATAGACATAAAGAGAGAAGTATACGGGAATTCAGAGGAACAGGATGGGAGTGGTGGGGAAGGGAGGGGGCACCGGAGAAGTCTAAGAGGCTAGAGTACTGCCGTCCCATGGTTCCCATGTTTTGTGGAACGCTTTCATAGTACCCCTCACTCTAGCTGTCAAGTCATCCATTAGCCGAGTTTCTTTGATTCTGTTCACTACCGTGGCGATGTGAAGTAGATCCTGTTTTAGCCACGTGTGTGCTATAGCGCATCTTGCTGCTAGTGTGATTTTATGTAGTAGCCTTTGTTCCTGTCCCGACCACCCGTCTATTTAGGAGGTATACCCATTGGTCTAGTACTGGTGTCCTGGAGAATACCTGGGACAATAGTTATTTTATAGCCATCCAGAATGTGTGGACTCGTGGACATCCCCACCACATATGTAAGTATGTCCCCTTCTCCCCGCAGCCCCTCCAGCACACATCTGTTGTGGTCTTACGCATGTGGTATAGCCTAACTGGGGTTGTGTACCAGTGGAACATCATCTTAAACGACTGCTCCTGGTGGGTGACGCATACGGATGTCGTGCTGTTAGCTTCCCAGATTTCCTGCCACTCCACCCCTCCAATTCCTCTCCTAAGTCTTTTTCCCACTGGTCAGTGTATGGGAAGCCACCCCACTCCTCTGTTTCAGTGCAATAGTGAGAGTAAAGTGTAGTGATCAGGCCCTTTGGAGTTATATCTGACGTACATATGCGTTCACAAAAGTCACTGTTTTTTTCGCTGCCTCTTTTATGCTTGGATGTCTAGCAAAGTCCCCGACCTGCAGGTATCTAAAGTAGTCGGCCGGTGTAAAGTGATGTCCTTGTTTGAGCTCGTCAAATGGGATTAATTCATCCCCTTGGTATATCTGATACAGCCTCTGTATTCCCGCCCTTTCTAGGTTTCTGATGCCCTCATTCCGGGGCTAAATGCTCTATTGCGTGAAGGGGGAAGGGGACGTTGTAAAGCCATATTTCAACCCACAGGAGTCCCACAATCTAATGGAATTTAGGATCGCAGGGCAGGTAGCTCGGGCTATAGGTCTGTCTTCCCTAAGGACCCAAATTATGAATTGGGGTATGTCTGTGCCCATCATGAGCGACTCTATTTCCACCCATTTTCTCTCATCTGGGGGGGAGTGCCACATTGCGACCTGTGTCGTTTGTGCTGCCAGGTAATAAAAGAAAAGGTTAGGGAGGCCCAATCCACCTCTCTTTTTGGGGCGGGAGAGGATGTGTCTGGATATTCTATGCCTTTTGTTTTGCCATATAAATTTTCCTATCATCTGTTGTATGGGTGCGAGTTGAGCTTTTGTGAAGGGGATTGGTAGTGCTTGGAATAAAAATAGTATTCTTGGCAGGATATTCATTTTAACTGAGTGGATCCATCCTATCCAAGATAGGGGTTTATCGATCCATCTGTCTATGTCTCTGTTTAGCGTCTTCCACAGAGGTATATAGTTATATTTGTACAGATATCTCGGATCCGCAGTTAGGTGTATCCCCAAGTACTTTAGGGTGGTCTGCTCTATATGTATATCGTGTGCGCTGTGTATTGTTGCAATGTCAGTCGCTGTCATATCTATTGGTAGTGCGCTTGATTTAGACATGTTCGCTTTATACCCTGATATATTCCTGTATTCAGTGAAGATCCCTCCGAGGGTTGCCATAGATTCTGCGTGCCTCGTGAACGTCAAGAGAACATCGTCCGCGTATGCTGCCACTACGAACTCTCGTCCTCCCACTTTGACTCCGTATATATTGGGGTGATGTCTGATCGCTTGTAAAAGGGGCTCTAGTGCCAAAACAAATAGTAGAGGTGACAGGGGGCATCCCCGTCTAGTGCCATTATGTAGTTGGAAGGGCGTCAGAGGGTCACCAGTAATCTGCACTTGTGCTCGTACATTGCTGTACATAGCTTTTACCGTCGTGATGTATTCTGTAGGGAAACCGAGGTGCCTCAGTAGGGTGAATAGGTATGGCCACTTAACTCTGTCCAACTCCTTCTTGGCGTCTATAGAGACCATTAGAGTTGGTGTATGAGTGGTCACTTGTTGCCATATAAGGTTGATATTTCTGCAAGTGTTTTCGAAGACTTGCCTCCCCGGAATGAACCCTACCTGGTCTGAGTCTATCAGGGATTTCAAGTATTAGTTAAGCCTGAATTTTAGCTAGTATCTTCATGTCCTGATTTATCAGTGAGATACGCCTGTAGCTCCCAGGCAGTAGGGTTTTTTTTTGTCTGGTTTAGGTAAGAGTACGATATTTGCTAGCGACATTTCAGGGATTACATTTTTAATAGTTTTATTTATCTCAGCCATGGATAATGGCTTATTCTTCCAGTTGAGGTTGGTTTAGGTAATTTTTTATTGATTTCTTTTGGGGTTTAGCGGAACTAGTGTTTTACCTACTTCCATTGATGCCAGCATACTGTTGTCTCTAATTCAGATGTTCTTCCAAGTCAGCTACTTTCTCCTTAATTTTAAATTCACTTTGAATTCTCACTTTAGTGGATAACCCTGTCAGTCTTTCACTAGCTCATTTACAGGCCCCCCAGCATTGAGACCTCGGAACGTTCAGTAGTACAGTAGGCAGAGTCAGTCAGTAAATAATGTCCCAGTTTGGTATGAGTTGGTTTGATAATTTGAAAGTGTGAAGTTAACACATGAACATTAAATATGTTGTTTGTGTGCATATTGCAAGAAGGTAGCCTATATTCACAAAAGAGCAGTTGCTATTTTTGGGACTTTAGATTCCCTTTAATCCTCATGTTTTTCTGACCACACAGACTTACATTCTGAGCCTAGATCTTCCTGTCTTTCCCAACGTCTAAACTCTGTTCAACTGACTTATTTTGTAGCTGCACCCAATGCATCACCTCTTTGTCACATCAAATACCTGCTTTTGTCTAACCTATAGTTCAGAGCCTGTAGTCTGATAATAATACATCATTCCAGTATCCATCATCCAGAAAGTAGTTGTATTGCATGTACATCCCCATATCTTAAACAGATTTATTCACCATCAGCATATGCATGAGTTCCAAGTATATATCACGGTTATCAGTTTCCAGTAGTTAAATATGTTAAAGGGACACTATAGTCACCTGAACAACTTTAGCTTAATGAAGCAGTTTTGATGTATAGAACATGCCCCTGCAGCCTCACTGCTCAATCCTCTGCCATTTAGGAGTTAAATCCCTTTGTTTATGAACCCTAGTCACACCTGCCTGCATGTGACTTGCACAGCCTTCCATAAACACTTCCTGTAAAGAGAGCCCTATTTAGGCTTTCTTTATTGCAAGTTCTGTTTAATTAAGATTTTCTTATCCCCTGCTATGTTAATAGCTTGCTAGACCCTGCAAGAGCCTCCTGTATGTGATTAAAGTTCAATTTAGAGATTGAGATACAATTATTTAAGGTAAATTACATCTGTTTGAAAGTGAAACCAGTTTTTTTTTCCATGCAGGCTCTGTCAATCATAGCCAGGGGAGGTGTGGCTAGGGCTGCATAAACAGAAACAAAGTGATTTAACTCCTAAATGGCAGTGAATTGAGCAGTGAAATTGCAGGGGAATGATCTATACACTAAACTGCTTTATTTAGCTAAAGTAATTTAGGTGACTATAGTGTCCCTTTAAATATATATGTATATAGTGGGCAAACCCAAAAATAATAAAAGTGTGCATGACAAATTTGAAAACCAAAATTATTAAGATTGCAAATTCAAATATACCAATGTATAATTAGTTCAATGGTTCATGCTTAATTGGATTAAGTGGGTGATATGGCTTTCTTATTATTTCAAATAAACATTTTATAACAGTGGGTTATAAACAAGTGATATACAATGTTTCGGGTTCACACCTTTATCATGTGTAGATAATTAAAGGGACACTAGAGTCACCAGAACAACTACAGCTTAATATAGTTGTTCTGGTGAGTATAATCATTGCCTTCAGGCATTTTCCTATGGGAAAGCATTGGATTGGCTGCAAATCGGACATTTTGATGATGTCACAAAGGGTGCGGAGCCAGCGCCGGCAGACCCACGCAGCGCTGGAAATAAGGTTTTCAACTTTTATAGGGA